GCCAATGCACTCAAGGACACTTCCCACTTTCTCTTCTGTCAGGTTCAGTGTAACTGGATTTATGTTGAGGTCTTTGATCCACTTGGACTCAGTTTCGTGCATGGTGATATAATGGATATATTTGCATTATTCTACATGTTGATTTTCAGTTATGCCAGTACCATTTGTTGAAGATGTTTTCTTTTTTTCCATTGTACAATTGTCTTCTTTGTCAAAAATCAGGTGTTCATAGGTATGTGGATTAATGTCAGGGTCTTTAATTTGATTCCATCGATCTGTTTTTATACCTGTATCAAGCTGTTTTTAATACTATAGCTCTATAGTAGAGCTTGAATTCAGGGATATTGATGCCTCCAGAAATTCTTTTATTGTATAGGATATTTTTGGCTATCCTGGGTATTTTATTTTCCCATATGAAGTTTAGTATTGTTCTTTTGAGCCAGTACCAATACTCCTCAAATTGTTTCACACAATAGAAACAGAAGAAGCATTGTCTAACTCTTTTTCTGAGATGACAATTACCCTGATACCCAAACCACACAAAGATACAACAAAGAAAGGAAATTACAGACCAATCTCCCTCATGAACATTGATACAAAAATACTCAATAAAATACTGTCAAAATGAACCCAAGAACACATCAAATAAATCATCCACCATGATCAAGTAGGCTTCATTCTAGAGATGCAGGGATGGTTCAGCATATGAAAAAAACACATGATCATCTCATTAGATGCTGAAAGCCTTCGACAAAATACAATACCCCTTCATGATAAAGGTCTTGGAGAGATCAGGTATACAAGAAACATACTTAAACATAATAAAGGCAAAATACAGCAAGCTGACAGCCAACATCAAACTAAATGGAGAGAAACTCAAAGCAATTCCACTAAAATCAGGAAGAAGACGGGCTGTCTACTCTCTCCATATCTATTTGATAAATAGTACTTGATGTTCTAGCTGCAGAAATAAGACAACAAATGGAGATCAAGGGGTTAAAAATTGTAAAGGAAGAAGTCAAACTTTCACTATTTGCTGCTGATATGATATTATACATTAGTGACCCACCAAAATTCTACCAGGGAACTCCTACAACTGACAATCATCTTCAGTAATGTGGCAGGATACAAGATTAACTAAAAAAAAAATTAATAGTCTTCCCATATACAAATGATAAACAGGCTGAGGAAGAAATCAGAGACAGTCTTTTCTGTGTTGTTGTTGTTGTTGTTGTTGTTGTGTGTGTGTGTGTGTGTGTGTGTGTGTGTTTAAATTGAGATATGGTCTCTATATATTTAGTCCTAATTGTCCTGGAACTTGGTGTATAGGGTAGTCTAGCCATGAATTCAGATATCCTCCTACCTCTGCCTCCCAAGTGCTGGAATTAAAGGCATGTGTCACCATGCCTGGCAATACCTGTTTGTTTGTTTTAAAGAAACAAATGCAATAGTTAAGTGGACTTTTAAAATGTAATGACAGTTTTGAGGTCAATTCTAGCATATGGAATACAAATATAGGAGGATCACTGTGAGTTCAAGGTCATCTCTGCCACATAGTGAGTTTGAAACCAGACTTGACTGCATAGTAAAGCCCTGTCTAAAACAAACAAGCAAACAAAACATAATGAAAGATAAATGGGAAGTAAAAATACTGTTTTTCAAAATGATATATACAGAAATAAAGATAATCAATAGGAAATCTTTTTAGCAAACCAAAAAAAAAAAAAATTACAGACTTAGTATATGTTTCCTTTAGCTCTGTAGCTATATAGTTAGGCTGGAAAAAAGATTAGATAATCCTAATACACTTTTAAATTTATGTATAGTATACATGCATTAGAATAAAATTCTTAGAGAAGAAATGAAGACTAATAATGTGTTAATATTCTGTTACCATATTATGTTTTTACACTTGGAAAGTTAAATTTGATTTGTATGCTAAACAATCATTTGTAATAACATTGAGTAGCTTCAATAACTTTGTATTACTTTATAGCTGCAGTCCATGTTCCTTGATATCAAATATTCCATGACAAGGTCTCTTCTACTGATACCCACCTTTGAGCCTCCTAGATATGTGTCTGGACTAGGATCTCAGCCTTTCCTAACTCACTTGTCCTTCATTTCCTCCTGTAACTACTGCTTCTGAGTGCCTAGCATGGAAAGAGCTAAGCCTGGTATTTGCCAAGTACTTGTAACATGTTTCTTGAACTGAATGGAGAAAGTGACACCTCGGTGAGAATTATTTCATTAATTATTGTTGTAAGGGAAAATTTTAAAGGCATGATCTAGCCTTTTTCTCTTTAGAAATAAAGACAAAACTGTAAGAAGTAAGTAAGGGAAGACTTATTTTTATATGTCAGGTCATTAGAAGGTCAGAGAATGGCTCTATGCATGGCCTGTGTTGCCTGATATGGCGTGTGTGGATCTGGCATGAGGGAACAACCTTACTGGGGAGATAGAACTAGGGATTCATTTGAAATAACTAAGCCCTACTTTTCCAGAGTGCCTACAAATAAGAGAAAAATATTTATGGGTCTCAAACAGAATTATATGTGAAGTTTCTCCGAAGACCAGAAAGGATTTAAGAAAAAAAGAGGGGGTGGTATATGTTACTTTAAAAAGCGAGATGGCTAAGTGGGTATAGGTGATTGCTACAGAAGCCTAGTGTGCTGTGTTTGACACACACCCCCACCACCAGAACTCATGTTCTGAGGTGGAAGGAGAGAAACAACTCCACAAAGTTGTCTTCTAACATGCACACATACATTATGGCATATACACACAAACAAACAACATTCTTATTACTAGGGAGAGCTGCCTCAATAATGAGTCGTGTTAGAAACACACTAAGTATGAGGTAAAGAATTGTTACATTAAACTGTCAATGTATTCCTCCTCCCCAACTAAGACTGCTGTTCTAGCATGGCAGGATCAAACCCCAAAGATCTGTACTTGCCCCCACCTCATCCTTTCAAGGGATTGTTGTCTATAAGTTTGCATGGTGAATTGGGGGCAATAGGCATGAAATCCTGAGAGGGGAGAGCAATTGTTTCAGGAAGAAGTGGATCATGAGCCTCACAGAGCAGATATTGCTGGAGCTAGGCCTTACATGGTAGGAAGGTTTCAGGGATGATCCAGATCATATTGAGCAGCAGGCTAAGGCAGGAATGTCTGTTCACATAGCAGTGATAATTTGCCACTGTACTGCTGTAGAACAAGGACTCATTTACAAGGACAGTGAGTCTGTTTTGTTAGAATCCACTAAAGACTCAGATTGGAGGACTCTGAAACATTAATGAACTAGAAAGTTATTTACTTTACTTAAGAGTGGGAATCTTTCTTTAATTCCTTTGACTCTTCTGCCTGCTACAACAGGGACTCATTCATTATCACTTCATTAAAGCTGTGAGTGTGAATGTCATCAGCACCTTCCAGTTGCTAAGGCTTTTCAGCCATCATTTTATACAGTTCAGAAATGACAGCTTTCATCCTATTGAATGCCTTTTCTTTCCCTGCTCTCTTCTGTAGTTTCTCTGGTTCCACCACTCTGTAATAACAGTCTATAAGTCTTCTCAACAGGCTTACTTGATTTAGCACTGCCCACCCTTACTTCCTTAAAAACTTTTGGAGCTCTGAGTATCATTGTCATCATTTTCTGCTTGCTCATTGGAAAACCTCACATATGTCCTAGGTATCCACTCAGATGACTTCCATATCTTAAGTTTCAGGTCTATATATTATCTTTCTATTAAAAGTTGTCTCCATTTAGACACCCCCCATTTCAGATTGCATATGTCTAAAACATGAATCAGGGCTAATGAGATGGCTCAGCATTCACTGCTAAGCCTAATAGCACAAGCACACTAAGCATAATTTAAAACATTTTAAGTCAACCCATCATCTTTATCCTAACCTAGTACCCTTCTTAGATTTTCTCTGTGGAAATATTATCAGACACCTAGTTACTTAAACCAGAAACCTATAAGGAGTCTTTTTTTTTTCCCCTCTTGTGCATCATTGAAAATGAACTGTGAGCCCTTTCAGTTCTACCATATAGTTTGTGTTTATTTGTTGAGTTACTTAGTCATCAATCTCACATATGGGCCATGTGATCTTGCTGTTAACATTGGCTGTTCCCATTTACCACAGTTCTTCCCAACAAATCTATTTGTGTCATCCTGCTCCCTTCCCCAAAGACTGTCATGAGAGAGAATAACTCCAGGCTTAACTATTAAATAAATACTTGACCACCATGTCCCAGGTATCCCAAGTATATATGTCTAGTTGCAGTTCTACTTCAACACTTCTGATGATTTTCTTTTCTTTTGGACTCCTACATTGAATATCAATTCCATACTAGGGTTCAGTTCAATACTGGGAAGTTTACTGGTACTACATGCCTTTTATTGTTCCGTTTGTGTGTATATATTTTATGGACCAATTAAAAGAACCTTTTCCAACATGGAACACTTACTTCAAAAAAGATTATATATCAAGTCCCTTGAATAGAGTGTTCAGTCGATATATTTAATTATCTTCACTGATAAATACTTCTATATGTATTATTAATATTCCTTTTACTTTTTAAAATTATTTTCTATGTTTCACATTTAACTACATGAAGACTTACATTTTTTCTAGTAACCTTGTTAGTTTAATAATTTTCAGGCTTTATTTTTTTTAATTTTTACTTAACAAGTCTGATTTTTAGACATGTGATGAATTCTTGCAATGTGCATGTAGCAATAACAGCTCTTCTTGGGAATACTAGCGAGAATGTGCTAAATACCATCATATGATCTTACATTCTTCTGTGGTTAGAAAGCTTATAAATTGATAAGTAGCCACAGTTTGACTTGGACTTAAAATAGGTTAATTTGATCCTTAGTTTCTCAACTGTAACTTTTTTTTTTAAGGATAAAATTTGTTTTTGGTTCAGTTGAATAAGTGAGTCTTGGGCCCTTAAAACAGGAAAGACCTTTTTGTTTCTGACACAGGCCCTGACTTGCAGAGAAGAACTCCTGACTCTTCTTCTGTCACTCCTTCCCTTGGTATGGAAGATACCTGTCCAGGAACAGCAGGCAACAGGTATGTCCCTTTTCAGAGATTACTTGGGTTCTCAGAGCCCATTGGTTCATTTGCAAAGCCACTTCTGCCTAATTGGTTAATGTAACTTCATAGTAGTAGATATTGTGGTGATTTATTATATACCTAGTATGAAAAGTTCATTAGGCAAGAAGTTTATTTCTTCCAGTAATATAAAAAACCATGGTACTTCTGAGAGGCTTACACAAATGACAATTACAAAATACACAAAGAAGCAGCTTACTGAAAGGAGTTGCTAGGTATGTTGTAGCATTAAGAAAACGGGTGGTGAAGAGTTTGCAGAAAGGAATTAAAGCTCTTTGCTTAAAGACTGCTATTGCCAGCGCTCTAAAAGTGACTTCTGCAGTATTTTCTTTAGTTCAGTTTTTCTAATTTTGCTTTTGAAGGATAAATTTGAAGTCATAGTTTGTTTCTAGACTAAGAATTATGACATGAAGTCAATAAGTAATTTTAATTTCTGATTTTGAAAAATATTCATTTGTAAGTACAGTGGAAGACAAGCAGGTTTTTCCCCTGGATCATTTCTAGACTTGTTTGATAAAAACAGTCTTCCTGTATTATATTTTAATGTCTTATTTTATATTTTAATGCATATTTGACATAGAGCTCTTTTAAGGAAGATATTTAAAGACTTTTAATATTATTTTCCTATTTATTGATTCACTAACTACTCTTGATTTGTTTTTTTGAGTTTGCAGAATTAAAAAATGGTTAACTAAAGAATTGATTATTGCCATTTTAAGGAAATTGTCTTTATTGCTGGCATCTTATATTTTGGTGGAACTGGTCCCTTTTAATGTTTGCTCTCTTCTGCAAATACAAGATTCTATTAATTTTTTTTATTTATTCCTCCTAAATTACAACTCTGTTTCATGAGGATTGTAGCAATACTCATTTAATTAGATCCTTTTTTTCTAAGAAATGATCATTGAATGCTAACCCAAGCTGTGGGGACTTAGGAAGGACTGCTGATCTCTGTATACTTGGCTAGTTCAGGAAACGATGCCCCCAGAGAAATGCTTTGACTGAAGAACTCTTTTAACCCTAGTCTTGATGAATATTGAAGTAATGAGATGCTATGAACTAACCTTATATCTTAATTACAGCATTACTAAAAGTTTATAAATGGTGAGCACAGCAGCTGGATAATTCAGTCTCATAGCTTGAAATTAGAATGAAGTATATAGTATCAGTTCATGTCCACTCTTCTAATTCTTTTCTTTGTAGTTCTCTCTCTTTTTTAAAAAAATTAAATTGTTTTTTTATATTTTTTTATTTTATTTAATTTTATATAACAAAGTCCAATTAAATGAAAACAAACATTTATACACAATATTTGGGAATTTGGGCGTCGTTCTTTCCAAGCTACTTCCTGTTGGTAAGGGACGCTGTCCTGGCTGTAGTCTGTAGGGCTGTTTTGTCCAGCTGTTTTGAATGTAGGATTAGCTTGTACTCTGTTTCAGGCCTTCTGGCTTGATCAAACCTCATTAGTCTGGAAGGAATCCACATCTTTTCATTTTCTGTGGAAATAAAAATAGAAATCCTTTTCCCCAGTAACTTGTCCTTCAACTTAAATTTTGGAGTCAAAGCATTTTTTTAATTTAATTTATTATTTTACATGTCGATCCCAGTTCCCTTTCCCTCCCTCCCTCCCTCCCCCCCAACCCTCCCTCCCTTCTTCCCTCCCTTTTACCCTCTCTGCCCTCTCACATGCACTCTAAACACCCTCCCCTCCCATCCCCCCACCCCACTTCCATGTGTAGGGGAATGCCATCCAGTTGGGGTCATGTAGATCTGACAGGTCCTGTGAAGTAGGGACTAGGGCTTCTCTCCTGTCTCTAGATTAAGGCAGTTATCCCTCCATGGGGGATATGTTCGCAAAGTCCTTTTGTGCACCAGGGATACATCCTGGCTCCACTGTCTGAGGTCCCTTAGACTGCTCAGTCCTTCTGGCTGAGACCCATATTCAGGGGGGCCTGAGTCAGTCCCCTGCTGGCTTCCCAGCTATCAGTCTGGGGGCCCGTTAGCTCCTTCTTGTTCAGGTAAGCTGTCTCTATGTGCTTCTGCCGCGTGGTCTTGTCCTCTCCATCTGCTTCTGGGTTCTAGTTCGACTCAGTAACCCAGTCACAAAAAGAGGAACACAGTATGTACTCACTCATATATGGATTTTAGACCTAGATCAAATGATCACCAGCCTATAATTCACATCACCAGAGGAACTAGGATACAAGGTGTATTCTAAGAGATTCATATAAAGTCCCTCACAGAACTGGGAAGGGACAAGTCCCCCCAGAGCTCAGGTGAAGTGGGGGAAGACAGCGAATGGAGAGAGAAGTAGGAGAAAATGAGGGGGAAGAAAGGAAAACCTGTGCGACCAGGAAGATTGAGCCTGGTTAGGAATAGAAGATAGGAAAGAGAGAGAGAGAGACAGAGACAGAGAGAGAGAGAACATAAAAGAGGGAGCCAATATTGGTTTGAAGATAAAATTGAACACAAAGAAAGGTCGAGAGAACTACAAGACTGCTCCCAACTAACAATCTCAGCTTCTGTGGAAAGGCTATCATAAATGCCCTTCCCAGAGAGTGAGATCAACAACTAACTTCTCCATGGAGCCCTCAACTAATGCCTGTTGAAAATAGGAGCAAACACCCATACATAATTTATTTTTTTATTTTACATATCAATCCCAGTTCCCCTCCCTCCTTCTTTCCCTCCCTCCCCCTCCCCCCTCACATGCACCCTGACTACCCTCCCCTCCCACCCACCCCCACTCCACATCTAGGGCTATGCCATCCAGGCGGGGTCATGTAAATCTGACAAGTCATTTGAAGTAGGGACTAGGACTTCTCTCCTGTCAGTTTGTATCCTTTCAGCTAATGCCACCTGGTGTTGAGAGTGGAAAGGATATGTGTGGATGGAAGTGACCTAGAGATGTAACTAGGGAAAGCAGTCTTGCAGGAAAATTATGTGAGGCCAGACTCACAATGTGGGTTGTAAGAGTCATTACCCATATGTGTTGAGTTTAACAAATACTGACATATTCTAAGTTTCTTTCTTGATTTCATTAGATTTTAACCTGCCATTGTCATCTAATATAATCCTGACCAAAGAAAAGAACTCAAGCTTGCAAAAGTCAACTCAGGGAAAATTATATTTAGAAGGAAATGTTCCTCCTGGTCCAGTTTCTGTAAAAGTAAACCTTTTTCAAAAAAGCAGACAACAGCGTAAAAGTACCCATCGCTATTCTGTAAGAGATGCAAGAAAGACACAGCTCTCCACCTCTGACTCCGAAGGCAACTCAGATGAGAAAAATACAGTTGTGAGTAAGCACCGGAGGTCCCATGTGCTGCCCCGGCTCCTGATGCAGTCTCCTAAGGAAGACCACCTCATAGCCAAACTTGACCCCTTTGAAACCAAAGAACAGGTCCTTTCTGACACCATGGCTTTGGAAAACTCCAGAGAAATCATTCCGAGACAGGATTCAAATGGTGACATATTAAGTGAGCCAGCAGCCTTGTCTATTCTCAGTAACATGAATAATTCTCCTTTTGACTTATGTCATGTTCTGTTATCGCTATTAGAGAAAGTCTGTAAGTTTGACATTGCTTTGAATCATACTTCTTCCCTAGCAACGAGTGTAGTACCCACACTGACTGAGTTCCTGGCAGGCTTTGGGGACTGCTGTAACCAGAGTGACACTTTGGAGAGACAAGTGGTTTCTTCAGGGTGGACTGAGGAGCCAGTGGCTTTGGTTCAACGGATGCTCTTTCGAACTGTGCTGCATCTTTTGTCAGTAGATGTTAGCACAGCAGAGGCAATGCCCGAAAGTCTTAGAAAAAATTTGACTGAATTGCTTAGGGCAGCTTTAAAAATTAGAGCTTGCTTGGAAAAGCAGCCTGACCCTTTCTCACCAAGACAAAAGAAAACACTACAGGAGGTCCAGGAGGGCTTTGTATTTTCTAAGTATCGTCATAGAGCCCTTCTTCTACCTGAGCTTCTGGAAGGAGTTCTACAGCTCCTTATCTCTTGTCTTCAGAGTGCAGCTTCAAATCCCTTTTACTTTAGTCAAGCCATGGATTTAGTTCAAGAATTTATTCAGCACCAAGGATTTAATCTGTTTGAAACAGCAGTTCTTCAGATGGAATGGCTGCTTTCAAGGGATGGTGTTCCTTCAGAGGCTACAGAACATTTGAAAACCCTGATAAACAGTGTAATGAAAATAATAAGTACTGTCAAAAAAGTGAAATCAGAGCAACTTCATCAGTCCATGTGCACGAGGAAAAGGCACCGGCGTTGTGAGTATTCCCATTTCATGCAGCACCACCGTGATCTCTCAGGTCTCCTGGTTTCAGCTTTTAAAAACCAGCTTTCTAAAAGTCCCTTTGAAGAGACTGCAGAAGGAGATATCCAGTATCCTGAGCGGTGCTGCTGCATTGCTGTGTGCGCGCATCAGTGCTTACGCTTGCTGCAACAGGTTTCCCTGAGCACCACCTGTGTCCAGATCTTATCGGGTGTACACAGTGTTGGAATCTGTTGTTGTATGGATCCTAAGTCTGTGATTATCCCTTTACTTCATGCTTTTAAGTTGCCAGCACTGAAGAATTTTCAGCAGCACATACTGAATGTCCTTAACAAACTTCTTTTGGATCAGTTAGGAGGAGCAGAGATTTCACAGAGGATTAAAAAAGCAGCTTGCAACATCTGTACTGTGGATTCTGACCAACTGGCTAAGTTAGAAGAGACACTTCAAGGTACCTTGTGTGGTGCTGGCCCTTCATCTGGTTTGCCCAGTGCTTCTTATAGATTTCAAGGGATCCTGCCCAGCAGTGGGTCTGAAGATTTACTGTGGAAATGGGATGCATTGGAGGCTTACCAGAACTTTGTCTTTCAAGAAGACAGATTGCATAACATACAGATTGCAAATCACATTTGCAATTTAATCCAGAAAGGCAATGTAGTTGTTCAGTGGAAGTTATTTAAATATGTTTTTAATCCTGTGCTCCAAAGAGGAGTGGAATTAGTACATCATTGTCAGCAACTAAGCATTACTTCTGCTCAGACTCATATGTGTAGTCAACTGAAACAGTGTTTGCCTCAGGAAGTACTTCAGATTTATCTAAAAACCCTGCCTATTCTACTTAAATGCAGGTTTGTATGTATGCATATATATTTACAGTTGCATATATTATACATCCATGTGATAAAATGTATGTGTATGTTTACATTTCTAACTTTGATGTCTCTAAGGATCTCATCTATAGTATAATCATAGTCATTGTATTGTTTTCAAGGATTTTAGTTTGTTCACAAAGAAGGAACTCTTTCCATGTCATTTTTTATTATATAATTTTTTAATTTAAATTTGAAACAAGCATGTTTTACATATCATTCCCAGTTCCTGCACCCTCCTGTCCCATGTCATGTTTTAAACATTTTAAAAATTACTTTTTGGGGGGATGGATATAGAAGAGAAGCTAGAGACATTGATTTTTAACTTTTCAATTGAAAAAAAGAGGTAAAGTTTTTGAATATATTTCTGAAGGAAAGAAATGTGTGGAACAGTTTACATTAGTTTTTTTGGTATTTACTATGTAGATAGAGTATTATAAACCATTAAGATATTTATAAAGATCATGTTAGAACAGGAAAATGATTATAATATTTTATGTATAAATATAAAACTTAAAAATTGACATATTTATAACAATGCATAATTTATACATACATGAAATATTTAGTTTCTGAATCGGTGGCATTAAGGAGACCATTTATTAAATATCATAGTTACATTTATTACCCAAAGTAGAAAACACAGATTAACAAAAAGAAAGTTTAAATTATATTCTATCATCCCATTCTCCATCCACTCCACAGGGAGGGTGATGCCTTCCAGGAGGGACCAACAAAATCTGCCAAGTTATTTGGAGTAGGGCCTAGGCCCTCTCTCCTGTCTCTAGATTAAGGGAGTATCTCTCCATGGGGAATGTGCCTCCAAAGTCCTTTCATGCACCAGGGAGAGGGAACTGGGATAGATATGTAAAATAAGGAAAAAAAAAAAGAATAATAATAAATAGAATTCAATAGTGAGGCAGAAAAAAACATAACCACTTCTTAACAACAACAAAAAATTATATTATGTCAGTGAATTTTCCAGATTAAGTTTGGGTTAAGTTTGGTTAAGTTTGGGGCATTTTAAAATGATTGTGTAAGTAAAGCTTGCTTTAATGGGCAGATTGCCCATTTAAATTAATGCATGTCATTTCAAAATAGCATAAATTATAACCTGTAACTACTATCTTCATGTGCAGCACTTTTTGGTTCATCTTAATACAGCTACTTTAAAACTGACATGGATTCTACCAAACTGTACTCATCTTTCATGACTGTGCTGTTGACTTTGATCAACCTGACAAATTAGAAGAAAACTATAGGGACGTTCATGTGGTACTAAACCTTCAAGCTCAGAGATTTTTCTCCCAAAATTTTCAGTTCTGAAGCAAATATTAGACAGACAACCAAGTGAGCAAGTGAACGAATGTATGCTTGCCCTCCATACCCACATTGGTGGTGGTTGATGATTGTGATATTTAGAATTTCTATGAAATTTACTATTTGAAGAAAAAATTCTCCCTTAAATTGCTTTTTTAAATGTATGTGATATGTGTGTGTGTGTGTGTGTGCATGTGTGTGTATTTATTTTTAAATGTAGCCAGAGCTGTATATGAGCATTTAAGTGCAATTGGAAAGTAACTTGAGATCTTGATGAGTATCTTAGAACTGTTCAGACAGTGAATTAGAGTAGACAGTGTTTATAGCACACACAGCAACACAGCAATGTCATGGTTACATAGCATATGTATCTATTTATAAATGTTTCCCTATGTTACATAAATCCTTTTGCTTTTTCCTATCTCTCACAGGGCAATACGAGATTTGTTTTTAAGTTGTAATGGAGTAAACCAAATAATTGAATTAAATTACTTAGATGGGATTCGAAGTCATTCCCTCAAAGCATTTGAAACTCTGATTATCAGCCTAGGGGAACAACAGAAAGATGCTTCAGTTCCAGGTGTCAATGGGTTAGATGTGGAGCAGGAGTTGCCATCCTTAAGTGTGAGTCCTTCTCTCCATAAGCAGCAAGCTTCTTCAGATTCTCCTCGTAGTCTCAGTAAGTTTTATGCCAGTCTTAGAGAAGCTTATCCAAAGAAACGGAAGACTGCTCATCAGGATGTTCACATAAACACCATAAACCTCTTCCTCTGTGTGGCTTTTTTATGTGTCAGTAAAGAAGCAGATTCTGACAGGGACTCTGCCAACGAGTCAGAAGATACTTCTGGCTATGACAGTACTGCCAGTGAGCCATTAAGTCACATGCTGCCATGTCTGTCTCTTGAGAATGTCGTCTTACCTTCCCCTGAATGTTTGCACCAAGCAGCAGACATTTGGTCCATGTGTCGTTGGCTCTACATGTTGAGTTCAGTCTTCCAGAAACAATTTCATAGGCTTGGTGGTTTCCGAGTATGCCATGAATTAATATTTATGATAATCCAAAAACTATTCAGAAGTCATGAAGAGAAACAAGGAAAAAGGCAGGGAGAAGTGAGTGCAAATGAAAACCAAAAATTAACCAGAATGTCTCAACCTGAGATGACAGCACCGGAACTGGGACATCTGAAAAAGAATGCTGACAGCTTGAATGATTTAGAGTCACAGCATATGTTTCCCACAAGTATAGAACAGATTTTGACTACTGAAGCTGTTTCTGGTGAAGCAAAGGCATTTATGAGTCAAGAAAATAATACCTCTCTCCAGAGTATACGACTTTTGGAGTCCCTTCTAGCCATTTGTCTTCATAGCTCCAGAGCCAGTCAACAGAAGATGGATTTGGAGCTACCAACTCAGGTGATGCTTTGTCCTTAGTCCAGCTCATGTGACATACATGTGTAATGTATGTATTATATATACATATAATAATATATAGTATATGTTATGACAATATTGTCAATTTATTCTGCCACATATTTAAATATTTGTTTTTCATGTATTAATTATCTGAACCTTGTTATAACAGTTTTATGTATATAGTGTAATTATATCAATTTATCTTCCTTGCCCTCTTTTTTCCCCTCTCACTTTCACATTCATCCCTTTCCTTTTCCCATCTGGTTTCTCTCTCCACGTGTGTGTGTGTGTGTGTGTGTGTGTGTACGTACGTACTCATTACATTTTATTAGGGTTTCTTATAAGATCCTGGATGAAGAGTTATTTACCAAAGTAAGAGTTCCTTGACAGTTGTCATACCACAGCAGAAAATGGAAATGGTTACTTCCTTAGTAACCATTAATTCCTTCTAGAGACTGAGAGGGCTGGGACCTCAGGAGCTTTTCTTGTTATTAAATCCACAGGAAGGAGAGGGCCCTCCTGGCCCTCCCCACTCCCACTTGCTACATACTTTGTTTTTGGAAAGCCTTTTTGGGTGTAGCCAGATACCAGGTATGGAGAAAAAAAAAAAAAGGAGTACATAATCCTTTTCTTGCTCTAAAGAACCCACTGTTTAGTTCTCTGCAAAAGCCCCTTGGGATAGTTTGTGAATTAAGTCTTAAATGAGTAGTTCTGGATGTTGTGTTTTAGAGTGTCAAAGTTCACAATCTTTGTGATACTATTGGGTACTCTGCTTATATTCCCTGACCTTTGTTTATGGCTCTGGTATGGTCATCATCTGGTCTGTATCTATTTGTTTTACATGGTAGACTTAGAATTCCTTAAAAGAAAAGCATGTTTTTAATCTACTGTTACAGAGACCTAGGCAAGCAGTAATAGCTTCAAAGGGCAGAACTGAAAGTACAAGAAAAAAATAATTAGAACTACTTCTTAGACTCTTAGAGGATTTCTAAGAGTAAGGAATTAGTAAACTCTGGAGATAATTAAAACTCTGAAGTTTTAAAGAATGATTTTGTAAAAATTTGAAGATGTATTTATTTTTCACTCTATGTGTGTATTTTGCCTGTATTCATGTCTGAGCACTATGTATGCATAGTGCAGAGGCCAGGAGGCAGGACATTGGATTCCCTGGAACTGGAGTTACAGACCTAGGTCCTCTATATGGACTCAACCATTGAGTCATCTCTCCAGCCCCAAAGAGTGAATTTTTTTTATGGATTTGTATCATTCAAAGTGCATGAAATTTAAAACGTAATATATTTATAAACAAAAATTTAACAGCTTTTAAATAATAGAATATTTGGATAAAAGCTCAAAATTTATGCAGTCAGTTTACTTTCATATCAATTACAAGTAAATGGATTTTCCCCTGCTTGTTGTAATCAATTTTGTCATTTTTTAAAAATCATGTTATTGATATTTTTAGTCTCTCATTTTATCTTAGAGCTTGTCTGTGGAAAATATATTGTGCGAAATGAAGGAACACCTTTCCCAGTCAAAGGTGACAGAAACAGAATTAGCAAAACCTTTATTTGATGCCCTGCTTCGAGTAGCCCTGGGGAATCATTCAGCAGATTTAGATCCTGGTGATACTGTGACTGAAAAGGTATGAACCCATGTGTTGTGCGTTTATGTATGCCTAGTAGAGACTGGAACATGTGGGGTGGGGCCAGGACACTTATTTAGATCACAGGGACCTGGATTTTGGTCAGGTGAGTTCATTGGTTCATTCTCTATCATTTGGAATAGCTAGTATTTCACCATTGTCCTGCCATGAAGAAAAGCAGGTCATCATTACAATATGCTTCAGTTAATCTAATCTGGAAATTTTTGGTAATTTGTCCCTAATAAGGCAACAATGTATTTAGGTTTGATAATCTTATATATAAATAATAATCTTATTTCCCTAAAAGACTTTAGTTTGGAAAATTTCAAATCTGAATAGAAACTGGGCAGCACCACCTCCCCCTGTGCCAGCTACTTCCACAGTTGACTCCTCAGCATCAATGTGATTTTTCACTTCCTTCCTCCCATTTCTTTTTTCTTCCTTGAAGAATTTGAAAGAAAATCCTGGTTTGCAGTACTTGATAATCTATTAAATGATGATTCATGAATAGTGATGTTTAGCTATCTTATCTGGTCCTGTGTTGGTACAGCTAGTATTTCCAGACTCTATACTGACTTTAATTTTAAATTACTCAGCATAAAAATGACCAATACTCATATAGAAAGCAACATTGGGAGATTTTGAGTTCTGTTAACATTATTTCTAAAGTGACTATTTAAATTTTTTTTCCTGAGACTTTATGACATGTGTTTTAACTCATTTCTCTTCCCTGTTATGCTTCTTTGACTTTGGATTAACTATTGTTAGCTTTCATCTTTATGTAATTTTTTAACCTTTAGTCTATTAATATATTTTGTATTTTATTATATTTGACATAATAGTCTGTTATTTTCTATTATTTTAAAGCTTATTGACTTTAAAAATTGACTTTAAAGCTTATAACTTCAATTTGTTGGTAAATCAAATAGCAAACCATTAACAAATTAAAACATCTACTTTATGTTACCTTTTATTGCTGTTGCAATGATAAATTACTCTGAGCTTTTATAAACTCAAATAGATTCTAAGGTGAAAGTGTCAGTAACATTTTTATAAGAAAAAGAAAGTTTTGCCACAGGTATTAGACAGGAAATTGATGCTAGAACTCTTGATTTCTGAGATTATATGTAGACAGTTACATTCTGAAATCCTTATTTCCTTTGGAAGATTGTTATTTTTCCAGTTATCTAGTTTATGAAGCATTTAATTAAAAATACTTTTGGGAATTTTTTCTAACAATGTGTGAAAATAATGTTTATTATTAGAAATAAGTCTATATAGTAGAATACTGCCTCATTGTGGTTTTCAGTCATTCTCTATTGTGTAACTAGTAGATTTGTTTTTTGGAGAAACAAAAGTTTCTGAGTTATTTGAGAGAGTTTGGGAAATATTGTTGAGTCAATTTCATATTTTTCATTAACTATTGATTACTAAGATTTTTTCTCTTAAATAAAATATTGAGATTGTTCTTATAGTGACTTGAGCAATAAGTATTCTATTACTGAAAAGTGAGTCAGTGTCTAAACTCTTGCTGTTGACTTTGGCCTCATAGAGTCATCAGTCTGAGGAAGAATTGTTGTCCCAGCCTGGAGATTTTTCAGAAGAAATTGAGGACTCTCAGTGTTGTAATCTGAAACTTCTGGGTGAGGAAGAAGGTTATGAAGCGGATAGTGAAAGTAATCCTGAGGATGGTGATGCCCAAAATGATGGTAAAATATCTCTGATGCTTGTGATTGGATTGTCATCATATTGTAAATTAGCAAAATGGTTCATTATGCCCCTACCCAGTGGCCTTACAATTTCAAAAAGGTACTGCATTGTCATTTTATTTGGCCATATGTTTGATCCCTTGCACTGTGAGGAGAAAAACAAAACTAAACAAAAAACCCTTCTTGTCTAAAACAAGTAGATACCTAAGATAAGGATAAAGAATAAAGTCCTTGCTTTCATATGCATTCCAGCAGGAAAGAAAGGCAATATCTAGATGTAGACAGCATAAGAAAAAGAAGGTGATTACCAATCATTGGCTAGTCAGGGAAGCACTTTCTGAAGAGGTGGTATGTACATTGAAATCTCACTGTCAGTGACATCCAAGGGTGTTACAGCGGGTTCCTTTGTCCTTTCCTGTATGCTAGCCTGTCCTTAGGATAGAACTGTGTTGCATCTGATCCTTTGTGCTGGCTGTTCAGCTTGGATAGAATGGAAAAGATGGTCTGTTTGTTTTATGTCAGCTTGACCCAAGCTAGAGCCATTTGGGAAGAGGGAACTTCAGCTGAGGAAATGCCTCCATCAGATTGACCTATGGGCAAGCCTGTGGTACATTTTCTTAATTAGTTATGTGGGAGGGCTCAGCCCATTGTGGGCACCACTCTTGGGCAGATGGTTCTGGAATGTATAAGAAAGGCAGTGTAAGCAGCACTGCTTCATGGCTTCTGCTTCTGTTCCTGCCTCTATATTACTGCCCTGAGTTCTAGCCTTGACTTCCTCCAATGATGGGGCATGACCTGGGTGTTGTAATCTGAAATAAACCTTTTCATTTCCAACTTGCTTTTTGTAGTGGTATTTTATTACAGCAATGGAAAGCCTAACTAAGTCAGAATATTTTAGCCAAAAGATTTTGTGATGGTTCTTTCTTTTCAGACACTGGCCTTGGCACTTTCCCAGCACTGTTAGTTTTCTTTAAATTTACAATAATTTAGTCTTGCTAGAAATTAATTTTCTCTTTTTCATGGAGGGAATAGAAATAATCACTGATTTTAAAGTTGAAAGTCATAGTGATCTGCTTTTTGGAAAAAAATTGGTTTAATGGTAGTTTTATCATATCCTAGGTATAACTTTACAATGGTAGATTTCCTTTGTCTGCTTGTTAACTAAATCTCAACCTAAATATGCCTGTTCTAGGTGAAATTTACTATGTGTGTATGTTATATATACATATTCTTATGGGTATGTGCACACATGTGTATGAGTGTGCATCTATGTATGTGTGTGTGTGTCTGTGGAGGCCAGAGGTACACATCAAGTGTCTTCCTCAATCATTTTACATCTTTTTGTTTTGTTTTGTTTTGTTTTTGAAACAAGGTCTCACTGTGTAGCTCTGGCTGCTCTGGAACTCATTATATAGACCAAGCCGGCCTTAAGCCCAAAAATCTAGTGCACCCCCTGCCCCCCCCCCCCGTGCTGGGATTAAAGGCATGTACCACTATGCCAGCTTTTTATCTTATTTAACTTTATATGATTACTATGATTATTGTGTGACTATAAATAGTGTGGGGGGACAAACACATGTGTGCCATGGTGTGTGTTTAGTCAAAGGACAACCCTGTGGAGTCAGTTCTCTTCTTTCACCTATAAATGGGTTCCAGGGTTTAAACTCAGGTTGTGCATAATGCTTGTATTGCAGTTGCCTTTACCACTAAGTCATCTCACCTGCCTCATTGATCTTTTTCTTTTTTCTGTCTTTTTTTTTTTTTTTTGAGACTATCTCTGACTGAACTTAGAGCTTTTGCTGATTCTGATTAAGCTGGCTTGTTAGTGAGTACCGATTATTCTTGGCACAGCACACAGCTTGAGTCTTCATGCCTGTCCAGTAAGCACTCTTCACTCTTCTTAGCCTTTGTATAAACATTTTTAAAGAGTGCAGCAGAGCCTGTTAAGTTCAGTCAGTAAGACAGTCATAAGAGGACAATGTTTAGACTTCAACAAACCAAGCCTACTATTACCACAGAAATAAGGGCAGAAAACTACACATGGTTTAGATATTTGAGGCTGAGAAAATTTGGGTTAATTTTTTCCAGTTGAATTAAAAGAATGTGTTAAATCTACATAATATATTTATGAAAATTTCTGTTGGTAATATTTGTAATTTCATTGAAAATCAAAATTATTTTCAAGATTAAACTATCTGTAAGAGTTGATCATTCAAGGTACAAACTTTAGTCAACATTAATGTTGTAGAAAAAGGCTTTGTGAACATTTTAATAAAAGAAGCACAGGTTCCATTAAATGTCTTAGTAATAAATTAAGGTTGAAATACTCAGTGTTTGGGGAATATAAACATTCTTTTTCTTTCATTTTTGAGGAGTACAATTAAAACCTGAAGCAGAAGGTTTCAGTGCATCGATTGTTCCAAACAACTTACTTGAAAATGTCACTCATGGGGAGATAATATACCCTGAGATTTGCATGCTGGAATTAAATTTGCTGTCTGCTAGCAAAGCTAAACTTGATGTGCTTGCTCATGTGTTTGAGAGCTTTCTGAAAATTGCCAGGCAGAAGGAAAAGAACATTTCTCTGCTCATGCAACAGGTAAAAGATGCACTAAATTGGATCAATATTTATCACACTCATGTTCCCATTATTCATTTCCATATATATAACCCAAATTATCTGAAAATTATTTGAGGTGATAGCTTATCTTTTATTATGCCTTCAGTGTATTTTGACTTTCAAGTGATTTTCTAAAATCAACTAATTTTTTAGTTCTCTAATAAGTAGCAAAAAATCAATATTGTCAGTAGCTAAACAGTAATGTATCCGGAGAGCAGATCTTAAAACTTGCATTTAATCCTACAATAGTATTCTTTCCAGTCATTTACACACACACACACACACACACACACACACACACACACACACACACACACACTCACACACACAACCACACACACACACACACACACACACACACGAAATAATTTATCATGACATTGCAGTTGTGTTATGCGTTTATGAAGTTAAACATTTCATTTCTTACGTTTCATTTTTTTAATCTTCAGGGAACTGTAAAAATCCTTCTAGGAGGGTTCTTGAATATTTTAACACAAACAAATTCTGATTTTCAAGGTGAGTTTAAACTAGTATAAGGGAATAGCTTAGTAATTATTGTGATATTGTATGAAGAATTAATGATTATGGCTTCTACTAGCATACAGCTCTGTGGTTTCTAAATTGTTTTTATATGTATCATCTTATTTGTTCCTCACACTCAGTCAGTAAAATATAACTATTTTTATTGAATAGGGGGAAATGTAGTTCCAAGGCCTGCAGTAAGTTGTTTAGTAGCTTCATGGAGATTATAACCTTGTATAAACACTGTCTTGTGTCTTCAGTTGTTCACGTCTCTACTCAGTACTTTCTCCGACATTTCAGAAATTCATAATGAAAATTAATGTGATATCTGACCACAATAAATCTAAATTATAGTTGGAGGATTAAGGCTAATGTAAGTGAAATGTTAATTTGTGTTTGTATAATGTTTCCTTCCTCCAAGTTAAATTGACATGTTTTTGTCAGAAATTCCTAATATTAGTGTTGAGTCCTGTAGAGGACATTGTGATGTCTGTGTCTTATAATTAGGGATGTTAATTTTAACCATTTCAGGTTAAGATGGTCTACTAGGTTTATTGTAATTTGCAAGTATCTTATGAGTGTCAACTTGAAGGTTTATAAATTTTACTTTTATCATATTTTAGCACACAGTTTTTAGCATCAAAATGATAGTACTGTAGTGTTTGCCAAATAGTCATTTTCTATTTCTGGAATTTATATGTTCATGAATTGGGATTGTACTACAAGGAAAAGCTTTCTCTTCCTCATTTTCTTCCTTAATGCATGAGTATGTGGTACTCGTGTATCACTCTTTCTTACCAGTTTTCCCATTATGAATATTTAACACTGGTATGCCATGTTAAAGTTTATAAACCTCCATTAGCACCATATTATTATCCAACTTCACAGCATACTCATTTTTTCCAAAGTTGTTACCTAATATCCTTTTCTTGTTTAGAGAGTTCTTCCAGGGTACATTACAATCAATTGTCATTTCCCTTTTTTTTTTTTTTTTTTTCCTTTTTTCTTTTTCATGCTATGCCTTTTCTGTCAAACCCAGGAAGAACTGATCCATGATCACAAAGATTTATTATTTCTAAAAATTATTTTCTCTCCATATTCTTTGTTCTTTATTTTCTTGCATATGAGTTGTAATCATGGGCTTTATAATTGGATCCTACCATTTATCTTATTTCATATTTCATGTACTTCTCTATTTATATTCTGGGGTTTTAAAAAATTATATTCCAACATTTTATCCAGGTTTTAATTTTGGCAACTGCCCATTCACTTAGTTCCTTTTCTGTTCCTGTGACAAAACACCATGATCAAAGCAACTTATAGAAGAAAGCATTTAATGGGGCCTTACAGTTTCAGAGGCAGGAAGAGAGAAAGCTACCTGGAAAGGTGTAGGCTGCTGAAATTTCAAAGCCCACCCCTAGTGACACGTCTCCTCCAACAAGGTCATACCTCCTAATCCTTTACAAATAGTTTCATCAAACATATGACCCTACCATTCTCACTCAAACCTTACCTATTATATAGGTAAGAGGTCATTTGGCTTGACTATGTTTTGTTTCATTTGTTTTTTAAATTAGTATTTGTGTGTGTATGTGTATGTCCTTTTTCTCAGTCACCCTGAAACCTGTAAGTTTTTTTCTCAGTGTGATTTTTAAATTTGGGAATTTTCACATCATGTACCCCAATCACACTGATTTCCCAGTCTTTCCATGTCTGCCCACTCACCTTGTAGCTCCTTTCCAAATTAAAAAAAAATAAAAATAAAAAAATTCACTCCTCCATGTTTCCTACTTCTCCACATATTGGTTTGTTGTCATGACCTTGGGAGCTGCAGTGTGTCACACAGTATACCCTTTTGCCCAAAAAGCTTTTCTTGCAAAGATTTATCACAATGAGTCATTGGTCTGGTTCAAGGCCTCTGGCCTCTGGTACACCATCAATACTGGTCCCTCATGAAAACTTCTCGTGGCTATCTGGCTGTTACCATAAATCTGCAGGACTGGTCCTTTCAGGTGCTCCAGCAGGTCCTAGATGGGGTAGATGTTGGGATGGGCCAACTCAAAGCCCTTGGTATAGGCCTGGGTGTTACCTGAGTTGGTCAGTCTGGGCCAGCCCTTCCACATGCAGGGCAGCTCTCCATTGTAGCAAAGAGGGGGGTCAGTTCTCCAAGAGCCATGGAAGGCTGTGCCCATGCCTCTGGGGCTAGTTTAGGGTAGGGACAGCTCTCCCACTGAGGCAGGCAAGGAGAAACCTGTCAGTTTTGAACTACAAAACAAAAAACTAAACATACTTTGATTGTGTAACTTTTCTATTCAAAACCTTTATTGGACTTACATTAATTGCCTGAGGGTAAAGTCCATGCCAGTTTATGGTGTCCTTGCAAACTGTCCTCTCAGAAACACTTCCTCTTACACTATTCCATCTATTCATTGCCTTTATGAAACGGTTACTTAAATTAAGTTTCTAATCTTAAACCCTCCAGTCTTTTAAGATACACCACAGGTTTTACACCAATATTGTTTGTTGTCATGTCTAAAGTGGAGAGAATAATTCATACTTTCTGTTTTAGAGTGAGAAAAGTTGAGGCATACTTGTAAAAATATACTTGGAACACTATAAATGATCTATAAATAATAGTTATTACTTTAAGGAATTTTTATTAGTATATTATTGCTGTTGTTTATGTTAAACTCTTTAGTAGAATAAAGAACATGGTCAAAATAACTAGCTTGTGATACTTATATAATTTTGTAATTAATTTGTAATTTTATTTCTGTCATTTCAATTTCCAAGTAATATGTGGTATTTATTATTTTGTTGTTTATTTATTTATTTATTTTTATTTTACATATCGATCCCAGTTCCCTCTCCCTCCCTCTTCCTCTCTCTCCCCCCCTCACATGCACCCCGACCACCCTCCTCTCCCAATATGTGGTATTTATAATTTAAATAACTTATTTTATTAATGTTTGTTCATTTGCCTTTATTTATCTTGGTATTTCTTTAGCGATTTTTATGATTGTTAACTAGATTGTTTATAATCATTCCACATGAGAGAACAGTTTACATTTTTCAGTGAAAATTGCTTATATCTTCCTTTAATTAAATGTGTACTGGCTTTAATTTGTTTTTTTCTTTTTAAAATGTAGCATGCCAGAGAGTATTGGTGGATCTCTTGGTTTCTTTGATGAGTTCACGAACATGTTCAGAAGAACTAACCCTTCTTTTGAGAATATTTCTGGAGAAATCTCCTTGTACAGTAAATATGCTAAAATTTTTACATTTTCACTAATTCTTTAATAGAATGTATATTTTACTAATTTGTAAATCACTAAGATCTTAATATTGTAATTACTATTAAGCTAGTTCCATGTTTTATGTTTGACAGATTCAGTTATATTATCTGCATATATCTTAACATTTCACTTTGATTTGGACTAACTAGTTACCTTTACCCTATTTCAACTCCAACCTTTGTGCTTGAGAAATGCTTTGATTTTAATTACTAAAGAGAATTTAAGTGTGAATAACAGCAATCATCCCGAATTTGTCCTGTTTCTAAAGAATCAGTATCTGTTCTTTATTTAAGTATTCTCCTTTCCATTGCTGTATGTATAGTTTAGTGGCTCTCAGCTGGGAAACATAATGCAGTTTTGACTGGAAGAATCTGCAGATGAATCTAGAATGTGGAGGCTGCTATATGTGAAGCAGCCCTGTCTACTTCACTGCCTGCCTCATCACCCACTTCAGTCTCAAGGCCCGATGGAAGTACTGTCACTCACCGGTGTGGGTCATTGAGGGCTGGCTGTATATGGATGAATTATTTCTAGAGCTTGTCTTGAGCACAATTTCCCTCATCATGGTCAACATTAGAGATTATTTTATGCATGAATGAGGCATTGCACTAAGCTAATCTTTCATACTTTGGAACTTAGTTCTCTTTAGTCATTGCTCTTCTTTTAACTAAATGTACATTTCAACATTCCATCTCTTACCTTTTTTGTATTCCATTTAAGCCCAAAACCTTAAAACTTTACTTCAGTTCCCCAAAAAGATATGATAGAACTTTTCTTTGGTTAGGGGAAAAACATGAAATAACTTGGATAGTAATTGAGCATTCAATATTATGTCTTTGATCATTTAGGAACCTAGAGAATTTGTAAGGTGGTATCCCTCACTTAAAAATATCTGAGTTATGGGACTAGAAAGATGTCTCAGTGACTTGCTTGCTGCTCAATCATGAAGTTCAGAGTTCAGATCCTGGCACCCATTTCAGGCAGCTTACAAATACCTGTAACTCCAGTTCCAAGGGATCTTATCCCACTTTCTGGCTTCTTCGGGCACCTGCTCAGGCAGGCAGGCGTGTATGCATGTATACATGCACACATGCACATACACATTAGTAAAAATAAAAATAAATCTTAAAAATTATTTTGAGAGAAATACCATGAGGAAGTAATAACCTTGTTTTATAGAAATATATGCTGATATAGTTATTGTATTTCATTTGTAATAATACAAATGTAATAAATGCTACTCATAAATATTAGATTTGTACCATAAAGTACCAAAATTTAAACCAAATTTATCAAGAGATTACATAATAATTAAATCTTCATATCTTATCTCAAATAAAAAAATTAAAAATTTAAAGATATAGTATATATGCTATTTTAATTAAAAGATTGCATCTTTTGTATTTTGATTATAACCTGAATTTTGACATTATGTATCTGATTACAAGATTGTAATTTTTTATTTGTCTTTCTTTTTCTCTAGGAAATTCTTCTCTTTGGTATTCAGAAAATTGTTGAAAGTGATTTTAATGTGGGCCCTTCACAGTATCTAACCTTTCCTCTACTTCACACCCCAAGTTCAAGCAGTGGTGTCTCACCACAAAAGTCTCCTGGGATTCTTAACAGTAAAGCCTTAGGCTTATTGAGAAGAGCACGGATTTCCCGCAGCAAGAAAGAGACTGACAGAGAGAGTTTTTCCTCTCGGCTGCTTTCCTCTTGGCATATAGCCCCAATCCATCTGCCATTGCTGGGACAGAACTGCTGGCCACACCTGTCAGAAGGCTTTAGCGTTTCTCTGTGGTTTAATGTGGAGTATATCCATGAATCCGAGAGTGCTGCAGAAAGAGCAAAGAAGGTAAAGAAAAGAAACAAACCATCAACTCTACAAGACGACAGTTTTGAAGGAGCAGGTATGATGGCAGGGGTCTGATCTATACACTAAGACTCTTCAGATAGCCATTTGCCTGAACTGTGAGGATATCTGGCAGTGTTTTAATATGTTCTTCAGATGTTCTTCACCTTAAAGGCCATACCTAACTACGGAACAACCAAAGCCTGAGTTTTCAGTTAGCACTGAAGTTTCCATTCTCTTCTAAACCTTAGATATGGAAGGGGATACCCTATATCTACAGCTGCTACTGAAGTTAACAGTCCCATTATTGTGATAATATGGCCCCTGATACTAGAAAAGGGATTAAAAAATAAGACCCTATAGCCTTCTGTCTCTTAACTCAGTGGCCCCTTCCTAGTTCCTATCACTAAGTCTTTATATGTAACAGTCCTTCAAAGTTAGGACAGAGCCCATCTATAACTGAAGAGTTACTGTTGGGTTATATTGACACTGTATCATGTTTTTGTCTTTCTTAGGTATGCAACAGTTTCTTAGGACATAGGGCAACTAGAGGGAATAGTGTTAGAAATTGGTTTTGTATTTTTTAACCTGTTGAAAATGGTGGCTACAGCCAGGATTTCTGAATCTTCTTCGAATCCCCCATGACAGCGCCCTTTACCAGCAGGAAGTAGTTTGGAAAGAACAACACCCAAATTCCAAAATATTGTCTATAAATGTTTGTTTTCATTTAAATGGACTTTGTTATATAAAATAAATTTAAAAAAAAATTAAAAAAAAAAAGAAATGGGTTCAAACATATCCAAGATAAAAAAAAATGGTGGCTAATATTTATATATCTGATTACTGATAATGTTCCTCTTCTTTAAAAGTCTGAGCCTTTGGACATGCACTTTGTACTTTTGTACATATTAGCTTAGTTTAACATAAAGTCACATCATAGTAACAAATAGCTTATCATATTTAAATCTAAGTGGTAAGATGGCATTGGGAAGGGTAACCAGCTAACCCAAAGCCTATAAACATTTTCCTTAGCTGGAGACAAACTATGATGCAAGGTTTCAGCATCACCCAACACTCTAAACAGTGGCTCTTCAAGCACTGCCGCTTTTCTAAGAAGAGTTTCAATAAAATTATTATATCAGAAATCATACCTTCCTAACAAGGATCAAGTAAATTTTTGTAGTGTAAGGCATGTGTTGATGGTGCATGCTCCCTAGAACAGGGTCAGTCGTGTTATAGTGTTATAGTGGCCCAAACCAACAAAAGCAGAAACTTAGTACAGCATATAGCTGATTATAGTCCTTCAGCAGCCCTGCCCATAGTTGCTCTCAGTTATCATGTATTTTAAATCATGTAATAATTTTAAAAACACTTTTTCATCCACTGTGTTCTTTTGAAGTTAACATTTAACCTTTGGAAATATTGTTTGAAACAGGTTCAGTCATTTGGGACAAATAACCTGTTACAAATAAACCAACACACATTGTATTCTTTGAAATTCATGTTTCTACACATTTTTATCAACTATTTTATTAATAGTTCTAACATTTTTCTCACAGAAGGTGATAGACCAGAAGGTACAGAATCCATCAATCCTGATGACAGACTCATAGAAGATGGCTGCATTCATTTGATTTCGTTGGGATCCAAAGCATTGATGATCCAAGTGTGGGCTGATCCCCACAGTGGCACTTTTATCTTTCGGTACTGATTATCCTCAACTCTTAATAAATAGGTCATGTATTGAAATAATTTATGTAATAAATTATTAAATAATATTTATAAGAACAATCTTATTAAAGATCCTTAGGAAAAAAACTTAAAAGAACGATTATCAGACAAGTTAGCATATAGATTCTATCTAGCAGTAGACAAGTAGCAAAACATGGCAAGTCCAGTGCTTATGATATCCAGTAGAAATGACTGGAGTAGTTCAATTGGCAATAGTAGCATAATCAAATCAGATGCATAAATATCCATCAGAAATGACTAGAGAGGTCTTGCTGAAAACAGTTGTGCTGGCATTCCTGATTGAGAGATTTACAAGCAGATAGAGGATTTTCTCTGTAGATGAGTTTCCAGCCTCCTGTACCACTACAGCTATATTTATTTATTTATTATATATACAGTATTCTGATTGTATGTCTGCCTGCAGGCCAGAAGAGGGTACCATATCTCATTATAGATAGATTTGAGCCACCATGTGGTTGCTGGGAATTGAACTCAGGACCTCTGGAAAAGCAGCCAGTGCTCTTAACCTCTGAGTCATCTCTTCAGCCCCACTACAACCATTTTTATTCCGTATAATAAAGATAGTATTCTCTGTTGGAAAGGGTTCTCCATCTAGCTGTTCTCAAGGGCACAATGTTTTCACTAGAACAATTTATTCATTGCCCTTAAGGGTGCAACATTTTTATTGTTGTGCTGTTCTCTTATTCTCCTTTTTCCCTGTCACAGGGCTAGGGGGCCAGTCTGTCCTTGGATAAGAAGATACTTTGGGAAAAATATGCTTGGGTTTGAAATGGGGTGCAGTGTCTGTCCTGCTTCCAAAGCTAGCTTCTTAGTCAGCTTAAATAGCATGTGACAATTTACCAGTTTAATATATCTTGTAAATGTAAAAATTAAAGCCAGTATATTATTTAGATTTTGTTTTATAGATATTATAAATGTTACCAGGTGTTTTCTACATACATTTCTCTTTATTCTTTTAGTAATCCTGCAAAGTGAATTAGTACCCAATATATTTTGGTATTTAGATGTTTATTACAGTATGTATTAATTTCTTTGTGAGTCAATTATTACATTATAATTTCTAAAATAGATAATGAGTATGTAAGCAGAAACTTGATTTTATAAATTGATTTCTAGAAATTATTGCCCAAGTTATTAACATCAGCCAATGAGTCTAATCCATTTTAGTTCATGAATTGAGGAAGCAGATATGGTGTAAAACAAAGACCTACTGACTTTTTCACTTTATTTTAAAATAGAAGTGACTTTTAATTTCACATATTGAGAATCACAGTTACAGTGTATGTGTTAACTATTAAAGTCAGAATTTTCATGTTTTTGACCTGTGATTTTTTTTTTCCCTACAGTGTGTGCATGGACTCAAATGATGATGTGAAAGCTGTTTCACTAGCACAAGTTGAATCACAGGAAAACATTTTCTTTCCAAGCAAATGGCAACACTTGGTACTTACCTATCTTCAGTATCCTCAAGGGAAAAAGAATGTCCATGGGGAAATTTCGATATGGGTATCTGGACAGAGGTATTAAATTCTCAGAAAATATTCTTCTCAGTTACAGTTTTAGCTTTAGTTTTCATTCCTGAAACATTGAAAGCTAGGTAAAATTTAATGTGTAATAGAAGAAATTTATATCAAAATTCAACTTTTTTCTATTTATCACTTTAAAACATAATAAATCTTCCATAGTAAATTTCCACAACAAATCTTCTATATTGAAAATTGTCCATGAATTCTGCTCTTGAAGAGTCAACCAACATCAGACTGAAAATATTTGATAGTTGTATCTCTGATGAACATGTACAGTCTTGTCTTCTAGTTATTCCCTAAACAATAAAGTATAACAACCATTTATAAGGCATTTATTTTAGGTATTGTAAGTATTTAAAGATATATATATATATATATCTTTTAGGTACTTTTAGGTACATTTATTTTAGGTATTGTAAGTACTTAAAGATATATATATATATATATATATATATATATATATATATATATAAATATGTCATTGTCTACAAGGGATTTGAGCATTCTCAGCTTTTGGTATCTGTGGGAACCAACCTTTGGTGAATATCATGGATTACTGTATTTAGGTATGAGGAGCAAGCCAAAAACCTGGGCGTTAGATATTTATGAACAATATATACTAGGTAAGTAATTATAAGATATGTAATATTGTCCCTCAAACCCATATATTACAAGGATGAGTCCACAAGAAATTATTTAGATTTAGTTTTAAAAAGAAGGCTAATACCTAAATTAAATTGGAATTTAAAGAAATTAAAATACTGGAGAAGAATATAAAGTATCATATCTGATAATAGACTTAGATGGGTCCTAGAACTATATAAAGTAACAGATTTAGGTGCATGACTTTTACTGCACAGCCTTTACAGTCAAGATAATAAACTTGATGATCTTAATGTAAAAATTAACCACAAAAAGAATTATGTCCTAGTTTGCTTTCTATCTCAAGGAGAAAGGATTTATTTGGATACAGGTTACAGTTCATCATGAAGGAAAGTCAGGGCAAGAGCGCAAGGCAAAAACTCAGAAGCAGAAATTGTAGCAGAGAACACAGAGGAATGTTGCTTACTCCCATACTAACCCTGACTTGATCAGTTACCTTTCATAAACAACAAAAGACTGTCTTCCTAGAGATATCACAGCCCACAGTGTAGGTCCTTGTCCACTAAGCAACAATCAAGAAAATGCCCCACATATATGCCCACAGGTAGTCTGATAGAGGCAATTCCTCACTTGAGTTTCCCTCTTCCTGGGTGACAATGCCAAGCTGACAAAACTAACTAGCACAAATTATCATGTGCCTTGGATTTGTTGAAATAGCATGTAGGAAGATACAGAATTTAAAACCAGTTTATCATGGGAGAGCATTGAAGTGGCTGGAAGAGCATTGAAGTGGGTAGACAAGATGGAAAAGCTTGGCAGGAGTGAGTATCGAGCTGATAAATATAATTTTATTTTTTTACAAAAGTCTGTTATGTGTTGTATACTTGTTATATTACAGACCTTTTGCTAGATGCTTTATACATATTATTTCCTTATCTTCTCAAAAACTCAAAATAGATTATATCATAGAAATCACATATATCTTGAGCACAAATTAAGGTGTTTGTCAAGGAATTGCTATGTTTCAGGCTTTGCACTGCTATAGAAGGCTGCAAGCACTGGTTCCTCATAATCATCAACTTTTAATCACTGAGAGAGACAAGGAAGAAGGGCTTTGCAAATGGCTTTGGGATAGTTCATAGTGTCTGCTACAGAAAGTTAAGCTCAAGTTCAGTTTTGTTGATTCATTGAAGAAAATACATAAAAACACATACCTGAAGTTGGTATCCATCTTCTAAATAGTATTCACAGCTGCCTAAGCTTGAATAGCAATTATAACCAATCAGTGAATTTGTTTTCAGAACACTGGGTTGGAGCTATTGGAGATGGGCCCCTTTTTTTCTTAGATACTCTTTTCATTTCGTGAGCTAGTAACAAGTGCCATTCATTGTACTGTTTCTGCACTGTACCTCATCCTTCCCACTACACTATGAAGTGGGCATGTTATTGAATATTTGACGTGCTTAGCTGAAACTTAGAGTGGGGTAAGGACACTTGCCCAGAGTTGTGCCACATGGAAGGAGTATAGGTAAAACTTGAACTGAGGCTCTAAGCCTAGATGGCGGTCATGCTATAAACCCTGTGCTGTGCTTCTCTTCTAGCTTTCTCTCTCTCTCTCTCTCTCTCTCTCTCTCTCTGGCCTCAGGATATCTGATGAGTATGGGGACTATACACTAGTTACTAGGCACTTTCAGAGTGGAAAATGAGGTAGTCACAGATAGTTCTGAAGTTAGTGAGTAGTGTTTTGTGTCACACATTGCTCTCTCCTTCCCATTTTACTAATTTTTACTTTGCTTTGAAGAAATTTCCTTGGTAGAAGTTAATTTGATATTAAGTTAGTAGAAGTTAATTTCATTAGTTAACTGATCAATGAGCAAGTGACAGACAGGTCAATAATACTATTTTGTTGATTTAAATGTGGTTCTTCGTTATTTTTGGAAACTACATAGCTTAATGTCTATAAAGAATGCATTTCAAGAGGCTATTTTAATAGTACATAACAAGCCAAGCATTGGGACTCATACTTGTAATTCCAGCACTGTAGAAGTTGAGGCAGGAGGATTGTTGTGAGTTCAAGGCCAGCCTAGGCTACAGAGGGAGACTATCTTAGAGAAATGAACAAACAAAAATAACCAAAAATAAAGCACATAATGACAGTGGAAAATAGCTTGCTAGCATCAAAGTCACACAAATGCAGTAGAAGTGTGTGGCGCAGGTACACTTGTTATTTACTGTGTTTATTTTAAGTACATCTTCCAGTAGGTTTTCTTTCTCACACAAAAAAAGTAAATCATAATGTCAGTAGGTGGCAGTAGTGTTTTAATTGTGGACATTTATTGGCCAAAAGGAGACAGTCATAGATTGTCTCATTTATTTCTTTATTAATATATATTAATTAATTATGTGTTTAATTGTTTAAGTGTAATTAATTGATTTAATCAATTAATTATATATACATGTTTGATTCCTGGATCTCAGATGAGAGAATCAACTCCTACAAATGTCTCTGTGCACCTTAGAGTGCATATGTAGACACTGATATATACACATACATAGATATTTTAAAGTTAAAAGATATTACTATTAATATAGTTGGATTTATTTACTAAATATAAATCAGATACTAAGGTTTTAAAATAAATATATAAAAAGTTTAATTTCTGAAGGTGAGTTAGCTGTATAAGCTAAGTCTCCATTTTCCAAATTTTAGAATTTGTCTCTAAATGGGGCACCCTCATTACCTTACTTTGGAGTTCAGGAACTTGTGGTTTCTCCAAGCAACAAAGTCCCCTCAGTCTTTGTGTTTCTGTGAGAAAGCCTTATGTTTACCTTATAAGATTCTGTTTTATGTAAGAATTCTTGATAAACCTTTAAAGAGAAAGACGAGACCAAACAAAATTTTTGTAATCCTTAACATTAGAAAACCAAATACAAAAAACACTGGCATTTCAGAGGTTTTATATATAGCAAATCTTGTGGACATTCATGGAGAATATGAAATCTTAGGAATTATTGCCAAGGCAGGAGAGTTTTGACAACTTAAAGGGAGAGGATTACTTTATTTCTGTGAACTAGGAAGGCACGTGTGTAGAAGTCATGTGTGTTTGCTTCCTCTGGTCAACATGTAGGATCCCTGGGCACTGTCTGTGGCCTGTGGACCAAGAGACAGAAAGCTACCCTCTTTACCCTCTAATTGCCAACAATACATTTTAGGACCTAGAAAACTTCAGGAGTGTCCCCTCTTTAAGTATCCCTGGTATTCCCGAAAAGCCATTAACTTAATTTTGTTTTTAATGTAGGAAAACTGATGTCATCTTGGATTTTGTGCTTCCAAGAAAAACAAGCTTGTCATCAGACATCAATAAAACGTTTTGTATGATTGGTCATTGCTTAACATCCCAAGATGAATTTCTGCAATTACCTGGAAAATGGGACCTTGGAAACTTGCTCCTCTTTAACGGTATATTTTCCTATGAAGCATTTCCAAACTTTTCTTTAAATTTCCATGTACTATATGAATTAATCTGACAGTAATTCTGATCTCTCCTCATTGACTAATATTTATTAGTCAATATGTATTGCCAAGATTCTGAGATTCACTTTCAGGATGTTTTAATATATTATAGCTGAACATTTTCTTACAGTTGATGTATGATATGGAGATGTAGCTTCTAACTTCATCTCTTCCACTTAATCAACATTACTTTGTAGTCTTGAAAAGTGCAATGTCATAACTAATAAACCTAGAATAGTTTTCTGTTATTTATGACTTTTAAAGAATTACTTGTTTTCTGTGTATGGATTTTTTGCCTGCTTATGTGACTGCATCACATATGTGCCTGGTGCCCACAGAGGTCAGAAGACAATGTCGGATCCCCTGTGGCTGAAGCCACAGGAGGTTGTAAGCTGCCATCTTTGCAAAAACATCTGTCAGCTTTCTTAACTACTGAGCCACCACTCCACTTTTATTCATGATTTTAGTACATTCTATCCAGATAGTGAACTTATGCAAAAACAATGAAAACCATTTAAAAACTATTAATCCTGGCACATAAAGGCATCGGTTCAAATTTCATTTTAAAATGAAATACATCAAGAAATAGTTTTCATCAAAAATTCTAAGTCTTCATTTATTAAAAAAAAAAAGCAAAACAAACCCAAGATTGGCTAAATTAAAATTCACTGTCTTAAGAAACAAATAGAAATTTTATCAAAAGCTTCCCACTTTATATTATATACATCCAAGCATCTTTAACATAGTTGATATTGGTTAGTTTATCTTACACTCACTTGGAAATTTAGACTTTATGAGTTTTAGATGATATAGTGGACAACCGAAAGAATCCAATAAGCAAACATACTCATACTCCTACCTCATTTCCTTGTTATATATGAAAAACTCTACTTGAAATGTTTTAAATAACTAGCTTTATTTTTCTGCTATCCAGGAGCTAAGATTGGCTCACAAGAGGCCTTTTACCTGTATGCTTGTGGACCCAACTACACATCCATAATGCCATGTAAATATGGCAAGCCAGTGAATGACTACTCCAAATACATTGATAAAGAAATTTTGAGATGTGAACAAATCAGAGACCTTTTTATGACCAAGAAAGGTGTGGATGTTGGTCTCCTAATTGTAAGTTTTAGTTTTATAAATTTTAACATTGTAGTCAGTTTGTGTGCATATGTTCATTGGCATGTATAATTAGTGGTGAGTTAGATTCAGAGTTTTCCATTTTTGTTCTTTTCTTTTCTTAGAATATAGAGCTTTTTCCTTAAAAAACTGTGAAACACTTTAATCTCATATATATATACATATATATATATACATACATACATATATATATATATATATTCTCATTTACTTGGAACTATATATAGCAATTTTATCAGCCTAGTTTATTTTATAGCTAGTAATATTTTAAGAAAAATGTTTATGACACATTGAAAATATAGCACTTTTAGCCTTACATACTCTTTTTTAAAAAGTCACACATTCCATTCTTTTTTTCATACTTAGAAATGAATACAAACTAACTTATAATATTAGTTGTAATTGCGTGCATTAGGGGACTGTGAGATGGCACAGTGGATAAAGCAGCTTGCTGTGCAAATTTGGTGACCTGAGCTGGAACTCTAGAATCCATGTAACGGTAGAAGGAAAACCATACACATGTGATAACATGTGCATATGCACACACACAAATTACAGATTAATTGCATATATTCAGGGCTTAGATAACTACTCTTTACTATCAATATAAAATGGGAATTTAGCCTTTAAAGTATTCCTAATTTTTCTCTATTGCTTTTTTTACATTATTCTTTTATTTTGTCTTACCAGTACACAGTTCAGGAGCTAATGGTGGGGATTTTTGTTAATAACACCAGTTAGCTATACCAGACTGGTTTAGTTTGTATATGGATAAGACATGCTATCCTAAATGAGACAGACTATTTAAACTGCAGTGGCTTCTTGTAAGTGACCAAAGCCCAGGATCCTCTCTGACTTCTTTAAGGAGTAGCTCAGAGAACTTTGACATGGGCCAGTGCTGGTTGAAACAACTATTTGCAAGGAGAAATACTGAAATTTTGACTCCATTTTTCCATTTTGTTTTCTTATGTTGACAATGTGAAAATTAGTTCTAATCGGAAGAAAAATCTATTTAGAGACACTTTTTAAAAATTGAAAGATTCTTCTCTCATACAATATATCCCAACTACAGTTTCCCCTTCCTCTATTCTTCCTAGAACCTTCCACCTCCCTTCCCCACGAGATCCACTCCCTCTCTGTTTCCTCTTCTAGAAAGTACAGCCTCCAAGAGACAATAGCCAAACATGATAAAACAAGATTCAATAAGACAAGGCAAATGCCCTCATATGGAGGCTGGACAAGACAACCTAATAGGAGGAAAAGAGTCTCAAGAGCAGGCCAAAGAGTCAGAGATTTACTGCTGCCTCTGTTAGGAGTCCCACTTAACATTCATAACATATGTGCAGAGAAATCTGGTGCAGACCCAAGTAGGCCCTGTGCTTGCTGTTTCAATCTCTATGAGCCAATGTGATCCCTGCCTAGTTCATTTAGTGGGCCATATTCTCTTGGTATCCCCCATCTTCCTTAACTCCTACAGTCTCTGCTCCCTCAGCAACACCTTTAATTATGTAGGTAGCCTGTGAGAAAATCCAAAACAAAAACTTGGGGTAAATCAACCCAGAGTCCTCATTTCTAAGAAATAGAACAGTAACAAAATGAAGTCAAGTGTGGCAGAAGACTTAACTTTTCTGTATTAAGTATATAAATTCTTATCTATGTGAGTTTGATTATAGAACTAATAAAAACGTTCTCTGAATAATGAGAAAAAGGCTGGTTGTAATTAGTATTTATATTTTTTTAATTTTTTTAATTTATTTTATATAACAAAGTCCAATTAAATGAAAACAAACATTTATACACAATATTTGGGAATTTGGGCGTTGTCCTTTCCAAACTACTTCCTGCTGGTAAGGGGCACTGTCATGGGGGATTCTAAGAAGATGCAGAAATCCTGGCTGTAGTCTGCAAAGCTGCTTTGTGCAGCTGTTTTGAATGTAGGATCACCTTGTACTCTGTTTCAGGCCTTCTGGCTTGATCAAACCACATTAGTCTGGAAGGAATCCACATCTTTTCATTTTCTGTGGAAACAAAAATAGAAATCCTTTTCCCCAGTAACTTGTCCTTGAACTTAAATTTTGGAGTCAAAGCATTTTTTTTTAATTTAATTTATTATTTTACATGTCGATCCCAGTTCCCTCTCCCTCAATCCCTCCCTCTCTCCCTCCCTCCCTCCCTCCCTCCCTCCCTCCCTCCCTCTCTTACTCCCTATCTCCCTCTCTCCCTCCCTCCTTCCCTCCCTTTTACCCTCTCTGCTCTCTCACATGTACTCTAAACACCCTCCCCTCCCATCCCCCACCCCAATTCCATATGTAGGGGAATGCCATCCAGTTGGGGTCATGTAGATCTGACAGGTCATGTGAAGTAGGGACTAGGGCTTCTCTCCTGTCTCTAGATTAAGGCAGTTATCCCTCCATGGGGGATGTGTTCACAAAGTCCTTTTGTGTACCAGGGATACATCCTGGTTCCACTGTCTGAGATCCCTTAGACTGCTCAGTCCTTCTGGCTGAGACCCATATTCAGGGGGGCCTGAGTCAGTCCCATGCTGGCTTCCCAGCTATCAGTCTAGTGGCTGTTAGCTCCTCCTTGTTCAGGTAAGCTGTCTGTATGTGTTTCTGCTGCCTTGTCTTGTCCTCTCCATCTGCATCTGGGTTCTACTTCGACTCAGTGTTTATGTATGGGTGTTTGATCCTGTTTCCAACAGGCATTAGTTGAGGGCTCCAGGGATAAGTTAGTTGTTGATCTCACTCTCCGGGAAGGGCATTTATGATAGCCTTTCCATGGAAGCTCAAATTGTTAGTTGAGAGCAGTCTTGTAGTTCTCTAGACCTTTCTTTGTGTTCAAATTTTATCCTCAAACCAATATTGGCTCTCTATTTTATGTTCTCTCTCTGTCTCTGTCTCTGACTGTCTCTCTGTCTCTCTGTCTCTCTGTCTCTGTCTCTGTCTCTCTCTCTCCTGTCTTCTGTTCCTAACCAGGCTCAATCTTCCTGGTCGCACATGTTTTCCTTTCCTCCCCCTTGTTTTCTCCTACTTCTCTCTCCATTCGCTGCCCCCCCCCGCACTTCTCCTGAGCTCTGGGGGACTTATCCCTTCCCAGTTCTGCGAGGGACTTTATATGAATCTCTTAGAATACACCTTGTATCCTAGTTCCTCTGGTGGTGTGAATTATAGGCGAGTGATCCTTTCCTCTAGGTCTAAAATCCATATATGAGCGAGTACATACCATGTTCCTCTTTTTGTGACTGGGTTTCCTCATTCAGGATGGTTTCTTCAAGTGCCATCACTTGTCTGCGAATTTCAAGATACCATTATTTTTTTTCTGCAGAGTAGTATTCCATTGTGTAGACGTGCCACATCTTCTTTATCCAATCTTCAATTGAGGGGCATCTAGGTTGCTTCCAGGTACTTGCTATTACAAATAGTGCTGCTATGAACATAGTTGAACAGATGTCTTTGTTGCATGGATGCGAATTCTTTGGGTATATGCCTATGAGGGGGATTGCTGGGTCCTGTGGTAAACTAATTCCCATTTTCCCAGGAACCGCCATACTGATCTCCAAAATGGCTATATGAGTTTGCACTCCCACCAGCAGTGGAGGAGTGTTCCCCTTTCTCCACATCCTCTCCAACATGAGTCATCATTGGTGTTTCTAGTTTTAGCCATTCTGGCAGGGGTAAGATGGTCTCTCAAAGTTGTTTTGATTTGCATTTCCCTGATAGCTAAGGATGTGGAACATTTTCTTAAGTGTCTTTCAGCCTTTCTGATTTCCTCTATTGAGAATTCTTTCTTCAGTTCTGTACCACATTTTTTAATAGGGTTATTTGGTGTTTTGTTGACTAGTTTCTTGAGTTCTTTGTATATTTTGGAGATCAGCCCTTTGTCGGATATAGGATTGGTGAAAATCTTTTCCCAGTCTGTGGGCTGCTGTTTGGTCTTGTCCACTGTGTCCTTTGCCTTACAGAAGCTTCTAAGTTTGAAGAGGTCCCATTTATTAATTGTTGTTCTCAGTGTCTGTGCCCCTGGAGTTATGTTCAGGAAGCAGTCTCCTATACCAATTTGTTCAAGGGTACCTCCCTCCTACTTTCTCTTCTAAGAGGGTCAATGTGGCTGGATTGATGTTGAGGTCTTTGATCCATTTGGACTTGAGTTTTGTGCATGGCGACAGACATGGGTCTATCTGCAGTCTTCTACACACCCTCATCCAATTGTGCCAGCACCATTTGTTGAAGATGCTGTCCTCGCCCCATTGTATAATTTTAGCTGTTTTGTTGAAAATCAGGTATTCATATGTGTGTGGGTTAATATCAGGATTTTCAATTTGATTCCATTGGTCTACCGGTCTATTTTTATACCAATACCAGGCTGTTTTCAGAACTATAGCTCTGTAGTAGAGCTTAAAGTCAGGAATGGTGATGCCTCCTGAAGTTCTTTTATTGTAAATGGTTGTTTTGGTTATCCTGGGTCTTTTGTTTTTCCATATAAAGTTGATTATTATCCTTTCAAGGTCAGTGAAGAATTGTGGTGGGATTTTAATGGGGATTGTATTGAATCTGTAGATTGCTTTTGGCAAGGTTGCCATTTTTACTATGTTTATCCTACCTATCCAAGAGCATAGGAGATCTTTCCATTTTCTGGTATCTTCTTTAATTTCTTTCTTTAGAGCCACAAAGTTCTTATTATATAGGTCTTTTACTTGTTTGGTAAGAGTTACACCAAGATGCTTTATGTTGCTTGTGGCTATTGTACAGGGTGATGTTTCCCTGATTTCTTTCTCTGTCTCTTTGTTGTCTGAAAAAAGTAGGGCTACTGATTTTTTTTTGAGTTTATCTTATATCCTGCTAGTTTGCTGAAGGTGTTTATCAGCTGTAGGAGTTCCCTGGTAGAGTTTATTGGGTCGCTTATGTAAACTATCATATCATCTGCAGATAGAGCCAGTTTGACTTCTTCCTTTCCAATTTGGATCCCCTTGATCTCCTTTTGTTGTCTTATAGCATTAGCTAGAACTTCTAGTACGATATTGAAGAGATATCGAGAGAGAGGGCAGCCTTGTCTTGTTCTTGATTTTAGAGTAATTGGCTTAAGATTCTCTCCATTCAGTTTGATGTTGGCAGTTGGTTTGCTGTATATTGCTCTTATTATGTTTAGATATGTTCCTGTTATCCCTGACTTCTCCAAGACCTTTATCATGAAAGGGTGTTGAATTTTGTCGAAGGCTTTTTCCGCATATAGGGAGATAATCATATGGTTTTTCTTTTTCTGTTTGTTTATATGGTGGATCACGTTGATAGATTTTCGTATGTTAAACCATCCCTGCATTCCAGGGATGAAGCCTACTTGGTCATGGTGGATGATTTCTCTGATGAATTCTTGAATTCGGTTTGCCTGTATTCTATTGAGTATTTTTGCATCAATGTTCATCAGGGATATTGGTCTGTAGTTTTCTTTCTTAATTTTGTCTTTGTGAGGTTTGGGTACCAAGGTTATTGTGGCCTCATAAAAAGAGTTTGGCAGTGAACCTTCTGTTTCTATCTTGTGGAACAGTTTGAGGAGTAGTGGTATTAGTTCTTCCTTGAATGTCTGGTAGAATTCTGCGCTGAATCCATCTGGCCCTGGACTTTTTTTGGTTGGAAGGCTTTTGATGACTGCTTCTATTTCATTGCGGGTTATAGGTCTATTTAAGTTGTTTGTCTGCTCTTAATTTAATTTTGGTAAGTGATAGTTATCCAGAAATTTGTCCATTTCCTTTGAATTTTCAATTTTTGTGGAATACAGATTTTCAAAGTATGACCTGAAAATTGTCTGGATTTCCTCTGTGTCTGTTGTTATGTTCCCCATTTCATTTCTGATTTCGTTAATTTGCATGTTCTCTCTCTGCTTTTTCATTAATTTGGATAAAGGTTTGTCTATCTTGTTGATTTTCTCAAAAAACCAACTCTTCGTTGCATTGATTTTTTTGTATTGTTTTCATGGTTTCTATTTTGTTGATTTCAGCCCTCAAGTTGATTATTTCCTGGCGTCTACTCCTACAGGGTGAATTCGCTTCTCTCTGTTCTAAGGCTTTCAGTTGTGCTGTTAATTCTCTTATGTGACTATCCTCTATTTTCTTCATATGGGCACTTAGTGCAATGAACTTCCCTCGTAGCACTGCTTTCAAGGTATCCCATAAGTTCAGGTATGTTGTATCCTCATTCTCGTTGAATATTAGAAAATCCTTAATTTCTTTCTTTATTTCTTCTTTGACCCAGGAATGGTGCAATTGCACATTGTTCAGTTTCCATGAGTTTGCAGGTTTTCTGCTATTTGTGTTGTTGTTGAATTCCAATTTTAAAGCATGGTGGTCCGATAAGATACAGGGGACTATTCCTATTCTCTTGTATCTGTTGAGGTTTGTTATGGCACCTAGTATGTGGTCGATTTTAGAGAATGTTCCATGTGGAGCAGAGAAGAAGATATATTCTTTTGTCTTTGGATGGAATGTTCTATAGATGTCTGTTAACCCCAGTTGAGACATAACTTCTGTTAATTCTTTTGTTTCTTTGTTGAGTTTCTGATTTGTGTTCCTGTCTAGTGTTGAGAGTGGAGTATTGAAGTCTCCCACTATAAGTGTGTGAGGTTTTATATGAGCTTTGAGTTTTAGTAGCGTTTCTTTTACGAATGTCGGTGACTTTGTATTAGGGGCATAGATGTTCAGAACTGAGACTTTGTGTTGATGGACTTCTCCTGAGATGAATATGAAATGACCATCTTAATCTCTTTTGACTAATTTTGGTTTGAAGTCTAACTTGTTAGATATTAGGATAGCTACACCTGCTTGCTTCTTATTTCCATTTGATTGGAAAATCTTTTCCCAACCCTTTACCCTGAGGTAATGTCTATCTTTGACACTTAGATGTGTTTCTTGTATGCAGCAGAAGGATGGATTCTGTCTTTGTATCCATTCTGTTAGCCTGTGTCTTTTTATAGGTGAGTTAAGACCATTAATGTTGAGGGTGAGTAAGAACCATTGATTGTTGATGCTTGTTTGATTTAGGTTTGTTGTTGGCAGTGGTATTGTGAATATATTAGTTCTGCTTTACCCTTGGTTTCTGGTATAGTTGGATTATCTGTTGCCTACATTTTTGTGGGCGTAGTTACCTTCCTTGGGTTGGAGTTTTCCTTCCAATACTTTCTGTAGGGCTGGATTTGTAGATACGTATTGGGAAAATCTGGTTTTGTCATTAAATATCTTGTTCTCTCCATCTATAGTGATTGAGAGTTTTGCTGGATATAGTAGCCTAGGCTGGCATTCGTGTTCTCTTAATACTTTTAGAATATCTATCCAGGACCTTCTGGCCTTGAGGGTTTCCATGGAGAAGTCAGGTGTAATTTTGATAGGTCTGCCTTTATATGTTACCTGTCCTTTTTCCTTCGCTTCTCTTAATATTCTTTCTTTATTCTGTATGTTAGGTGTTTTGATTATTATATGTCGAGGGGTCTTTTTTCTTTGGTCCAGCCTATTTGGGGTTCCGTATGCTTCTTGTACTTTCATGGGCATGTCCTTCTTCAGATTGGGAAAGTTTTCCTCGATGATTTTGTTGAATATGTTTTCTGCACCTTTGAGCTGGGCTTCCTCACCTTCCTCTATGCCTATTATTCTTAGGTTTGGCCTTTTCATGGTGTCCCACATTTCCTGGATGTTTTGTGTTAAGGATTTGTTGGATTTATGATTTTCTTTGGTCGATGAATCTATTTCTTCTAGTTTATCTTCTGCGCCTGAGATTCTCTCTTCCATCTCTTGAATTCTGTTTGTTATGCTTGTGTCCATAGTTGCCGATTTTTTGCCCAGCTTTTCTATTTCCAGCATTCCTTCAGTTTGTGTTGCCTTTATTTTCTCTATTTCAGTTTTCAAATCTTGAACTGTTTCCTTCACCTGCTTAATTGTTTTTTCTTGGCTTTCTGTACTTTCCTTAAGGAATTTGTTCATTTCTTCTACTTTTTTGTTTGTTTTTTCCTCCATTTTTTTTAAGGGATTTTCTCACATCTTCATTGAGGGCCTCTATCATTTTTATGATGGTAATTTTTAAGTCGTTCCCTTCTGCTTCCTCTGCTTTGTTGTTGTGTTCCATTCTAGTTGGTGTAGATTCCCTAGATTCTGGAGGTGTCATGCTTGTCTTTCTGTTGTTAGGTGTTTTCTTGTATTGCCTTCTTCCCATAGCTTCTTCCAGTAGGTGTTGGTGGGGGCTCCCCCTCTCTCTATGGTACTTCCCCGGTGGGCTTATGTGGGTCTGAGATTCAATATCTGTAGCTCTGTGTGGTCCAAGCTCTCTAGGAGGTTTCTCTGCAGACAGGGACCCAGGGATGGGGTCAAGGATGAGGATCCAGTAGAAGATGCCAGGTACTCACAGTGGTCCTGCAGAGATAGGTGGATCTCTGGGAGGGGCCCAGGACTCCAGCAGAGGACTGGAGGCAGGGTCAGTGACCAAGCAGGTGGAAATTACGGGTGGTCCCGCGTGGATAGTCAGGTCTCCTTTGTTCAGAGTTGCTCTGGGAAGTCTCCGAAGTAGGGTGGACTGTTGGCTCCACCCTCTGTCCCAGTGCTCAACCAGAATGGCAGGACCATGGGTAGGGTAGGCACAGGGTATGGGGGTAGGCTCGCGGTGGGGATGGGTGGGGATGTATCAGAGCTCCAAGGGTGCTCTCGATGGAGACAGGAGCAGCAGGATCAGGGGCCAACCCAGGGAGTTCAGGTGGGGAAGGGGGCAAAAGAGGTTGTAGGGGACAGGCTGCCCTGATTGGGCCCAGACTCACCTCTGGCCAATAGCTGGTGGAAGAGGACAAGGGCTGAGCTGGAACTTGGGAAGGTTTTGCAGGATAGTCTGATCTCACTGGAAACTGGAACTCTCCAGCTGAGGCCTCTTTCTTTAGCAGAGGCCCGGATTTGGGGGTAAAGGATCTTGCCTGCAGGAACTCAGAGTGGACCCGCAGAGATAGGCGGATCTCTCTAGTATTTATATTTTAATCTCATGTTTATTCTAGATGTGTCAAAGCTAGAATCCTCAGCTGTGGTTCATGTTATTGGTCACAGCTTGATTAACTTGTCATTTCTGTTGTAGGAAGATGTGCTCCTCTGTCCATCTTTGTTTAGTATAGTAGCTATCTTTTTAAAAATAAAAATTAGCTAAGTATCTTTTTATATTGAAATATTTATTTCCTAGTTGATAGCTAACATGTTAAAAATTTGTTACGTCACTAAAGGAAAATGTTTGTGTTTTAGGAAAGTCTTGCAGTTGTTTATACAACTGACTGCCCTGCTCAGTATACTATCTATGAGCCCGTGATCCGACTCAAGGGCCAGGTGAAAACTCAGCTCACTCAGAGACCCTTCAGCTCAAAGGAAGCCCAGAGCATCTTGCTAGAACCTTCTCAACTCAAAAGTCTCCGGCCTACAGAATGTAAAACCATCCAGGGTATTCTGCATGAGATTGGTGGAGCTGGTGTATTTGTTTTTCTCTTTGCTAGGGTAAGAATCATGATTATAGTTTTGTTTAAACAAAAGCTCCCTCCCTTTTATTGACAAATTGAAGGAGTTTTTGTAGAGTACCAAAAAAACTGTATTCCACTATGTAAAACTTTAAGACAAAAAAAATTATCATATATTACAGATAATACCAAGCTTTCTGCCGAGGATGATTAAGGTTTAATTTATGAAGATTTTAGAAGTTTTCTATTATCCACAAATTGGAACAAGTACATGTTAAATATGTGAGATTTTAAATTGCCTTTGGAAAGAAAATATGCCATTCTAATGATATGAAGGAAATGTTTTTTTTCTTTTAAAATGGTTTTTCATTATGTGTATGTGTCTATGTATGTGTATTCACAAATTTGTGTAGATACTGGTAGAAGCCATCGAAGAACATTAGAGTCCCTGGAGCTGTAGGTACAGGCAGTTGTGAGTCACCTGGCGTGGGTACTGGGAACCAAACACAGATCCTCTGGAAAAGCAGCAAGCCTTCTTTAACCATTGAGCCACCTCTGTAGAGCCAAAACATGTTTTTTTTTTTTTTTTAAAAGAAGAGAGAGACAAAACTTTGACTCCATTTTTAAAATAAACCATTTATTTATCTTCTCTCTTTAGCTACTTACAGGCAGGAAGAATATTTTTCCTGATAGAGAATGAGCAGTCCATAATTTCATCCTTTCTATTTTAAAGGTTGCTGAAAAACACAATGTGGGCACAAATAATCTAATTTTTATACATATAATTTCTACTTCCTCATCTCTACATTTCTATTTAATTAAAGAAACTTTGATCTTCCTTTATCCTTAGCACTTCATTTTATTTTTTCCCTAAGTATAACTTTTAAAACATCATCAGATTTTCACAGTATGTCCTTAACTAGCTTCCTTTAATGTGGCCATTTTTGATTTAATTTTGCAAGAAAAGAGTGTATTAACATTTGTTTTTGTTAGTTTGTTTTTCAAAAAATCTTACTAATGTCTTGCCTACCCCAGTGTGTTTCCTGTCTTGTCATTCTCTCATTGCTTTTCTCTCACCTAGTATATAGGTGAATAGATTTTCCACAAATATTTCAAAAGTAAAACTTTCATTTAACTTCTAATCAATGTTTTGCTATCTCTTTTTACATTGTAATTTCAATATTATGCCCTTGGGTTTTCCTGTTTTATCCATTTGGTAAATATAATTGGAACCTAGAAAAGAGATTTGATTTAGATTAAACATGCATTTATGATCTTGCTAGAAGACTTTTAAAGTATGTTTTCGTATTTAAAATTCAGAAATTGTGTTCAATATCCTTCTGTTTCCTAAAAGTCTTATATGCATATCCTAATTTCCTGCATAACAGGAACATGTACCTTCTTAAGGTGTTCCAATGCAGGCCTTGACCTTCTAGATGTGCCCTGCTTTCAAGGCAGAGTCTGGCTTTCTCTTCAGGCTAGCTTTTCAGCACAGCCTTCCTTAAACCAGCAGAGGAATCTGCACAGTGGATACTGTGCAAGATTCTAAATATATGTGAGGTCAAAATCTAAACCCCGTTTTTGCCATCTGTCATGATGATCATACCTACTTCTTTTTTGTGTGTTTTGTTTTTTGTTTTTTGGGACAGGGTTTCTTTGTGTAGCTCTGGCTGTTCTGGAACTCACTCTGTAGACCAAGCTGGCCTTGAACTCACAGAGATCTGCCTGCCTATGTATGCCTCCCAAATGCTGGGGTTAAAGGTGTGCTCCACCACTGCTGGGCTTCTTGTTGTTTTTGTTTTTGAGGCAGGGTTTCTCATGCCTGGTTCTTAAAAGTCAGAGATATCGACGGTATTGGTTGAACTGTGATACTAAGTACAATGTGTGGCTTTTATTTTTCCCTTTATCTTTATGATAGACAAGGGCCTTCACTGGTAAATTGACCCTTTGATTCTTTATGCACCTCCCTGAAGCACATCATGTTGCTGAGCCTGTTTCTTTATTGACCATGGAAAACTCAAATTCTATGATCCCATTTCAGATTACTAAATATAAGATGATACTGACTTCTAAGGCTGTTGGTGTTACCTCTGTTCATTTTAGTATATTTGAGAAATGAAAAGGAATGGGTTTTATGATTTTCTCCCAGTTTTACTTATCCACAGTTCTTATAGTTAGTACAAGCATTAATAGCTTGATATAACATTATTATAAATAATCACACATTAAATTTTTACTATTAACAGAACAAGAGAAAAACATCATTTTTGTGTTTTCAGGTTGTTGAACTCAGTGGTTGTGAAGAAACTCAAGCATTAGCACTGCGGGTTATATTGTCTTTGATTAAGTATAGCCAACAGAGAGCACATGAATTGGAAAATTGTAATGGACTTTCTATGATTCATCAAGTGTTGGTGAAACAGAAATGCATTGTTGGCTTTCACATTTTGAAGGTATGACCTCACAAAATTTGTTCTTGTGGTTTCTATACAGTGACACACCCTTCATAATAATTGTATGTTGCTAGTAAATGAAGGAAACCCACGAATGCACTCAAACCAAGGTATACTTTGATTCTTTCCATAATATGTATATTTTTCTTTTTTCTAAAGCCTTTTGGAAAGGAAGAAAATAAACTACAAGAACTTTAGCTCTAAATAGACCACAGATGTACTCCAAGCCCTTTGTTCTGTGGGCTAATGAAGTTGTTTATCTCACTCCCACACTTCTATTTCTCCAGAGATGTACTACTGCAGTCAGTCAATGTTGTTTGCCATGTGTGTGTGCAGGAGGCCTTAGGATATGTATGTACTTGTTTGTGTACATATATGAATGTACAAGCAGGTGTGTATGTGTGTTCTTGGAGATTGATTGTCAGGTGTCTTCTCTAGCTCTCCACCTTCATTTTTTGAACCTGAAGTTTTATCATTCAGCTTGTCTAAATTCTCTGGCTTCTGGCCTGCCTTAGTGCTGCTACAGAGATGCATAGCCACATCTACCTCTTATTATAAGAGTTTTCAAACTCATGCTTGTGAGGCAAATGCTTTACCAGCTGAGCCATTTCCCCAGCTCTGATGGTTAGTTTTTGCTATATAGTATTTTATTTATTATTTGAGAATTTTATACATACACATAATATATTTTGATCATATCCACTCTCTACTTCTCCCCTCCAACACTCCTGGACTCCTTCCCAACAAGACCTCATCCCAACTTCATATACTCTTGTTCTCCTCCTCCTCCTCCTTCTCTTCCTTCCTCCTTCCTTCTTCTTTCTTCTTCCTCCTCCTCTTCCTCCTACTCCTTCTTTTGAAAATAGATTCTTTTTTTATACAATATAAATTCTTTCAGCTTCCTTGTCCTTGGAATTCCCTGACTTTTGAAGGGAGGGATTTGATGGAGACCTCCAATTTATATTCTTTTTCTGCATAATGTCTGGCTGTGGGTCTCTGCATCTCTTCCCATCTGCTGCCAGAGGAAGTCTCTCTGACTATGACTGACTAAGGCACTGATCTATGAGTATAGCAGAATATCATTGGGAGTCATTTTATTGATTTTTCTTTTCTTTTTTAGGCCAGTAATGTTTGGTTTTACCCTAGGTCTCTAGGCTACCTAGTCTTTGTTTCTTGGCTACCCAAGTAGTGTCAGGTGTGGGTTCCTTCTCCTGAAGTGGGCCTTATGTCAATTCAGACATTGGTTGGTTATTCCCACAAGTTCTGTGCCACCATTGCCCTAGTGTATTATGCAGGCAGGACAGATTCTAGGTCAAAGGTTTTCTGGATGGGTTGGTATCTATATTTCTCTTTTTGTAGCCTGAAGAGTACCTTCCTATACTAAAGAGACTAGAACTTATGGGTGAGTGTTCAATTAGGGGTGAAAATTAGACACCAGCTCTGCTTCTCCATGTTTAATAAGTTATGTAAATGTTGTCTTTGACAATGAAGCCCCACTGTCAGTTTGCAGAGAGCAACATTTTGCTTTGAAACATCTTGGGTTGTTTGGGGATTTCCATGGGATCCCCTTGGCCAACAAGTTAGTTGAATACAGCCTAGTCCTGCCATTGGAAGCCTCAGTTGTCTACAAGAGATGGCCAGTTAAGACTCCATATCCTGCATTAGTAGGATATGAAGTTGCCCTCATAGATTCTAGGAAGTTTCACAGTACTGGGTTTCCACACTACCCCCATATGTCCCTCAATTCCAGCCATCTCTCACCATATTCTCCCTGTAACCCAAATTCCCTTGCATCTGACCCCTTGCACCTGATCCACTGTTTCCATCTTCATTCCCAGTCCACCTGTAAAATCTATTCTATATCCCTCTCCCCAGGAAGTTCCTGCATCCATCCCCCCTGACTACTTCCTTTTTACCTAAACTTTCTGGGTTTATGAACTGTAGCTTGGTTATCATTAACTTAATAGCTAAAATATAAGTGAGTGCATACTATATTTATCTTTCTGGGTCTGCATTACCTCCCTCAGGATGATTTTTTTTTTTTTTTTTTTGTAGTTCCATCCATTTGTCTGAAAGTTTCATGATGTCATTTTTTTTAAGAGCTGAATATTACTTCATTATATAAATAGTCCACAATTTCTTTACTCATTCTTCTGTTGAGGAAGTGTCCTTTGGGTATATAGCTGTATCTTGAGGTAGATAGATTAGATTCCCAACTTTCTGAGTAACTGTCATATTGATTTCCATGGTGGCTGTAAAGTTTGCACTCCCACCAGCAATGGAAGAGTGTTCCCCTTGCTCTATCAGAATCAGTTGTCACTTGTTTTTGTTTGTTTGTTTGTTTTTAATTTTAGCCATTCTGACAGGTTGTAAGATGGAATTTCAGAGTTGTTTTGATTTGCATTTCCCTGATGGCTAAGGATGTTGAACATTTTAAGTGTTTCTCGGCCATTTAAGATTCCTCTATTGAGAATTCTCTGTTTAGACTATACCCCATTTTTAATTGAATAATTTGAACATTTTGAAATCTAGTTTCTTGAGTTCCTTATAAGATTGTGATATGAGTCCTCTATCAGATGTGGATTTGATAAAATAATTTTTCCTGTTCTATAGGCTGCTGCTTGACCTTAATCCTAATATCTGTGTCCTTTGCTTTACAGAAGCTTTGCAGTTTCATGAGATCCCATTTATTAATTGTTGGTCTTAGAACAAATTGGTGTTCTATTCAGAAAGTCATTTCCTGTTCTGAGGCATTCAAAGCTATTCCCTACTTTTTCTTCTATCAGGTTCAGTGTATCTGGCTTTATGTTGTTGAGGTCTTTGATCCACATGGACTTGAGTTTTGTGCAAGTTGATAAATATGGGTCTATTTAGATTCTTCTACATATAGCCATCCAGTTTGACCATCAGGATTTGTTGAAGATGCTTTTATGCTTTTTCTAGTGTGTATTTCTAGCTTTTTAATAAAAAATCTTGTCCATAGGTGTGTGGACTTATGTCTAGGTCTTCAATTTTATTTCATTATCAGCACATCAGTTTTTATGCCAATACCATGTGGGTTTATTATTATTATTACTATAGCTCTGTAGTACAACTTGAAATTGGGAATGATAGAACATCCAGCAGTTCTTTAATTGTCCATGATTGTTTTCACTATCCTGAAGTTTTTGTTTTTCCATATGAAGTTGAGAATTGTCCTTTTAAGATCTGTAAAGAACTGTGTTGTAATTTTGATGGGGATTGCATTCAATCTATAGGTTTTTGGTAGGATGCCCATTTTTACTATGTTAATCCTACCATTCAATGAGTGTGGGGGATCATGCCATTTTTGTTATATTCTTCAAAGACTAGAAGTTTTTAATTATACACGTCTTTTACTTGCCTAGTTAGAGTTATCACAAGATACTTTATATTATTTGAGGGTATTATAAAAGGTGTTGCTTCTCTGATTTCTTTCTCTGTTCATTTGCCATTTTATATAGGAGGGCTGCTGGTTTTTCTTTTTTCTTCTTTATCTTTCTTTTCTCTTTTTGAGTTAATCTTGGTCCAGCCACTTTGCTGTAGTGTGTATCAGCTGTAGGTGTTCCCTGGTCGGACTTTTAGAGTCACTTACATATACTGTCATGCAATTTGAAGATAACCATACTTTGACTTCTTCCTTTCCAATTTGTATTCTTTTGATTTACTCTAGTTATCTTATTGTTCTACCTAAAACTTCAAATATTTAATAGCCTTGTCTTATTCCTGATTTTAGTGGAATTGCTTTGAATTTCTCTCCATTTAATTTGATGTTGGCTATAGGCTTGCTGTAATTTGCCTTAATTATGTTGAGGTATGTTCCTTGTATCTCTACTATCTCCAAGACTTTTATCATGAAGGGATATTGAATTTTGTCAAAAGCTTTTTTGGTATCCAATGAGATGATCATGTGTTTTGTTGTTGTTTTTTTTCTTTCAGTTTGTTTATATGGTGGATAACCATCCTTGCATCTCTGGGATGAAGCCTACTTGATCATGGTGGATTTTTTTTTTTTTTTATGTGTTCTTGGATTCAGTTTGCGAGTATTTTATTGAGTATTTATATCTGTGTCCTTAAGGGGAATTAATCTGTAATTCTATTAAGTCTTTTTGTGGCTTGGGTATCAGGGTAGCTGTGACCTCATAAAATTAATTGAGCAATGTTCCTTCTGTCTCTATTTTGTGGACTAATTTGAGGAGTATTGGCATTCATTTTTCTTTGAAAATATGGTAGAATTCTGGGCTAAAGCCATCAAGCCCTAGGCTTTTTATGGTTGGGAGACTTTTGATGACTGCTTTTATTTCACTGGGGGGATCTAGGTCTATTTAAATTGTTCGTCTTATCTTGGTTTAACTTTGATAAATGGTAGCTGTCAAGAAAATTGTCCATTTCTTTTAGATTTTTCAAATTTGGTGGAATGAAGGTTTTTAAAGTATGTCCTTATGATTCTCTGGATTGCCTCAGTGTCTGTTGTTATATCCCCCTTTTCATTTCTGACTTTGTTAATTTGTATATTCTCTCTCTGCATTTTAGTTAGTTTGGATAAGGGTTTGTCTATCTTACTGATTCTCTCAAAGAAGCAACTCTTTGTCTCATTGATTCTTTTCTTTGTTTCTATTTTATCAATTTCAACCCTCAATTTGGTTATTTTTTCCCATTTACTCCTTGTGGGTGTGATTACTTATTTTTTATTCAGGTGTACTGTTAAGTTGCTTGTATGAGACCTCTCCAATTTTTTATGTAGGCTCTTAGTGATATGAACTGTCCTCTTATAGGTCACTTTTGTTGTGACCTATAAGTTTGTGTATGCTGTGTATTCACTTTCATTAGATTCTAGAAAGTCTTTAATTTCCTTCTTTATTTCTGACTTGACCCATTTTTCATTCTGTAGTGAGTTATTCAGTTTCCATGAGTTTGGAGCTTCTGTTGTTGCTATCCAGCTTTAATCCATGGTGGTCTGACAATATACAGGGAGTTATTTTAGTTTACTTGTATCTGTTGAGACTTGCTTTTGTGACCAAGTATGTGTTCAGTTTTGCACCATGAGGTGCAAAATAGAAAGTATACCACCACCACCCCAGATAGTGTTTCTTTGTATTTTTGTAGACCCATCTGGCCTCAAACTCATGTGTCACCACTGCTTGGCTGAAAAGTATATTCTTTTGTGTTTGGTCCATTTGGTTTATAACACCTGTTAGCTCCAGTATATCTGTATTTAGTTTTTGTCTGGGTGACCTATCCATAAGTAAGAGTAGGATATTGAAGTCTTCACATTATCAGTTTGTGAGGGTCAGTATGTGATTTAATCTATAGTGTTTCCTCTACAAACTTAGGCACCCTTGTGTTTGGGACTTAGATGTTAAGAATTGAAATGTCATCTTGGTGGATTTTCCCTTTGATGAATATGTAGTATTCTTCCTTATTTCTTTTGATTAGTTTTGGTTGAAGTCCATTTTTTTATATTAAAATAGCAATACCAGCTTTGCTTCTTCAGTCCATTTTTTTGGAATATCTTCCTGAGGTGATGTTTATCCTTGATGTTTAGGTTTTAATAGTCTTTCTTTGTTCTGTATGCTTAGTATTTTGATTATTATGGGGTGTGGGGGTTTTCTTTCTTTCCTTTTTTTCTTTCTTTTTTTTTTTTTTATTTTTCTTTTTTTCTCGAGACAGGGTTTCTCTTTATTGCTTTGGAGCCTGTCCTGGAACTCGCTTTGTAGACCAGGCTGGCCTCGAACTCACAGAGATCCACCTGCCTCTGCCTCCTGAATGCACTAAAGGCATGCACCACGGCATGAGGGGATTTTCTTTTCTGATCTAATCTATTTGGTGTTCTTTATGTTTCTTGTACTTTTATTGGCATCTTCTTCTTTTGGTAAGAAAAATTTTCTTGTATGATTTTGTTGAAAACATTCTCTGGGCCTTTAAGCTGGTTTTCTCCTTCCTCTGTACCTATTATTCTTAGGTTTGCTTTTCTCATATTATCTAGATTTCCTGGATATTTTATACCAGGAGTTTTTTTTAATTTATTGTTTTCTTTGACCAATATATCTATTTCTTCTATCATATTGTCTAGGCCTGAGATTCTTTCTTTATATGTTATTCTGTTGATGAAGCTTGCCTCTGTAGCTTGTGTTTGAATTCCTAAATCTTTAATTTCCAGAAGTCCCTTAGTTTGTGTTTTCTTTATTGATTTTACTTCCAATTTCAGGTCTTGAACAATTTTATTTTCTTACTCTGTGTTTTCCTGGATTTCTTTAAGGGATTTATTAATTTTCTCTTTAAGGACCTCTATTGTAGTCATAAAAACCGTTTTATGGTCTTTTTCTTATGTTTCATCTATGTTGGTCTATTAAGGGTCTGCTATGGTAGGATAGCTGGGCTCTAGCAGAGACATATTGCTGTCTTGGCATCTGGGTTTGGGATGATTAAAGCTCCATGTGCTGATTTCTTTGTTGTGTAGATGCGTTGTTCCTTGGTGTCTTTCCTTTTTGTATTTTCTGAGAGTGTGATGGCTGTATGTTGCCTATTTTCCTGGCCTATTCAACTAGTGTGTCCATGGGGAATACCTGCTGGTGTTGGAGACTGGGATGCTGGGATGAGTTGGGGAAAGGGAAGGAAGATTGGAAGAGAAGGTCTTTGTGATTCCTTAGGGATGGGGTGGGAGAGGAAAGAGAGAGCACAGATTTTCAGTTACAGAGATAGGGATGAGACTGAGGGATTGGATCTCAGGAGCAGTAGGAGAGGTGTGAGTCTGCCTTCAGCCTTTTTGTTGCCTTGGGAGGAGTGGCCTTTGGGTTAGAAGAATGTATCTTCTGGGAATGGAGTCTAGGATAAAACAGTGAGTTGGGGGAGGAAGGTTAGGAGGGGATAGTGTGTGGGATCAACAGGAGATTCCTGCAGCAGTGAGGGAGGGCTGCAGCTGGTGTTCTTTCTGTTGCAGTGTTGGTGTTGAGACTTGGGATTGGGTCTGGTGAAACAGAGAAAGGAGAAAGTCTGTGGGCTGCCTACCTGATTTTCTAGTAGGAGTGGCCTATGGTTTAGCAGGGGGTCCCTACTGGAGTTGTGAGATAGGATATAGCCATGAATGGGGGAAAGGAGGTTAGAAGAGGATTGGAGGAACTCCACAGAAGATGTGTGTTGGGAGTGGGGAGGGGGGAACTGTAGGGGGTGGGAGAGGTAGGCTGCAGCTGGTGTTCAGTTGCAGTTGTAGGATAAAGACTGGGGAATGGGTCTGGGGGAATAGAGGGGTAAAGGTCTGCAAGCAGCCTATCTGGTTTTCTGACAAGTATTGTTTTTCATCCTCTTGCTCTTTAAAAATAAAACAAAAACAAAGCAACAATAACAACAACAACAAACTATCTAACCTAGTGGGTCCAGTTATTACTGCCTGTATGCACATGGGTGTGGGGCAATCTACTGAAGCACAGAGAACCTAGCAAAACCCACACTCTGAAGCAAATTACACTTTTTTCAGCAGCCATCAGTTGCCAATAACTCCTCAACTAGTGATGGTGGTTCATGAACCCCTTCACCGTGCTGGACTATTAAATGGCTTGATTTTGTATAGCTGCTGTAAATGCATGTATGCAAAAGCCTTGTCATATCCAGAAGATGGCATCTCATGGCAATCCTCACCATTCTTGCCTTCCCATCTTCTTTGATGTTCCCTGACTCTTGGGAACAGAGAGGTAGATATAGATACCCTCTTTAGGGCCAAATGTTCATATTCAGTACAAAAAGAATCTTCTGTGATCAAGATTGAAAGCCACAGAAATCTATGGTTATAAACATAAGTACTTAGAAGATAAGATAATATAACCATTTAGCATGATAACAATAGAATGTTCTCCCTATGCCATGGTCTTTTGAATAGGCATGAATTTCCCTCCTATGAATAATCATACCCTCTTGTGGCCTCTAGGGTAACTGCACTCTTTACATACCCCCCACACACACACACACATATAGACCACACTAAGTAAAACAAAATATAAAATCCAAGAGATAAATTCACTTGTGTGAGCCTTAGCTTCCAAAATCATTTATGCCTCATGAGGTTACCTGGAGGATTAAGCAGTCTAAAATACGCATATTTACACTGGAACTTGAACTCAGAGCAGCAAGAATAAATCAAAGGGTGGAGATTTGCTCCACGATAGAGTGCTTATCTGCAATGAACAAACCCCAATTTCAATTTTAGCATTGCAAAAAATGAAGAATAAAGATGAATTGTAGGTGGTTTTTACCCTTTGTTTAAAAACCAAATAATCATAACTATTTGAAAATTTATGATTTGCTACTAAATTGAATTGTTGTATAAAACAGATGTATGGAGAAATGTTTAATTCCTCATTAGTTTTCCTTTAAGTTTGATGTTATAACTGCTGAAATAGAAAGCTTGATATTTCTGGTGAGTTATTTGGTTATTCTGTTATTACTGCATTGTACATTAATGCTCATTGTACATTAATGCTAATTTCTATAGACACTTCTTGAAGGTTGCTGTGGTGAAGAGGTTATCCACATCAGTGAGCATGGAGAGTTCAAGCTGGATGTCGAGTCTCATGCTATAATCCAAGATGTTAACCTGTTGCAGGAACTGTTGCTCGACTGGAAGATATGGAATAAGGCAGAGGCATGTTATGTGCACTTTTATTTCATCTGTGTGTTGTGGTAAAGTACATATAGCATCCAGTTTGTTTATCCCGATCACATTAAGTATGTTGTCCAGAAGCATTATTTGTATGTAAATGTTATACAGCCATTACCAATATTTATCTCCATAGTTTTTTTCATATTATAAAAACAAAACTCTATATCCATCAAACCTCTTTGCCTCTCCTCCTGGTTTTCACAACTACCATGGTATTTTGTGGTCTGTGATACTCTTAAGTATCTCATAGAAATGGAATCATGCAGTATTTGTTTCTTTATAATTAGACTAGTATAATGCCCTCAGGATTCATCCAGGATTATTGTTCTTGTGAGGTTGAGGAATATTCCAGTGTGAGTATATGATATGGTGTCTCACCCTCCAAAGGACATTTAAATATAATCACCTAAATAAATGTTTTGAAGGACATGAAGTTGGAAGGAGGGGTGAGGTACATTTGGAAGGAGTTATGGGAGGAGTATGAACATGATCAAAATGCATTGAATGCATGTATGAAATTATTAAAGAATTAATAAAAATTTCAAAACAATTACTAATTATTTTAGAGGAGAGGATGTTTTTGTTTCTTCAGTGTAATGTTAATTATAAATGTAAATCTAGAGGTTTGTTCCCTGTGTGGAGTTTTGAACTGCCTAAGGTAATGATGAGCTAAAAGGAATAAATTTTAAGACTTTCTTGCTTCAACCCCAACAAATTTAATATGCACAGTGTCAAGGAGTTATGTTTCAAGTCTTCTAAGAGGTCCACAGCATGTTTTCCATAACTGTGTGCTAATTGGTGCATGTTTATTTTCTCAGCAAGGTGTGTGGGAGACTCTGCTAGCAGCTCTGGAAGTCCTCATCCGGGCAGAGCACCACCAGCAGCAGTTTAATATTAAGCAGTTGCTCAACGCCCATGTAGTTCATCACTTCCTACTGACTTGTCAGGTTTTACAGGTACTTTTCATGTAGCTTCTCTGCAGAGATGTCTCCTGCAGTTGCTTCTGTTTAATAACCTACTGTTGTGCACATCAAGATTTCACAAGCCTGTTAATGGGAATATTTTTCTGTCTTTTGTCTTACCTGCTCTGCAAGCCTGTTTTCTTTCAGCTCTTGCCTCCTGATCTTTACACTGTAATCTTCTCTATTTCAAACTACAAAAGAACAACTAGTAAATTTCTGCATGTTTCTTTGTGTTGAAATATAGTAATTTTGTCGTTTCCTGAATACCAACATACAGTGATCCCTAACTTATTATATAGTTTGTAACTAACAACTTATACATATGTATGCTTTTAATAAATACAACTTACTGTAGGTCTATTTTATATGTTAATTAGCAACATGCAACTATATCCAAAATGTTATGTTAAAAAGTGACAGTGGCTTACATTCTATGCCTGTGCTGTGATCTGCATTTACAATGTCCTTTTTTATCTGCTTGGTTAGTATAGTGGACTATTTTCAAAGCTTTTATTTTTGATTTTAATGTTTGAAGCATCCATTGGTTGGTCATTTCAAGTGAGATAAGTCCAGATAAGGTGGGATCTATGGGAACTTATTTCATGAGGCTAGTGCCTTTGCTTCTGTAGCCTGACACCTTCACAGTATAGTTGGGTTAAAATCCAAATACGATGACATGCCAGCCTCTTAGGTCACTAAACTCCTGGTATTTTTTCCTCCTCTAGCCACAAATGAGAGGTCTCCCTTCCTCTGGCACATGATCTTCCTTTTTTGATCCTGTTGTGTTCATTTGGCCCACATGTACTTATTCCTGGGGCTTCTAATTTTTACACTTTTGCATCTCCTTAAACTCGCTCCTGAAAAGAAGCCTGCCCTGATTTTTTTTTTTCATCTTAATTGGCCAATTCTGCTTTATACATTTGTTCTCACTGTATATATATATAGTGTGGTTTTATGTTGTTCATGATATTACAGTTTATTTCCCTCTGTAACTCTTCTGAAGGTCAGACATGGGGTTTTTGCTGCTGCTGCTGCTAACCACACTCTGACCTCTGTATCAGGAACACATGAGCACTAAATGAATACTTGTTATAAAAAAGCATCATATGTACCTTTCCAGGTACATATAACATTAGGTTATTGTCTTTGATTTCTTAGCTTGCTGAATATTTTACATATCATTTGTGCTTCCTTTTTCCTCTAAATTTGTTTATCCATTTTCAAATTTATTATCAATTTGCAGTAATTGAATGACCATGTGATAGTCAGCCTTTTCAATATATTTTCCTCTTCCATAATTGTTATGCAAAATGCTTTTAAAACTCAGGTACCAATTCCTTTTTCTGAAAGGTCTTTTTTTGAAATTTTCATTCATAAAATCTGTTCATTACATTTTATTAAACATGAATCATATGTAAAGAAATGAACTTGGTCTTTGCATTTACAATATCTCAGTGTCTTTGTGGCATTTTGGAAAGAGAAATGAATTAGAAGCACAATGAATATGAGACAGAGTATAGTGTACAGACCCTGAGCTAAGGTGATAAAGTGAGGGTGTAAAGTAGGAAGCAAGTATGAAGAAAATTAAAAAGATATCATTACTAAGGCTAGTTCTGTTTCAGTAGAGTTGTCAGGAGTCTATATATTATATTATATTATATTGTTATATACACATATATTTGAAAATACTAAAAACTGTGAGGATGAAAGATTGATAGCATCAAAAAAGTGGCCAAATTTTATTTTTCATCATACTGCCTACATCTGGGCTTTCAGCAGGGCACTCAGTGGCAGTGGTTGTGAACCTACAGGGACAAGATAGCACTCCCAGGTAAGCAGCCTAGCTAGGATGTAATGAAGGCTGAGAATGTTTTGCCTTGGGAATATCCATTCTCCAATATGAAGACAGGAAATAGTAGCTATAAAAAGAGTAACCAAAGAGAAGAACCTGGAAAGTCAGGAGAGTGAAAGCTGGGGTGAGCAAAGGACAAAGAGATAGCACAAGGAGCCGTGTGATGAAAAAAAGCTCATTGATGATACAAGGGAGAGAAGGGAGGGTAAAAGAGGCATGATTAAAAGAAAGTCAGGTGACTATAGCAGAAATGCGCTCTGAGTTAGAAGTGAGGAGGTGTAATTTCTTGTTTTGGTCAGGACAGTTGAGAGACTTTAACAGGTTTTCTTCTTAAATCTGAGCTAGTTGGATGACTAAATTATCTCAGAATTAACAACTCTCTTTTAAGTATTCTGATTCAGGAGTATATCAGAGTAAATGAAGTGAGAGTTTGTATTGTATTTGGACATAGGGAGACAGAAGACAGAGCAGTTTTATATTCTGTGCCCTTAATCAGGAGGTTAATTACTAGCCTCTGGGAAGATGGAGTTGAAGGACATAAACAAGTTATGTCAGCCTCTATTTTTAGTAATGCAAGACATCCTACCAAGTTCTATAATCTAAGTTATTGATAGTAAAGCACAAAGATGCTCGGGGCCTGAGTTTGGGTTATAGTTAAACAATTATTTGTTTCTTTGTGTGGTTCATGCTAGTTAAATAACTACTTTAAGCCCATATTCTAGAAGTGAAAGATAAGACCACTGTAAAAAACATTGTGAGAAAGAACTTTGTAAGCCAGGGCACAGTATAGCACTATAACTAATTTGCTCTATTGCAAGAGGCACTTCCAGATGTAGTAAACATAGTGGAGTCATAGTACTAAGAGTGATGCTAGTATTTAAAAAAGTAAGTTTCATGCACTTAAAAAAAAATCAGTTTGGAACATTTCCAATTTTGGTATTATAGGTCTTCATCTATGAAGTCTGTCAAGATACCCTCCCCCAGTCTGAAAACCTGAAATCTGAAGCTGTTCTTCCAGCTTTTTAAATTACAAGATGGTACCCTGCATAGGACTTAGTGTCTGAGGCAATGTTCTAGGAGATTATGTCATTTAATTCTTAAAATGATCTTATGCACTAGCATTAGCATTATTCATATACACAAAGATAGCATGGCAATGTTAATCTAAGTGTAGGGCCACATTGCACACTTGGACACTTTAGCTTTTGAGTCTAGGTTTGTGAGTTTGGCAGTGTAACTTGGCTTAGTTAACTAAATTAAAAGGGCTAGAATTAAATCACCATCACTTTTAATGAATTTTTAATGGCAAGAATATTTGAGTTGAGAAGTAGTGCCTCAATTTAATGGTAAATATATTCATACTAGAGTAGTAAAACAACAAAATTCTATCTTAAAAATAATAGCAATGAGATGATTTTGCAGGTAGGGTGCTTGCCATGTAGGGCTGATGACATGAATTTTATCCCCAGAACCCACATAAGAGTAGAAGGAGAGAACTATCCATAAAACAATCTTCTGACCTCTACATGTGCACTCCCAACACACTAATAATAGTAATGATAATTATTATTTTTAAAAGATCATCTTGTTTAAATGAAAAATATTTGTTGATAGTTCTCTAAATATAAAAGATGTTTTGGCTTTTATTTTTTCAGGAACACAGAGAAGGGCAACTTACATCCTTGCCCCGAGAGGTTTGTAAATCATTTGTGAAAATCATTGCTGAAGTCCTTGGATCTCCTCCAGACTTGGAATTATTGACAGTTATTTTCAATTTCCTGTTAGCAGTACACCCTCCTACTAATACTTATGTGTGCCACAACCCCACAAACTTCTACTTCTCTTTGCACATAGGTAAGTATGGTCATTGTTGGATCCTACCTGTTTCCATTGTGTTTTTTCTGCTGATACACATTTGTTTTGATATTGAGTCGTTTCTCTGTGCTGGAAATGGGGATAGAAGGCAGTGAGTTACAGGATAAACCAAACTGGCCTCTGCCTCAAGAGAGCTTCAATACTAAGAGGAGGAAAGAGTCATATATTGAGAAAAGAATAACTAATGGTAGGTAACCTAACCAGCTTTTTTAAAACTAGGGAGATAAAATATAAGAAAGTAAGCAAGGGTGAAACTATGAGAGAAATAGGTAATGAATCTAAAATGGAAATTTGGTTGTAAAACCATTTAGAAAATGTAATAAATAAAATGAATGGTCATCAATAAAACGTCAAATGAAATTAGATAGCATGACTTCATGTTAGGTTACCACAGTTAGCGAGTAAAGTACTGTACAAGATTCTAGAATCAAAACAGTTCAAAGATTAGTAAAATGTTTGCTTAAGAGGCTTATGTCTGGTAGCAGGGACAGAGAAATGAACAGATAGTTATACTAGGCTTGTGGACAGCACAGAGATATGGAAGCCATTATTTATGTGTATATGTTGTTTGTTTTTTTTTTTTTTTTTTTTTGGTAGTATAGAACAGGGGCTAGGGGACTGAGGGATATTTCCTATAGGAGAAGATATTTGCTTAGAGTCTAATAGAAATAAGAAAAGAGCAATGGGAAGGGTATTCCAGGCAAAAACTGACAAGGAACCTAGAGGTTGATGTTGCTAAAATATAAGAAACACAATGTAAGCCTGGCGGTGGTGGCTCACAACTTTAATCCCAGCACTCAGGAGGCAGAGGCAGGTGGATCTCTGTGAGTTCGAGGCCAGCCTGGTCTACAGAGCTAGTTCTAGGACAGAGAAGCCCTGTTTTGAAAAAACAGAAAGGAAGGAAAGAAGGAAGGAAAGAAGGAAGGAAGGAAGGAAGAAAGAAAGAAAGAAAGGAAAGAACACAATGTATTGATGTATTGGTTGGTTTTCTGTCAACTTGACATAAGCTAGAGTCATCAGAAAGGAAGGAGCCTCAATTGAGAAAATGTCTCTGTAAGATTCTACTGTAGGCAGCAACAGAGTGGGGCAGCAGAATATCCTGTTTTAGGCAAGGCTGGGTCAATTTCTCAATTAATGATTGATGGGGGAAGGCCCTTTGTGGGTGGTACTAGCCCATGGCTGGTGGCCCTGGATTCTATTAAGAAAGCAGACTAAGCAAGCCATGTAAGGCAGGTCAGTAATCAGTACCTTTCCATCATCTCTGCATCAGCTCCTGCCTCCAGGTTCCTGCCCTACTTGATTTCTTGTTCTGATTTCCTTTGGTAATGAACAGTAATACGGATGTATAAAGTGAATAAGCCCTTTCCTTTCTAAGTTGCTTTGGTTATGGTGTTTCATCACAGCAATAATAAACCTAACTAAGACCCACAATTAGAGAAAGGAATGAAAGACATGGAGGTTCTTGAAAACAAGAAACTTGATATTTATCTAAAGTATTAAGACAACAGAGAGCCTCTGGGGTATGTTAAGTCTTGCCAATATTTGTCAGAATTCCAGTACTCTGAAAATCTTGGGATTGACAAGACATCTACCAGTTATGACCTAGAAAGCTATGATACTGATCCAGTGGGGTGATGACTGAATGGAGAAATGATCAAGCCTAAAAACTGGGAGAACCTAGTGACTGACTTGACATGGGTGAAGGACAGCAGGTGCATAGGTAGTTCCAACGCTCAACAGGGGATGAGTGGGAAATTCTTCCACAATATCAAGAGAACAAACATAAGTTGTCAGTAAGAGTAGAAAGGTAGTGTAGTTGTGTGTTTATGATACATTTAAAAAGTCAAGGTGGAAAATTTCAAAGTATGAAGCTAAAAAGGATGATTTAACTGAAAGATTACTTTAGGATTCATATCATACAATGAAGGGGATTTATAAAAACATAGGAAAAAAAGGTTGGGGAAGTGTGTCAGTGGCTAAGAACACTTGCTGCTCTTCCAGAGGACCCAAGTTCAGTTTCTAGCACCCACTACAGCCTATTACTCTAGCTCCTGAGGATCAGATACCTTCTTCTAACCTTTACAGGCACCAGGTAAACATGTGGCAGGCACATATACATACACATAAATTAAAATATAAATCTAATATACAGGCATATGACACAGTCCTTACTCAAGGAATAAACCAGTAAACAGTCTATTTGGAGTTCAAAGAATATGGAAGTTAATGTGGGCTATGATAATTAACAGCCACAAAATCCATAGGAAGAAAAAAAGTAGAGTGAATCCTTACATACTACATTTGACAGTAGGAAGCAGGTCTTAATTGTTTCTATTTGAACATCTTTTTGCCAAATTCATATTTAATTATTTCTTAAAAGTTATTTTTGTTTTATCATATTTTAAATTTTTGCTGTCTCAAAACTATTTTGAATTCCAGATGGCAAAATCTTTCAGGAGAAAGTGCAGTCAATCATGTACCTGCGGCATTCTAGCAGTGGAGGGCAATCTTTTCCCAGTCCTGGATTTCTGGTAATAAGTCCAGCTGCCTTTACTGCATCACCTTCTGAAGGTAATAATAACAAAGATTAAACTACAGATCATCTTACTTCAGTTAAGAAATTGTGCATGCTATAGCAATATAATATAACCTGATATTCAGCCAGACTATGTTTAGTACATTAGTACATTTTGTGTACACATACACACACACATACACCAACAGAAAGACAGATATCAGATGTATATATACATATACTCCCTCTCTCTCTCTCTCTCTCTCTCTCTCTCTCTCACACACACACACACACACACACACACGCACGCACATACACACACACGACATGGGAGTGAGAGGGGAATGTGGGAAAAGGGACCTAGAAGGAATTGCAGGGGTTGGGGGTGAGATTTAGCAAAAATAAAATTAAAAATCCATTTTCACAACCTCTGATATCATTATTTTACACTCAAACAACATACCTAGAGCAGGTCTTTGGATGATACCAAAATACATAAGGCTAAGGCTAATACTATCTCACCATTGCATTATATGCCCTCTTACCATAGTCATTTATATTTCATTAAGTTTCTGGTTTGCTTTCCAATTTAACTCAAAGAATATTGGTTGTCTTGTTCTCCCTTTTGCCAGACAGCTCACTTGTTAGGTTCACTGTCCCCTCTATTGGTATATTTCTGCAATATGGTCTAATTATGAAAGCTTATAAGTATTTCTAGAACCTTATTGCTCTGCCTTGTTCTATCTGTGAGGTTAATTTTCAGTTGCCTGAATCATTCTACCTACTTTCAGATGTAGTTGTACTCTCATTTTTTTCTAGGTCTTTTAAATAGAATTTTTAAAGCAGTTTTGACCCTTCATCTAGAAAGAATATCCTCTGGGAATTTCTAGTATCTAGAAGAGGAGGCAGTCATCCTTTTGAACCACTCTAACAACCTCCTATTTCTGGCTTCTGTGACACTGCCCCAGTTCCCTGTGCTGCTACTTGAATTAGTTAAGCCTAGTTCCCCTTAGCCAGAAACTGCAGCAGTTTCCTTGATGCTATCTTCAGTGTCCTAGCCTGTGGTTGTTGACTTAAAAACCTCAGCTGTGGCTCCCAGCCAGCCAGCTTCACAGCCAAAAACTAGAGCGAGCTTTAAATGTTTGCTCCACCATTACTTGTGTGCTCAGGATTAATTCCATTTCTTTATCTATAGAATGAGTACTTAACTCTTTAGCTTATAGTAATTTCCTATCTTTGTAATTACTTTTAATAAACTATCCCTGTTTTCATAGAAAACACAATTTGTGTAATTTCCTGGTTATGAATTGGCCCTACTTGTTTCCATTCCCCAACATCTGTCTTCTTCATGGCTCTTATTGTCAGGACAGCCTCATCTTCTTCTGTAGCTTTACTACAAACAACTATTAAAGTCACAGAGGCAAAGTAGAGCTATGGGAAAGGAGGATAAGATGTATAGGTGTTAATTTACAATCATGTTTATTTCCCAAAACATTCCAGTTATTCTCTAGTTCATTTTATAGTAATTTATTATAATATTTTGAGACTGATGCGCTGCCTACTATGCTAAGAGGGCCTTATTAAGACCATGTTTTATTTAATTTCATCTAGTATTTTGTAGGAATTGTGTTTTTAAAAATTGTATCAGTCTGAAGCATTTTCAATTTAGTTATACCCCATTTTTTTTCTTTTGCTGGAGTTTTTGACAATTTTTTGACAACTTTAGCCTGCCAGCCAAAATCAAGAATTACTAGGAATGAGTTCCAAGCATAGTTCATTCAGGAGCTATTTATTCTTTCATACTTACAAACTTGAACATGCATACAATCTCCTGATTATCTCACTCAAACACTGTGTACCCGTTTCCTTTATTCTGAAAGAGTGGGGGGTAGGCCTGAGCATGAGAATGTGAATTCTTAGCTGTTGGACTGGTGCTGCTGTTCCATTGTTGAAGTTCATGGCCAAATGTTGAGAAATCTGTGCTTATAGCATATGCTCTTGTCCTAAAGGAATTTTCTGGTTTCCTGAACTTAGTGTCATTAAATTGGAGAGCCATGAAGAAGAGAGATGATTACCTCTCATTAGTAAGTACTGTAGAAATAAAAGGGAAAGAAGAAAATAGTCTGAGGGCCACTTTTGTAATGACAAGTATTATCTTTTATTAAGCACCTATTACAGTCCAGGCATATCACACATGACCTCTCTTCATACTTAAAACACTTTGCAGAGTAGATATCCTGAACTCTCATCATACATTTGCAGAAACTACCACTTACGTAGTAATTAAGTGATTTACCTATGGCTACTGAACAAAACTTTTATTTGAATCAGTCATGTCTTATTGCAAAGCCTGAACTCTTTCCATTTTGTCATGTTGTACCCTGTGACTCTTGGCCTAAGTAAATTAAATTTCACTTTGATTCACTGCAGTTGAACCCATTAGTCCTAATGACTTCAAGCCATGCCATCAATATTGTATTTTATTAAAGAAACAGGAAAAGACATGTTTTTGAAAGCTTAATAAAATGTAGTTAAAAGAAAAATAGTTTTGGCATGTATGACTTTTAAGTATTTTTGGCTAAAAAAAAATTGTCCTTAATGCAGGTGGTCTCTTTCATGGTTGTGACTTACATTACAGAAGAAAAGTGATGCTATTTAATAGATTTTTATTTAATAGATTTTTAAGTACTATTTTTCTGTCTACACTTACCAGGAACCAGTTCTTCCAATATCATTCCACAGAGGATGGCTGCCCAAATGGTTCGATCTAGAAGTCTGCCAGCATTTCCTACCTTTACACCACTAATGCAAGCACCAAAACTGGCTGGAAGTTTGGGCTATAGTATTGACAAGTTACGAAATGTTTCAGATGCCCACCCAGAGAAACGAAATCCTTTAGGGAGTCCCTACACACTGAAAACAAGCAAAGAGGAAGCATTCATCAGTAGCTGTGAGTCTGCAAAAACTGTTTGTGAAATGGAGGTACTTCTTGCAGCCCAGGCCTCTGCCAGTGTGGTCTCCAGAGGAACACTAGGGGTTCCCACGGCCAGAGTAGATCACAGAGACTTGGGAACTGAGCCCAGATCAGATGATGACAGTCCTGTGGATGAGTCCTATCCACGTCGACCTGATAATCTCAAGGGACTGGCCTCATTCCAGCGAAGCCACAGCACTATTGCAAGCCTTGGACTTGCATTTCCCTCTCAAAATGGATCTGCAGCTGCTAGCAGATGGCCGAGTCTTGTTGATAGGAATGCTGATGATTGGGAAAACTTTACCTTTTCTCCTGCTTATGAGGCAAACTACAACAAAGCTGCAAGCGCTCACAGGTACTCATGTTTTCTTGCCTCAGAATCCCTGCACTAGAAATGTCTTCATTATGCTATTTCTGACCGTATTACATTAATACCAGGCCAAAAGATGCCTTCTCATTTATTCATTGTTAGATAATACTGAATTCTATATTCACCCAAAAGCCAAGTAACTAAGAAAAATATCTTTTGTGGTTTATTAGAAAAGTATTTGGTTCAGAGAAATCATCAGATTGATGTTGCTAGATCATGTCTGGGGTCCTGAGTGATGAAATTTTCTGTGATAGTGAAATGTTCACCTATGAGACATTTGAAATGCATCTCATCCAAGATCCACCCTATACTCTCTATCCTGTCCTTTCATGTTCTTTCTCTGGTTTTTGTTTTTATCCACCAAGTCCGATTTGTGCTGCCAATATACTCATGAGTATGTTGGCATTCACTAGAGAGTGGTCAGACTACCAGGGCCACACCTTTTAAAAAAAAACAAAAACAAACAAACAAACAAAAAAAAAAAAAACCTGACCCTTCCTCCCTCCATCCCTCAGAAGCCATCAGCTGCCCATAGATGCTCAGAGATGAAGACTCATAAGCTCCTTCTCTCTCTGGGCTGTTGACTTAGCCTGATGTTATAAAGGAGGACCTGGATTTTTAACTCCAAATAGTTTAAGTAGCACATGTGTCAGTGACACCTGCATTGTAGTATACTATGTATTGGGGTGAGGGTGGGGATGTCTACCTTAAAAGACAGTAGTAAGCTTCATTAATCGTGCATAAATTAGGAAACATTTTTAGGTCAGGCGTTGGTGGTGCATGCCTTTAATCCCAGCACGTGGGAAGGCAAAAGCAGGCAGATCTCTGTGAGTTTGAGACCAGCATGGTCTACAAGAGCTAGTTCCACTACAGCTTTCAAGGCTACACAGAGAAACCCTGTCTGGAAAAACAAAACAAAACAAAAAACAAAACAAAAGGAAGGAAAGAAGGAGGGAGGGAGGAAGGAAGGAAGGAAAAGAAACATTTTAAAACTTTCTGAGCATTTGTTTTGCATGTTAAAGTTGCTGCTCTAAGGTACTCATGTGGATTTCTTTCTGATGCTATTAGTAAGACTTTTCTGGTTTCTGTCACAGTGTCGCTGAAGACTGTTTGATACCTATCTGCTGTGGATTATATGAACTCTTAAGTGGAGTTCTTCTTATCCTGCCTGATGCTATGCTTGAAGATGTGATGGACAGGATCATTCAAGCAGATACTCTTCTAGTCCTTGTTAACCACCCATCACCTGCTATCCAGCAAGGAGTAATTAAAGTAAGGGCACAAACTATATAAGTGTACTTTCATCAGGAAAATAAGTATATATGTAAATTTAAATTGTTTAGTATATGTTAAGACTTAAAGCTTATTTTATATTTAAGAAGAGTGAACTGTTGTGGTTAGAGCAATGGCTTAGTAGTTAAGAGCACTGGGCTACTCTGACAGAGGACCCAGGTTCAATTCTCAGCACCCACACAGTGTCTCACAACCAACTGTAACTTCAATTCTAGGCACCTGGTACTCTGTGGGTACCAGGAACACAAGCAGTGTATTGATATACATGCAGACAAGACACCCATATACATAAAGAAATTAAAATAATAAAAATTAATAAAAATTATAATCCATACTTTTATTATTTCACACTGGCATCTTGTATGTAGTGTTCAGTTCAATCTTAACTCTTTCTTGTACATTAATTTATATCAGTTTACCAATAAATTCATTTATCTTAATAGTAAGTCCACTTTTATAAAAATTATTATGATTGTGTAGTTTATGGTAAAGCTTTCCTGCAGTGTAGTACCAACTTTTGAACATTTAAGGCTCAGTTCAGCTGTCTCCTTTTAAAAGATGCTTTCCCTGATTACCATATAAGAATTTCTTCCCTCTGGCTATACTCTTTGTGTGTGTGTGTGTGTGTGTGTGTGTGTGTGTGTGTGTGTGTGTGTGTAAGAGAGAGAGAGCCTCTTTTTCTTCCTACTTGTGTACTCGTTTTTAATCTCTAATGCTGATATAATCTGTGAGCATCAACATTTTTTCATATGTATTACAAACTAAGTATAATGTGAATAAATGAATGTTCAATATGAGTGGCTTCCTTTAGAAAACAAATATTGAAATGCTCTTGTAAAGATTCTCATTTTCTTTAGTTTGTCTGGATGTGGATGTTGTTAATTTCTTGCAGTTCCAGTATAAAACTTCTATGTTGAATATAAAGCATAATAATGTAAGTCCATATATTCGGTACATTTATTTATACTAGGAAAAAGTCATTGGCCCATAAAGTATGATGTCAGGAATTCTGTGATGAAGTGTGCAGTAGCAGTGCTGATAAAGAGGAATGGGAGCATGAGGAAAGCAAATCAGTATAATGAGAAAGTAAAGAAGTATTCATGCCAATAGTGCATTTTAATACTTGGCTTCTAAGCTTAATAAGGTCTTTAAGGAGGATGTGTGTTTGTGGAAAAGTCATCTGTCACCACTGTGAGGTACTGACTGAAAAAGAGGGAGAAGAGCAAGTGTTCTGCCACAGACAGCACAGCCTTTGGAGGGGAAATGACTGTGACAGTGAATTATGAAGAAAACTCAGAAACTCATGCCCTGGAATTATACAAGTCAAAGGACACAGATTTAAGAGGCTTTGAAAGAGACAAACTTTCATATTTACATTAGGGATCAGGAATAGAAAAGCCAAGAGGATGTTTTGCCTTGAAATCTAGGGGGACAGTTCTGTGGTCGATCCAAATTAAGAAATGTAGGAAAGTGGGTTTAGAAGGAAAAGTAATTATAATTGAGTTTTACATATGTTGCATTTAAGAAGTTAGAAAATGAGGGCTAGCAAGACACTTAGTGCCAAGCCCAACAACATGAGTTTGAGCCCCAGGACCTACAGAGTAAGAGTGAACCAACTAACATGTTATTTTCTGACTTCTACATGTGCACCATGACACACACCTCTACCTCTCCCATAAAAAGTAAGTAAATAAATGTAAAAAAAAATCTATGAATACACACACACACACACATGTAATTTCTGAGGTTTCTATTAAAAAGAAGTGAAGGAGGGTGAGGAGGGGGGGAAAGGTTTTAAAATGGTGTAAAAATCAGCCTTTTGCTCAGATCTCTCAAGAAATATAGAAATAGAGGTCTAGGTCTATGTGCATGTGCATGTGCACAGATAGGAAGAAAAAAAACCAATGCATTGGTTTCTTTTCATTTGAATTAAACATAATATTCTACTTACACTCAACCATGGCTCCTGAGATACTAGGTCCTTTGCTTAGCTACAGGACATCCTCAAAGGAGTATGAAATCCCCAAGAAAATGTAACCACTAGCATCCCACAATGGCCAGTTGATTTCTCTATGCAAGTGATATGGTTTTTAGCTTTTTCTACATGTGACTATGTATATGAATAACAGCTAATAACTTAAAATTACAAGACTATTGTAAATAGTCTGGTTTGTATATATTAAATCTTAACATCTAAATGGTCTTAATTTTTTCTTCAGCTGTTACATGCATATATTAACAGAGCATCCAAAGAACAGAAGGACAGGTTTCTGAAGAACCGTGGCTTTTCTTTACTAGCAAACCAGTTATATCTTCATCAGGGAACTCAGGAATTGTTGGAGTGTTTCACTGAAATGTTCTTTGGTCGACGCATTGGCCTGGATGAAGAGTGAGTTCTCTCTACCATAACTAAGGATCTTTTGTCTTAAATATAAAATTAGGTGATTCTTTTGGGTCACCAGAAAAAAAATCTGGTGAAATCATTTTCCAGGGAATCAATTTATTATTTTATATATGACAATCTTTCTAATATAACTTCTTTCTTAGTATTTTATTCACTAGTTAAAAACTGGAAACAAATAACTGCAGAAGAAAATGAAAGTGACAGAAGGTTTTGCTACCACAAAATAGAAGTGGCCCCTGTAATCAATGACATATTTGTGACCCATACAGGATTTCTTCAGTTCCCTCAGAGTCCTCCCTTAGAATTTCTGGATTGCTCAGATTTGACTTTGGTGAAATGCTTAAAGACTAGCAATACATGCAAAGATAAAAGAAAAAATCCACTGAAACTAAAAGTTTGGCACAAATTTATTTAACTGTGATAGGGAAAAACATATACTTCTTCAATGTAGTAGGCAAATTCAGACCTTGGGGAACTTAAATTATTTATTGTGATCATTTTATGTATGTGTGCATATTGCTGGAGATCAAACCTAGGACTTTACACATACCAGGCAAGTGCTGTACCCCTGAGCTATAGCCCAGCCATGGTAATTTTTGTAGTAGTTTTCATTTGCATGAACTTTTTATTTTGTTTGTTTTTAGAACAGTTCTGCATGATATTATTTTATTCTCACAATACTTTTGTAAGGAAAGCTAGACAGACATCATCTCACATATTTGTAAGATAAGGAAAATACACAAAATACTTAGAATTCTACTGCACCACAGAGACAAGTGACATTAGGTCAGGGGTTTATTCATTTGTGCTAAGCTATTTTTACTAGCTAACCATTACTAAGATAGTTTGTAAACTAATAATTTTTCCTTTACACTTGTTTGGCTCCATACAGCAGATGTTCTTTGAATACAAGATTGTCAGTGGATGAATTCAAATAAATCCATTGAAGCTATGAAATTGTATGTGTATTTCACCTGAGTATTTATGCATTTATCTCAGGTTTTACCTTATTAGAAATTATAATCTTTTTAAAATTAAGAATGCTTATTCCCAGTGATTTTTTTTTTTGATAAAATCAAGTTTTAAAAACAGCTTTGTGGTTTCAAGTATTTTTTCCTAGTTTGTGACTGGCTGCTCCTAACATAATAAGACTCTTTCCTTTGTCTTATTTATTACAGATTTGATCTGGACGAGGTGAAACACATGGAACTTTTCCAGAAGTGGTCTGTCATTCCAGTGCTGGGACTGATAGAGAACTCTCTGTATGACAATGTACTCTTGCATAATGCTCTCTTACTTCTTCTTCAAGTTTTAAACTCTTGTTCTAAGGTAGCAGACATGTTGTTGGATAATGGTCTACTCTATGTGTTATGTAATACGGTAGCAGCCCTGAATGGATTAGAAAAGAAGTAAGTTTATTAAATTGTATCTGATAAGTAAAATTTAAATTACATCTAATTAAAATTACATCTGATAAGATCATTAGAAGGGGAAATAGTTAATAGGTTACCTTAGTTGATTTTTTTTCTTTCCCACAAAATTAAATTAACTTGGAAATGGCATGTTTTCAATAATATTTGGTTAAGAATAGGATGTTTATATGACGCGGTTTTAGGGATTTAGAATTGAAGACATTAAGTTTTCTCTTAGATAATGTTTATCAATCATCCATTGCAGTCTCTGTAGTTCAACCCCCCACCGGAATAAATTAGATAGAGTTACAGTAACTCACTGATCCACATTCTGCTCTGGAATAGCAGAGGACTTGTCTCATCTCAGTGAACCCACTTGATTTGTCACTGCTACTGTGATAATAGGAACTGTTAGCACTGCTAGTACAAACTAACTTCTAAAAGTCAAAAGTACACTTACAAAGGGCTGCCTGCCAGAAGAGTAAGAGCTTTGAAAAGGAAATTCTTAATTAGACTTTGTATTTTTGGTGTCTCCACATCTGATATAGTTTACCATTTTAATAACATAATATTAAAATATGAATCTTTAGGTGCATCATCTTATTGTACACCAAAGCACTAAATGTCCATATTTTTGAAGAATATAGAGCATATCTGTACCCAGTTATTGTTGGGGCAAAGTTCATCTTTCCCTGGACACTTATTATATGTAAGGTTCATGTGCTTGTGCATGTGAAAGGTAGAAACACAAAGTATTGTAGTTCCTCAGCATACTTAGTCTTGATTGCAGTGCAGGGCATAAAATTGGTAAAAACTGGGAAGTACCTATAGTTTTGTTCTAAAAGTAGTTTTTCCTAAACATAAATTATACTGATAGTCCCTATGTGATACTGTTTCTATTAATTGGCCCTAAGAAAGTTGTATTTCTAGCCTTTACTTAATTTGAAAAAACTATATATAGAAAAGTGTTTGGTCTTGGTGTCATATACCTGAGTAGATCATCAAGGTTAAACTTGTGGGCAGAATGATTCATATTTATTATATGTTTACAAGTGATTAATATACATTAAAGCTTATTACCTGTAATTCAAATTCAATATAAGTTTAAACATATAGTCCTCAAAACAACTTTAATTTATACAATTGAAATGCAAAGAGGTTAATTAATTTATTCAAATTCCCTAGCCCTCAGTATTGTTACCATACCCTAACTTTCACCCTTCATGTAGGCTGTGTGAGTGTTCCCTTGGTATCTTGTGTTAATCATTGTCTGCTGTGCACTCTTGTCTAATTATCTGCAGGACTGTATTTTTGACAGGAGTCAAAATGTCTTATTTTCATTCCTGGTGTGCAGGGTATATTGCTTGCCATAGAGTAAGCATGAATAAATATTAAACTAATGCATGCTGGTTGCATAGTCTTAAATTGTTGGCTATTTTGCTTATACATGTCTTATTTTTTGTTTTGTTTTGTTTTGGGCTCACTTTAGCATTCCCTTGAACGAATACAAATTGCTTGCATCTGATATACAGCAACTTTTCATAGCAGTTACAATTCATGCTTGCAGTTCCTCGGGCTCACAGTATTTTAGAGTTATTGAAGATCTTATTGTACTTCTTGGATATCTTCAAAATAGCAAAAACAAGAGGACACAAAGTAAGGATGAAATTTTATGGAATTTTTCTCATATCTCCTTTCCTGCAGGTTTGAACTTAATTATGTGTTGATATTAGTTGGTATTAGAAGCAACCTTTGAATTGTTGAAAATAGAAAGAGTGATTGATGTAATTAGTAGCTGGTGATATCACTGGCAGAAACTAGTAACTTTTTTTTTTTTTTTTTAACCAAGTAGAGCAAAGGCTTATGTTGAAGAGAAATGATCTTTAATTTTCTTTAATGGGAAAGTCTGAAGTGACTGTGAACTCTGAAAACATGCAGATTATTGGAGCTTTTGCTTTGTACAAAATTACTGTTTTGAAACAATTATTTAAAATGAAATACATTTATGATTTATTATTTTTCCATTCAAATTTCTATAATGAGGCTGAGTATGGTGATACATGTCTAAGGGATAGAGGCAGGAGAAGGAGAATCGGGAGTTCAAGGTCATCTTCAGCTACATAGAAAGTTAAAGATCAACCTGGGCTACAGAAGATATTGTCTCAAAAAAAAACTATAGTAACCATATAGGAATTTACTTTAATGTTATTTTTAAATATAGTTAGAAATACTAACATAAAAGCCCATGTTGGTAAAAAAAAATTAACTTAATATTTAAGGTCTTTTTGTTTAGATATTGACTATTATAGTTTGGGTATCAGGTTATATAGTAGATAATAAATTAATTTAGTTAAAAGATATATTAATTTAGTTAAAAGATTCAAACAATGATGATAGCTTGAAAACATTCTAGTCTCTTCTGGGTTTAGATATGGCTTTGGCCCTGCAGCTTAGAGTTCTCCAGGCTGCTTTGGAATTTATAAGGAGCACAGCCAATCATGACTCTGAAAGTCCAGTAGATACAGTCCAGTCACCTTCTGCTCATCACCATACAGTATCTCAAAAGCGGAGAAGCATTGCTGGTGAGTATTAAAATGGCACTTTAATAATTACAAATTGAAGGTAGCTATACTTCCCTGTATTCTGATGCCATTTACATTGAAAGTATTTTTCTTGCTTAGCGTGGAGACACATGCCTTTAATCCCAGTGCTAGGGAAACAGAGTCTGTGGGAGTTTGAGGGCAGCCTAGTCTAACATACTGAGTCTTATCTCCAAGAGCTAAGGAATCAAAACATATTTATTGGTTAAAAAAAATCAAATTATAAAATCTGTGCAAGTTTTCCTCTCAGCAGAAACCATTATGCCAGAAGAGGCTACATAGGCCATGTCCTTACATTATCCTAATGTAAGTGATGATATGATCAGATGGATGTTCCTTGTATAAAGAGAATCGAACTTCTGTAGGGAATATGAACTAAAAGAAACCAAAGTGTAGAATCCAGGTCAGGGCTGTGACAGCAGGAATGCACACGGTGTCAGATTACTGTGAATTTGTATTAATAATTAAATAATAAATGCTGACACATTTTCCAAAACCCTGCTTCTTCTTTTATAGAAACATAAACTAGAAAGATAATGTAGGATCTGTGTTAATATATACATAAACATATACATATATGTGTCTATTATCTATATGTAGTGTATATACATAAGTATGTGTAAGAATTAATATTAGTTCAGCTGCTTCTTAGGCCATAGTATCTGCAGCACCTGTTTTACATGTAAACTTGGATACATATGAACAGAATACTTGGTATATTTCTTAGAGTTACTCTCACAGTTATAATGGGTTTTAAGTACAAACCTTTCTTTTCCTGTACTAATTTTCTTCTTTGTGTTCAATGCTATGCAAAATTTAAAGTCATATGATAAAAAGCCCACCCATGGAAAATATTTCTAAATTTTTGTAGTAATATGTTTAAATTGTGCTAAATCAAACTTATAAACCATTCATGTAACTAAACTTGCTGTCCCTATGTATTCTTCCATTATTAATATCTAGACAGTCTCTCTTCTTGAACCACTCTTCCATTATACCAGTCTTTTATCTCAGATAAAAATTGTGCCCTTTCCTGTGTCAGCTTCCTATATGCTATGGCATGGAATCTTGTTTCTCCAGCAGTATCACACATAATTTTACATTCTTGAACTCACTGAGGAGGTAGACACTGTTATGTTCCAGATTAGTCTTCCTTCAGCCTCACATGTGTGTCATTCTGTTTGGCAGTCCTGAGTTCCTGTAAACCCAGTGAATGGGACCAGATTCAACCTTTTGAGACAATTACACAATTAACACGGAGGGCGGGAAGAATAGGTATTTTTGCCTAAATGGTATCATTCTCTGCCAACTGTATATAAAGTTACTTCTATTTCTAATCAGTATAGACATGTTTTCACATTAAAGAACACAAATGTCCTTTAATGAATGTTTTGTAGTTCCTGTATTGTGATCTTCTTCCCTAGCTTTTTTACTTTAAGATTTGCTATGATAAACAAGTTTGCAGCATGCAATTTTTCAAATAAGAAACTATGTATTACCTTTAATGCATGAAGATAGAGGGTATTATTTGAAGTGACATATATCCATGTAAAGTATCTTTCATACAGGTAGATAATAGATTAGTATAATTAGCACACAAATGAATTTCCTTTGTATTTTTAACCAATAAATAATAATACCAACATGAATGATGTTTTATTCTTTTGAGGAACAAGATAGACATTGCATTTCATATACATTATTTTATTTAATTCATAAAATAATGCTCTTGGTTCATTCATTCAACCTTTAAAAAATTAATGAGTACCAGCAATGTATAAATTACTACTTTGCTGATCTCCATAGAACTGGAGGAAGTGATGAATGAGCATATAAACAAATGTATAACTATAGTATCAGATAATGATAAATGTCTTCCTGTGATATAAGTTCTGCTTTTTTTCTAATATGTATCTTACAAATAAGGAAACTGGGGCTTAGAAAAAGACATGCTTAAGGCTGTCCCAGAACTGTGTGGCTTTAAAGCATGAGTCCTGAAGTACACTTCCACATTCACAAATACAGACTATGTGAGAGTCTTAGTCAGTGTCTTAATACCTTGCCATCCTCGGGTTATGATTGTCAGTGGGTTTTACATAAGGAATCTGTGGATAATATGAAAACGGATCTACCTTGACAAGTAGGAATTTTTCCAACAATATTATTTTTAATATCGTTAAGAATCTTTCTTTTTATTTCTTTTTTTGCCTCAAAGATTGCTTTACCCATCAAAATTATTAGCTGATTAAAAATACTAGTGGGCAATCTAAAAAAACTATTAAAATTTTGAATATCGTGTAAGGTAAGTCATTAAAACCTGTCATAATTTAGTCAGATGCAAGTAATTTGTAAAAAAAAAAAGTTCATGGAAATTGATATTTGTTTTCATAATTTAAAACAAAGGTTCAATTCCAGTGAGGGGTTCTATTACTCCTCATGTCCCAAGACGTCATTTTGGCTCCTATGGTCAACTTCCAATGCCTTTCTTCAATCCATTAAATCAAGATTCCTCCCAGCTCTCTCTTGGATGTACCACATGTGCAGTGCCTTCCAGAGCAGGTTCAGTAGACGTAGGAACAGCACTCTGCCTTGTTCAATCTGGGGAAATTTCTCAGGAAATGCTTTCCAAATGATGTGTTCACCCCTAATCATCGTACTGGCAAATCACTGAACTCGTATCTACTTTGTGATCTCTTCACTCTCACTGGCTGATTTCTTATTTGTCATTATGTATAATTTTCCAAACTGTAAGATTCAACAGAAATTACCAGAACATAGTAACATTATTACGAAATTATTATGGTCTTTTTTCTCTTTGCTAAAATGTCTTGTTCTTTAAAACTGTTGATGATTTTGGAATACAAGGAAGTGAAACAGTACAAATAGTCTATCTTATATCAAAGCCACACATACCCATCTGATACTTTGAGTTTTTCAGAAGACTCAGACTTGGACAAATGTAAGCATCACCTTGTGTGGCTTCAATGCTCTTATTTTGGACTTCTAAATCAGAAGTACTGTTGCACTTCTTTGGAGAAGGAAAAAGTGCTAACTTCTCTTACTTTTTTTCTTAATGTAAATTAATTTTGTAATAACAAGTTTTTCTTTTCATGACCAATAATCAAAAAAACTGTAGTGAAAATAAGTTCAATGGTCGTCATTAACTGTGGCATTGGATGATTTATGTACTTGAAGGTCCTCGAAAATTCCCCCTGGTTCAGACAGAGTCTCTCCTGATGAAGATGCGCTCAGTGGCCAGTGATGAGCTTTACACTATGATGCAGAGGAGGATGAGCCAGGAGCACCCCAGCCAGGCCTCAGAGGCAGAGCTTGCCCAGAGACTGCAGAGACTCACCATCTTGGCTGTAAACAGGATCATTTACCAAGGTAGCCCAGAACTTACTTATCCCCCTTCAGTGCAGTTCACAAGGGAAATATGAAGGTGATTAGGTTTCCTTTTTTTTTGAGACATTTTTTTTTTCTCTTCTTAAAAATCACAGAGTAGCCAGGTAGTGGTGGCAGATGCCTTTAATTCCAGCACTTGGGAGGCAGAGGCAGGCAGATCTCTGTGAGTTTGAGGCCAGCCTGGTCTACAAAGCTACACAGAGAAACTCTGTCTCAAAAAACAAACAAACAAACAAACAAACAAAGACACAGAGTAAAGGAGCCTTGGGTTTCTAATGTATTAAGTACTTGTCTGAGTTGGCCATTGAGTTCAAAACAATAATTTTCAACTTCTTTTTTTGACAAAGTAATATATTCATGGACTGTTATTAGAAATAATGCAAAGATCCTGCAACTTCCCCCCATGGAATCTTGCAAAAACTATAATACAGTGTCACTATCAGGAAGGAGACATGGATATAATCAAGGAGGACATTTCCATTCCCAGAAGGAATTGCCATGTTGCCTTTTTATGGCCAAACTCACTTTCTTCCTACTCCTCAGCCCCTACCTACTTCCAATTTACCCTGCATTTCCTTGTTTCTATCGTTATTTACAAGACAGCCAGACACTGTGATCCAAGCACTCAGATGCTGAAATGGGACTGTTTGAGCCTAAGAATCCAAACTGGCTTGGCAGCAACACAGCAGTAAAAAACAAAACAACAACAACAAAACCAGCAGATGTTGTGGCCCATGCCTTTAATCCCAGAGTGCTAGGGAGGCGGAGCCAGGCAAATCTATGTGAGTTGGAGGTCAGCCTGGTTCACATAGTAAGTTTCAGGACAACCAGAGCTACATAGTAAGATCCTATCCTGGTTTAAAAAAAAAAAAGTTTATATAAATATAATATTAAGTCTGTTGTCATTTTTATCCACTGTAATTCTCTGGAGGGTTGTTATACTTATTTTGAATGTATCAGCAATCTGTTTGGTTATGATTTTGTTTGTTTTATGGGACAGTAGTGCCATGTTGTGGAGGTACCAGAGTCTATTTGACCACTTACCTGTTGAAGAACATCTAAGCTGGTTCCAATTGGAGTTTCTACAGACAAACTTTATAATTATAGACATTCTTGTTTATGTTTTTGTGGAATATAAGCCTTCATTTTCTAGGATGAACATTCCAAGTACATTTCCTGGGCTATATGGCAGTTTTAACTTTTCCCAAGCAATTATATAGTTTTATATTCCATCCCATCCACAATACATGAGTAATCCAGATTTTACTGCATCCTCTCCAGGATCTGGATTTGTCACCATTTTACATTTAACCATTCTGCAGATGTATGGAGATATATATCCCACTGCTGTTTTAATTTGCTGTTCTGTAAAGCCAATGTTAAGCTAATACATACTAAGAGAGCTAAAAAAAATAAAATAAAATAAACAGCCACAACAAAAGCATTATAGCTATGACCAGTGATTGCATACTGGTGAAGGCCGAGGAACACAAGTTTGAGTCTAGACCTGTGTAAAAAGCAAAGAATAAAAAAAAAAAAAAATTCTATGGCTAATATTCGCACACACATACACAAAAACTGTATCAGAACTGATGAACATTCTTTAACTTTATCATTCAACTGTGTGTATGTATATTAAAGCATCAAGTCATATACTTTATATACAGAATATAATTTCTTTCTGTTAGGCCTCAGTAAAGCTGAAAAATTAAAGCACTATCAGTGAGTCAAAATAGGATTCTAAAGTCTATTCAAGGGGTCTGGAGAGATGGCTCAGGAGTTAAGAGTACTTGCTGCTCTTGCAAAGGACCCAGGTTCTATTTCTAGACCCCATATAGTGACTCACAATCATTTGTAACTCCAGATCAGGGAATCTGATGCCTTCTTGCAGCCTCTGAGAGCACCAGGCATGTATATGGTGCATAGACAAACATGTAGGCCAAACATTTATTCACATAAAAATATTTTTTTAAATCTTAAGAAATTATTTAAAGAATTATTCTGGTAACCCTAGGAAGGTAGGAAGAAGAAAGAATTAATTGTCACTAGAAACATATGCTAAGCCCAATGGGAACTTAGTTACTGTGGTTCTGTTTTAACTCTTCTAATTTATATTTGGGACAGTGAACTTCCAAACTTAAATCTAAAACTGAACCTAGATTATCACATTACAGCATTTAAAGGCCAGTGTATAATCCCAGCACCCTGGAGGCAGAGACAAATCTAAATCTAAAACTGGACCTAGATTATCACATTTCAGCATTAAAAGGCCAGTGCATAATCCCAGCACTCTGGAGGCAGAGACAAATCTCTGTGAATTCAAGGCCAGCTTGCTCTATTGAGCGAATTCCAGAAGTCTCCAATGCTACAGAGAAGTGCTGTCTCAAAAAAAAAAAAAAAAAAAAAAAAAAAAAAAGGCTAGTGAATGTAGACATACATTACAGATCCATCCAGTATGTGTCATGTGGCCTTTCAGGTAATTTGTACAAGAGTCGCATGGTCTTAGTAATTTTTAACACCTTTTGTTTCATTAGCAAATTTGACCTTTATTATGTCATAACTTAAGTAGTTTTAAATGTCTATTTTGTTTTAAGTGAATTCACTCTTTTGTCACATTTTGTATACTTTAATTAGTATATCTACCACATTTATACTATAATAAGTAATACAGAAGATTTAAAATTTTTGATTATATTTTGTTTGTGTGAAACAGGGTCTCTCTATAATCCCTGGGTGTCCTGGAACTCATTTTGTAGACTAAGCTGGCCTCAAACTCACAGAGATCTACCTGTTCTGTCTCTTGAGTACTAGGAATTAAGGCATGCACCATCATACCTAGCTAGAGAATTTTTTTAATTTAATTAAAATATAATTATATCATCCCCCTCCTTTCTTTTCTACCTTCAGCCCTTTGCATGCCTCCCCTTGCTGCTTCCTCTCAAAATCATGCCTTCTTTTTCTTTATGTGTGTGAATAAATACATAAATGCAACTTGCTGAATCCATTTAGTATTGTTTGTATGTATGTTTTCAGTACTAACTACTTGGTTTTAGATAACCATTTAAAGTGCTCATCTTGGGAAAGCTAATTATCCCTCACTCAACAGTTGTTAATTGCCTATAACTCTTATCTAAAGGAGGTGCTCTGCAATTTCTCCCATTTACTTTGACATGTCAACTGTTGTTGTCATTGTTCAAGTCTTGTATTGTTGAAATTTCTTGAGTACAGCTTCCATGTAATATCTTACAGAAGACTTCCTGGTCTTCAGGCTATGATAGTTATCCTACCCTAAGTTCCACAATGTTCTCTAAGCTATAGATGCAAGGCTGTGTTGGGTTGGGTACCTCATGATGTTCTGTTCACTTTGATTATTTGTTGCTTTCTGAAATGATCTCCATCTGCTGCAAAAAGAAGCTTCTTTGATGAGGTGTAGGAGCTACAATCTCTGTGAGAGTAAGGATAACTATTTAGAATGCAGTTAGGAATTATACTGGGTTTAGAAAAATGGCAGTTTCAGGTTCTCTTCCAAAATCCATGGCATCACTAGCTGCTGGTAGTTAGCTAGATTTATAGTACCAGGCATGATTTCTGTCCTGTTGATTACTGCCAAGATACACCTTTAAGAATATCTTGCTGTGCTGAACGTTGTGGATCATAGGTGTCACAGCTAGATTGCTTTCCTTCCTTGGCAGCTTGAATCATCTTCCTGTGTGATGAAAGCTAATCCTTTGGAAGGAGGCTTTCAGGTCAGATCCTGCTAGAATCTTCCAAATCCTGTGTCTAAAGTGCATGGTATCTTCAGACTTCTGGAAGGCAACCAACAGCAACAGCAACAGCAACAACCTATATTGTTTTGGGAGTCTTTTGGATTCCCCTAACCATCAACTTGAAAGGAGGTTTTTCATGCCCAATACTGAGGTTTTTATTAGGCTTTTTAGGTTAGGTCTTGTATATAGCTCTTGGGGATCCCAGGTGGCATAACTTCATTAAAATATGTACAGTTATATGTATTATATGTAATTTTAGGCAAATGTAAAATAGTTTTCTATAGCTATCTCATACCTCTGATATGGGATAAAGATTTGTCATTCCTATTGATTTAATAAAATGCTGATTGGCCAGTAGCAGGCAGGGAGTATAGGAAGAGCTACCAGATTAGAAGAATTCTGGGAAAAGGAAGACCGAGACAGCTCTCTAGTCAGACACAGAGGAAGCAAGATGGATGAGAATGCCTTACTAAGAAAAGGTACCAAGTGACATGGCTAAACATAGATAAGAATTATGGGTTAATTTAAGTTGTAACAGCTTGTTAGTAAAAATCCTAAGCAATAGGCCAAACAGTTTAAAATTAACATAAGCCTCTGTGTGTTCATTTGGGACTGAATGACTGCAGGACCAGGCAGGACAGAAACTTCCATCTACAATCCTCAGTGTTATTTATCCCAAGAGGATATTTTTACCAGCAATATTACTATGTATATCAGTGAGTTAACTAATTTTTTAATTCTTTTTTAATTCAAAGAGTTGAATTTAGATATTATTGACATTTTGACAACTCCGGAAAGTGCAGGCCAAAGCAAGACCTCAGTTTCCCAGACTGAAATTTCTGAAGAAGATATGCATCATGAGAAATCTTCTGTATACAATCCATTTCAGAAAGAAATGTTCACATATCTAATTGATGGATTCAAATTGTCTATTGTAAGTAAATTAATGACTTGGAAGGTGTCCATTTACAGAAACTGAATTGAGGTCTACATGTCTAAACTATGGGTTTCGAAAATCATATTTGTTTTTTGCTATTTAGTATTTTTCTGCATTTGAAACCATTTGAATTAGTTTTTCTGTTTCGGTTTTTGGATTTTTTTATATATATAATTTGTGGGGTTTTGTTTTGTTTGTTTGAAGTAAGGACTCACAATGTAGCCTAGGTTGACTTTGAACTTATATTTCTCATGTCTCAGTCTCCTACTAATTGAGATTGCAGGCGTGTGCCATTATGCCTGGCTTGGGCTTTCAATAACAGAGTAATATATTTTGCTGACTTACCTGTTACAAAATGAAAAACCTCGTATAGCATCAGGGAAGAATAAGGTTTTGATGATTACTGTGGCTATAAATGAATAGCCTGTTTTAAAAGGGCTTTATTTATAGTTATATTCTTGAGTTTCTGAGTTATTATAACATTTGTATCTTGGAACAAACATATCTGATACCTTCAAAATGATATAGAGAATATTAATGGGTGTCTGGCTTCACATACCATCATTCGCTTGAGCTTCTTTGGATCATTTATACTTGATCATGGGGAACAAAACAATCAGTTCACTCTGTCAGTAGTACCAAAGGCCAATCTAATTCTAGAATACCATGAGTCATCACTGTCAATCTATGAATCTAAACTAGATTATAGTGTCCATCTCTGATCATTAGATAAACTGTAGATGAACTTAGAATTCAATCACTCGAACAGAGATCTTAAGAGTAGGAGTAATTGGAAAGCTTTTCTAAGTTCTGGATAAACTCTAAAATACACTGATTCCAGTATTACCCAGGTGACTTGGTTATTAGTAGGCTCCTGGTAGAGTTACAGTTAAAATAATCTGGTTGATTATACATTAGGGAAAATTAATGATCAATTTCTATATAATTCTAAATTTGTAACTATTGTACTTACTGTGGTAGTACTGACTCAACTTTTTATTATGAGTTTCTTGTCTTTTTTACTGTAAAATCAAGATGGCCTTACCTACCATTGTTCTCTGGTTTTTTGTTTTTTTTTTTTTTTTTTTTTTTTTTTTTGGACAGCCTGTAAGCCCTTGGTAGTTTTTGAAAAATGGCTCATGACATTAGCTTGTCCTTCTGTACTCATCTCTTTTTCTACTTGTGGCAAGAGTATATAAAGTTCTGAATATTGTTGCAAATCAGTCCTAAATTCTTATTTGTGTAGACATGTATATGAGTGTCTAACTTAGAATATTAAATCTAGAATGAATCATGTTCTTTTTGCCTTTCTTGAGTTGTGTGAAGTCAGTATAGTATTGCTTAAGAAGTCTGATCCTGAACAACCCAGCTTGCTCACCAGGTAAAAACACCATGCAAATGTTGACAACTGAATTTTGATTTCTAGAACCCATGTAAAGATGGAAGAAGAGAATCAGTCCCACAAAGTTGTCCTTTGACCCCCACATGCACGCTGTAGCACACAGGCACCCTCCCTACACATACTACTGCTACTGCTGCTGCTACTAATAATATTAGGTTTTTAAAAGTCTGATCCTAATTCACTCCTAATCTGACATAGGGTTCAAATAAAACCAGTGGTTGTAAGCAACAGTGGACTAAAATCATGGGGTCCTGTAAAGAAACATTCCGAGTCCAGCTTGGAAGATTGCTAGCACATATTTTGTCACCAACTCATACTGTCCAAGAAAGGAAGCAAATATTTGAAATAGTTCATGAACCAGCTCATCAGGATATACTTCGAGAATGTCTTAGCCCATCCCCACAAGTAAGTATCTTAGCATTTAATAAAGCCTTCTAAAACAAGTATTGAAATTAAACTACTTCTGCTGTCAGGAGTGTAGTTTTCTTACCAAACAAATTTAACCTGAAGCCCTCCACCATGCTTTTTATGCTTAATTTGACTTTTCTATGGTCATTTCCAAGTTATTTCCAGGACTTAGATTAGAAGTTCTTTATCTAAGTTCTTATACAGTCTTAAATGGTTACTTGTTGCCATATAGTATTTTTCTTTTTAAAATACATTTTTAATTAAAATCTAATTATATTACTCTCTCCACTTTCATTTCTTCACTCCAGTCCCTTCCTATTTCCTTCCTCCCACACTCTAACTTAATAGTCTTTTTCTTTATTATTGTTCCATATATATATAAGTATATAAACATCATCTGCTGAGTCTGTTTTAGTTATTGAGAGCTCTTCTTTCTCCTTTTGTTCTTCACTAGACAGCATGTCCTCTCTTTTATGTGTTCTTTATGCCTTTACTTGGCTGCGTACTAGCTTTGTTCTGTTGTCTTTTTCCTGGGGTTGTGAAGCTCACAGCTGCTTTTCTCCATTCAACTCCTTTGTAATAAATTTTCAAGATAGTTTCTCATCACTGCCCCTCGAAACCTCTTTCCATCTTGTGAGGCTCACCAAGAACAGGCACTGTCCTCTCCTTTGTCTACCACTTAGCCCTTGACTAGCTTACCCTGTATTCCTTCTAGCTCTCTCTTCCTTTAGTATATTCAAAACACTTCATTTTTAGAACCATCACTGAAAAATTTACTTGTATACACTCTTGTTATTTTATAAAGATTTATAATAGATTCAGTTTCTTCTTTCTTTTTTGTTTGTTTGTTTGTTTGTTTGTTTGTTTGTTTTTTGAGACAGGGTTTCTCTGTGTAGCTTTGTAGACCAGGCTGGCTTCAAATTCACAGAGATCCCTCTGTCTCTGCCTCCAGAGTGCTGGGATTAAAGGCTTACATTCAGTTTCTTAAGTTTGTTTGGTTTGGTTTGATTTTTTGAGATGGAAATTGTTGTTCAGGCAGATCTTAAACTTGTGGGCTAAAGTAATTTTCCTGTCTTTGCCTTCCAAGATGTATACTTTTTGAGAGCTGAAAAAAGGGTCCTTCTACGTGTATCCTAACACCATTTCTCATTGGAAAAACTATTGATCAAAGGATAGAAAAATGAGATATTAGGAACAACTTAGTGTTTGAGAAAGTAGGTGTTTCTTTGCGTGTTCTCATTTTGTAGCCCATACTATCCCGAAACTGACAGCAGTCCTTCTGCCTCTGCCTGCAAATGCTGAGGTGTAAGCCACTGTTCCACCCCCCACCCCCCACATAGTTCTTTAAAGACAGTTTAGATTGTCATTGAATACTAAGCTGAAATAGTTTTAATGTAAAACAAATACCCGAGTCATGAACAGCTTTTCTTTATTTGCCAACTCTTCAGTGCTTTCACTCTTGAAGCGTCTGTTACTTCTCCTCTTTTGGTCAGGTAGCAGCTGTTTTCTGACTAATTTGAAATGCTGCATTGAAATAAGCTTTGCTACTTTCACTGTGGCGTATGTTCATCTTAGCAACATGATATGATTCAGCATGCTAAATATCACCATTCATTTCTCGACCCATTTGTTGACATTTAAATCTATTCACAGATTTAAAATGCCATAAAGCCAAATTCAGTGATGTTTGTATCACTGAAGATTTTTAAAGGGTGTGTGTTTAGTTTGTTGGCATAATTTTGTTTAACATGTATGAGTGACAGTCAGATGTGATAGACATAATGTGCAAGGCCCACCTAACCAAAGTAGGAACAAAATTTTGGTTTGGGTTTGCACTTCAAAGGACTGCTGTCCTCATCTTAAGAACTCTATTTTTGGCTTTAGTCTGCTCATAGACTGACCCACAAAGGCTTCCCCTTGACATTCATGTGGAACTCTTGAGAGGCAGGATCTTGCTACTTTAGTTTCTTGACTCTACTTTTCTTATAGAGGAGTCTGTGTTGACGAATTACGAACAGTCTTTTGTTCCTGAAATCTTACCATTTTCTACTGAGTGAAGCTCAAAGCAAAGGGGATGGAGATGTGCTTTTACTTTAAGTTAAAAGACAGGTGTTCTCTTCTAGTTCAGTGTTTTTGTCTTTTCCTTTATCCCCACTTTATTTTCTATTTTTCCTCAACAAATTATCCCTAGAAGCTGGCTAACTAGATTGCTTCATTTCAACTATTTATGAAAACTTTCTAATATATGCAAAGAAAAATAAAACAATCTAATGAATACGACATAACCATCATATTAAATATAGATTTAATATTTGATAGCATCTTTCTCCCACTGGTGGTGTCATTTCTTCTTTTTTCTAATTTATTTAAAAGTGGTTTGTAGAAATCATGACATTTCTAGATACTTTTTTAAAGCACTTTTTTCTATTATCAAAACAAATAAAATTAGGAATATCTAACACATAATTAAATTTTTCAGCTACTCTATCATGCTATATTGAAGTCAGACACAACCAGCTAATTTTAGAAATATGTTTAAATTTATTATTAAATAATTTTAAATCAAAATAGAAATATAATTAACTTTATTATTAAATAATTTAAATGGAAGAAATAAAAATTCTTTATGACTAAAGCATTTATTACTTTTTTTAAAGCATGGAGCCAAGTTGGTTCTATATTTGTCAGAGTTGATACATAATCACCAAGATGAGTTAAATGAAGAAGAACTGGACACAGCAGAACTGCTTATGAATGCTTTAAAATTGTGCGGTCACAAGTGCATTCCTCCCAGTGCCCCTTCCAAACCAGAGCTCATTAAAATGATCAAAGAGGTGAGTCTATCAACCAGAGTTGTTTTTTAGGAAATCTGTTGAACACACTTAACATAGTAACTAAAAGATTTTTTTTCATTATTAGGTAACATTGATGATGACCTTGCAATGATTCTCATTTTTACTACAAGATCTTTTGATCAGGAAAAAAATAGACTTATTTTGAGGAGCTTTCTATTCTCTTTGGTTCTCGTCATCCATTATCTATAGCCTACAATGAAGGAAAGATATTTTTTAAAGATTTGTAAATTTTATGAATATGGGTATTTGCCAGCATGTAAGACTGAGTATCACATATGTGCAGTGACCTTGGAGAGCCAAAGAGGAATCAGAGTTACAGGTGGTTGTAAGTCATCATGAAGGTGCTGGAAAATGAACCACAGTTCATGACAAGAGCAACAAGTGCTCTTAGCCACTGAGCCATTTTTATATCCCCATGAAAGACAGATTTTGTAGTGACAAGTAAGTCAATACATACCTGAACTTGAGGATTCTTTTAACAAGCAAGTGAAATAAGCAGGTAGCTATGTAACCTCAGCAGGCTGGGGAACATACTTAACTTTTTTGTCCTAATTTCAATGGCTCAAACTATACAAAAAATAGGGAGATTATGATGTTTAACTTATAGTTTAGTAGTCTGGTCTCTTGAGAGTAATAATTTTACCTTATTAGTGTGGTTTAAAAATTACTTTGCTAAGCCCCATGCCAATATTATATGAAAAATAACAAGTTTTGTGGCTCAGAATGTAGAATCACCTAAAGGGCCTGGATGTAGTGGTATACTCCTGTAATTCCAGTACTAGGGAGGCTGAAACAGGAGTCATCCGTGGTTACATAGTGAGTGCAGTCCCAGACTGGCATACATGAAATCCTGTCTTCAAAAGAAAATAGAGAATAAGTTTTATATTATATTATTGTTTAAATCTTTAGGAACAAAAGAAATATGAAAATGAAGAGAGTGTGAGTAAAGGTGCGTGGCAGAAAACAGTCAACAATAATCAACAAAGGTGAGTTATATTATATTCCAAGTCCTGTCCTTCAGAAGTCATTTAGCCCTTTTTTTGGGGGGGGATGATTTTGGAAACTTGTGAGGTCACTTTTTTTGTATGTATGCATATGTGTTTATGTCTCTGTGTGTTTGAGTCTGTGTGTCTGTGTGTATGTGTATATGTAGAATGCTGGAGATGGAACTCAAGTTATTGTGCATGCTAGTTGAATTCTATACCACTGAGCTGTACCCCCCAGCCCTCAGATGTACTTACTATTAAAGTATTATCTAATGTTCCATGGATACTTAACTTTGGAACTATCTTGTTTAGTCTCTTTCAGCGGCTCGATTTAAAATCCAAGGATATATCTAAAATAGCTGCAGATATCACTCAGGCCATATCTCTTTCCCAAGGAATTGAAAGAAAAAAAGTGATTCAGCACATCAGAGGGATGTACAAAGTCGACCTGAGTGCCAGTAGACACTGGCAGGAGCTCATCCAGCAGCTGACACATGACAGGTGTGTGCTGGGAACATGTCTGGATTCAGATTTTAGATGTGATTCTAAATACAGTCTTCACTATAGAATTCAGATTTGTAAATCTATTTAAGGAAACATTTTTATATAATTATCATTTTTTCAATTATTTTAAGATTTATTTATTATTCATACAGTGTTCTGTCTGCATGTATGCCTGCATGCCAGAAGAGGTCACCAGATCTCATTACAGATGGTTGAGAGCCATCATGTCATTGCTGGGAATTGGACTCTGGAAGAAAGCCAATGAGTGCTTTTAACCACTGAGCCACTTCTCCAGCCCCCCATTTTTTATTCTTTTAAAAATAATAACATGAGCTTTTTTTGGTTATTGAAGAAAAACAAAGAGGTAGTAGCTCTTCAGATAGTAATATTGACTTCATGTTTTTTTTTTTTAAAGGGTAGAGAAATTGTCAAAAGGGTGTATTTGAGAAATAGGTCTTTTTCTAGCTTAGACTTTATTAATATGATTTTAAAGATACATTATAAGGAGGCTAAGAAGTTGGCTTAGTGGTTAAGAGAGCTTATGCTCTTGCAGAGGACAGGTTTCAGTTCCACAGCACCCACATAGAGCAGATCACAAACCATCTGTCACTCCAGTTCCACAAGATTCAGTGCTCTCTTGTGGCCTTCGCAGATGCTAGACACACACATTGTCCACATTCATACATACAGGGGAAATGCTCATACATGTAAAAAATAAATCTTTTTTAAAAGATGAATTGTAAATGGTAAACCTAAAATTAATGTGTCATTCTTTATAATTTTTGTTTATTTATTTTTTATTTTACATGCTGATTCCAGTTCCCCCTCCTTCCCTCTTACCCTTTCTGCCCGCACACATGCACCCTGACCACCCTCCCCTCCCATCCCCCCATCCCAATTCCACATGTGGGGCAATGCCATCCAGGTGGGGTCATGTAAATCTGTCAAGTCATTTGAAGCAGGGACTAGGACTTCTCTCCTGTCTCTAGGTTAAGGAAGTATCCTTCCATGGGGGATGTGTCCGCAAGGTCCTTTTGTGCACCAGAAATACATCCTGGTCTGAGGTCGCTTAGACTGCTCAGTACTTCTGGCTAAGACCCATATTCCTGGGGGCCTGAGTCAGTCCCATGCTGGATTCCCAGCTATCAGTCTGGGGGCCCGTTAGCTCCTCCTTGTTCAAGTCAGCTGTCTCTATATGTTTCTGCAACCTGGTCTTGTCCTCTCCCTCTGCATCTGGATACTAGTTCAACTCAGTGTTTAGTTATGGGTGTTTGCTTCTGTTTCCAACAGGTACTAGATGAGGGCACCATGATGGTGGATAAGTTAGTTGTTGATCTCAATATCCAGGAAGGGCATTTATGGTTGCCTTTCCATGGTTGTTCAAATTGTTAGTTGGCAGCAGTCTTGTAGGTCTCTAGACCTTTCTTTAGGTTCAGTTTTCTCTTCAAACCAATAATGGCTCCCTCTTTTATGTTCATGTTCTCTCTCTCTCTCTCTCTCTCTCTCTCTCTCTCTCTCTCTCTCTCTCTCTCCATCTTCTATTCCTACCCTGACTCAATCTTCCTAGTCACATGTGTTTTCCTCTCCTCCCTTCTCTTTCTCCTACTTCTCTCTCCATTCACTGGGGGACTTGTCCCTTCCCCCTTCTGTGAGGGATTTTATATGAATCTCTTAAAATACACCTTGTATCCTAGTTCCTCTGGTGGTGTGAATTATAGGCTGGTGATCCTTTGATCTAGGTCTAAATATCCATATATGAGTGAGTACATACCATGTTCCTCTTTTTGTGACTGGGTTACCTCATTCAGGATGGTTTCTTCAAGTGCCATCCACTTGTCTGCAAATTTCAAGATTCCTTCCCCACCCCCCACAGAGTAATAATCCATTGTGTAGATGTGCCACATCTTCTTTATCCATTCTTTAGTTGAGGGGCATATATGTTGCTTCCAGGTTCTTGCTATTACAAATAATGTTGCTATGAACATAGTTGAACGCATGTCTTTGTTGCATGGATGTGGATCATTTGGGTATATGCCTAAGAGGGGGATTGCCAGGTCCTGTGGTAAACTCCCATTTTCCTGAGGAACCACCATACTGATCTCCAAAATAGCTGTATGCGTTTGCACTCCCACCAGCAGTGGAGGAGTGTTCCCCTTTCTCCACATCCTCCGCAGCATAAGTTGTCATTGGTGTTTCTAATTTTAGCCATTCTGGCAGGAGTAAGATGGTCTCTCAAAGTTGTTTTGATTTGCATTTCCCTGATAGCTAAGGATGTTGAGCACTTTAAGTGTCTTTCAGCCTTTTTGATTTCCTCTATTGAGAATTCTTTCTTCAGATCTGTATCCCATTTTTTAATAGGGTTATTTGGTGTTTTGTTGACTAGTTTCTTGAGTTCTTTGTATATTTTGGAGATCAGCCCTTTGTCAGATGTAGGATTGGTGAAAATCTTTTCCCAGTCTGTGGGCTGCCATTTGGTCTTGTCCACGGTGTCCTTTGCCTTGCAGAAACTTCTAAGTTTGCAGATGATATGATAGTTTACATAAGCAACCCAATAAACTCTACCAGGGAACTCCTACAGCTGATAAATACCTTCAGCAAACTAGCAGGATACAAGATAAACTCAAAAAAATCAGTAGCCCTACTTTAGTCAGATGACAAAGAGGCTGAGAAAGAAATCAGAGAAACATCACCCTTTACAATAGCCACAAACAACATAAAGTATCCTGGGGTAAGGCTTTCCAAACAAGTGAAAGACCTATATAATAAGAACTTTGTGGCTCTAAAGAAAGAAGTTAAAGAAGATACCAGAAAATGGAAAGATCTCCCATGGTCTTAGATAGGTAGGATAAATATAGTAAAAATGGAAATCTTGCCAAAAGCAATCTACAGATTCAATGCAATCCCCATTAAAATCCCACCACAATTCTTCACTGACCTTGAAAGGATAATAATCAACTTTATATGGAAAAACAAAAGACCCAGGATAGCCAAAACAACCCTGTACAATAAAAGAACTTCAGGAGGCATCACCATCCCTGACTTTAAGCTCTACTACAGAGCTATAGTTCTGAAAACAGCCTGGTATTGGCAGAAAAATAGACAGGTAGATCAATGGAATCCAATTGAAAATTGTGATATTAATCCACACACCTATGAACACCTGATTTTTGACAAAACAGCTAAAAGAATACAATGGGGCGAGGAAAGCATCTTCAACAAATGGTGCTGGCACAATTGGATGATGGTGTATAGAAGACTGCAGATAGACCCATGTCTGTCGCCATGCACAAAACTCATGTCCAAATGGATCAAAACCTCAACATCAATCCAACCACACTGTACCTCTTAGAAGAGAAAGTGGGAGGTACCCTTGAACAAATTGGTATAGGAGACTGCTTCCTGAACATAACTCCACTGAGATAAACAATTGATAAATGGGACCTCTTCAACTTAGTAGCTTCTGTAAGGCAAATGACACAGTGGACATTCTTTATATTTAATTAAGATCACTAGTTACAGTCAGGCACGGTGGTGATGCACACCTTTAATCCCAGCACTTGGTTGGCAGAGGCAGTCAAATCTCTGTGAGTTCAAAGCCAACCTGTTCCAGGTTGAGTTCCAGGATAACCAGAGCTACATAGTGAGACTGTGTCTTTAAAAAAAAAAAAAAAAGATAGCTTAAAGTGCTAAAATATACTAGCAATTTTATAATAATGGAAATTGCAAGCAGAAAGAATTACCCTTAAAAAGTTTATAAAATAGCATGTGCCTAGGATATGCTAAATCCTGAGGTTATTCCCCACCCCCTCTCCCCCAAATTTTTTAAGTACATGAAATTGGGGTATATATTCTCTACTGAGTACAACAGAAAAATGGGAAGAATTCAATGGTTTTGAATTTCAATTTCAATGGGTGTTTAGTATATTTAATGATAAAAAGTAAAGAAATTTGTTTTCAGAAAATATATTGAAGAATTAATATTTTATTATTTTGAAAACCTACATAGATATAATTTTAGTATAATTTTACTATCCCTGAAGAGCAAAAAGAATGAGTAGTCTCTTAATGTATGTTAGGCTTTTTAAACAAATTGAAAATACTTAGTATCGACAGAGGGTAATTTAACTTTTTTATTTGCTTTATGGCTCTTGAAACCTAATCTTATGTTGCCTAGGTTGGCCCTGAACTTGCTATATATCTGAGAGGGGCTTGAACTCTTACTCTCCCTACCTTTGCCTATCAATTACTGTGATTACAGGAATGTGCCATCATTCTCAGCTGTGAATTTCATTTTTAAAACCATTATTTACTATACTTTAAGTTTTGTTTAGATTTTTTTCTTGTACCAATATGGACAGCAGTACAGGGACATGTTAGCTGTTGTTCAGAGCCTTACAAATATTTCTTGCTGTGGAAATAGTGAGTCTATCCTAAGGAAAAGATTCAAAATGCATAATGTGGTAAATTAATTGGGAACAACAAAGGAATAGTAACAGTAGCATGATTCCAGAAAGTTATGCTCTGGGTAATAGACTTAAGAGTGATTTTTTTTAATCTGTTTTGTAAAAAAATGTAATTACTATAGTTTTACTCTTTTTTTCATCTGATATCTATTTTTTTAAAAAAAATGTGACATATACTACAAAAAAGGAATTATTATTGATCAGTAGAAAAATGGGATCTCTAAAAAACTAATTTGCAGAAATTTTTCCATTAGCTAGTAACCATGTTAAGTATAGTGCATTATATAATACTAATAAAGTTTGTAATAACAGGGACACATGTTTTTAAATTTTTAGTCTATTTAACATGGAAGGGGCAAATCTCATGAGACCTCATTGTTAGACTACAAACAACTACAAACAACTAAGGAATGCTGAGAGTGGGAAAAAATAGTTTTCCCTGGGGAAGAGTACAGCATTGTTTATCAATACCAAGTTGTCAACCCTGACAATATACATACAAGTAACATTATGCAGTCTGAGCAGGTTGCATTTATATATTTAGGAGAGGAAGGAGAGAGGGAGAAGAGAGAGGGGGAGAGAGAGAGAGAATAATTAAAAAGGCCATGAATTTGAAAAAGCAAGAATATGTAGGAGGGGTTGAAAGGAGGAAAAGAAAGGGAAAATGATGTAATTATCAATGACAATGACCTAACTCAGAAATTTTCTTTAAATTTTGGAACAGAAAATAAAATTTAATCAAGACAGGAAACTTGAAGCAGTACTTACTCCAGAAGGGAACTTTGGAACTGGACTCAGGGACAGATACTTTCTACATTAGTCTTTATCCTATGTATATGTTTCCCCTAATGAACAAATTGTTGTTTTGGAGTAATTAGTCAGGTCCATTGCATTTACTTACTCAGTCTCTACAATGACTTTAAGTCTGTAAGTCCTTTGATGACCACAAATTGTTTTATTTCAACTTGCAGAGCAGTCTGGTATGATCCAATCTACTATCCAACTTCGTGGCAGTTGGATCCAACTGAAGGGCCAAACCGAGAGAGGAGACGTTTGCAGAGATGTTATTTAACTATTCCAAATAAGTATCTCCTTAGGGACAGACAAAAGTCAGAAGGTAATAGTAACTTTGGTCTTGTCCTGTAGGTATGGCCAATAACTTGTTATTAGATAAATGTTATGTACTCTTTTTTTCTCAACAGGTGTGGTCAGACCACCACTCTCTTACCTATTTGAAGATAAAACTCATTCTTCCTTTTCCTCTACTGTCAAAGACAAAGCTGCAAGTGAATCCATAAGGTAGGTCTGAGTATATGCCTTCCTTTACTCTTTGATGAATGTAAAAGAATAGCTCATTGTAGGTTTTGCATAGTGTTGATTTCCGATAATGCTGTGATGTTAAGAAAGTCTTAAACAAACGAGGCTTGAGATAAGACAAGGTTGAATGACCAATTCCAAATGCCATTTCTAACACGGGGGGTTTAACAGATGTCAGTCACCATACTCTGACCCTTCTCTGTAAAGTATATAGAGCTGCTGCTGGTACCCCCACAGGAGTGGAATGTAGTGACACAAAGGGTCAAATTCCAGTACCTACCCTGCCTACCTGCCTGATCTTAACGAATGTTCTTACACCTCTCTGCTTCAGTTTCTCCCTTTCATAAGTAAGGAAAATTATCATATATATACAGGCTTTTCATGCTATTATTGAATATTAAATGTGTCAATGTGTATTAGTTATTAGCAGTGTTGCCATATTCTTATTGTGGTTATTATTGTACCATTTTATAGTTAGAAACCTTATCCTCTAAAAGACATTGACTTCAGAACAAAAATTTTCTGATCCCAATGTCCCTGTTTTTCGTAAAAACAAGCAAAAAACTAGATTTCTTTCACACATTAAAGTATCATCGACTTAACACAGTGTCAATTGCTTACTGAAACTATGAAACATTGGTGTTTCATAGATAACCCATCTATATATTCTATAGACAGCTGCAGGAATCATTAGCCTTTCCTAAAGATTTCCATTACTTCTCTGTTGTATGTTACATAAATGGCACAGGATCATCATTTGGGTTTTGACACACCAGCTTACACTGAAATTCTAGTCTGCTTTGCATTAATATTTTACTAGACTAAAAAGCTTGAAACCTAAAATTGGGCAAAAATTAAATCACAGCAATTTTAAACATGTTTTGACAGAGTGAATCGAAGATGTATCAGTGTTGCGCCATCCAGAGAGACAGCTGGGGAATTGTTGTTAGGTAAGTTGGCTTCAAAAGAATTTCACTCATATTCACTCTTCCTTATTTTATCCTGAAATAATTTGAAGCATTTTTCATGCAGAGGTAAAATTTCTTTAATATCATGTAGGTGGCTTTGCTTTGACATTATAGAGACAGCCAGCCCCCACTTACCCAGAGCCCAAGTAAATGCTTGAAAGCACAGATAGTACTGTTTTCCCATATGCACATGATAAAGTAAAATTATAAATTAACCACAGAAAGAGGTTGATAAAAATAACAAAATAACAAAACCACATCAAAGCTCTATGAATATGAGGCCTCTCAAAATATTTTATTGAACTGTCACCTTTATACTTAAAAGTGGAATTTCATGGATTCTCTTGGCATATGTTGATAGCCAGCATCACTACTCTTTAGGGGCCATTATTAAAGGGAAATAAAGGTTATTTGGTCATAAAGTGTTCAACATTGTAGCAGTAAACCTGATGACCAGCCGATGGCTAACTGGTAGGCCTAGATACACTACCCAAAAAGATACTTCATGTTTCAGGTAGGATGGAGCAGAAGAGGAATGGATTTCATCATGCACTTAGAGTAACATGATTGAAAGTTTTAAAATATTTATTTTCTTTATTTTCAATGGAATATTTTCAGATCATGGTTGACTATAAGTATAACTAACGCCTCAACACACAAAACCAGTCTAGTCCAATTGTCATCAGAGAGGCTTCATCCACAACTGGTAGAAAGAGATACAGGAACCCACAGCCAAACATTAGGCAGAGCTCAGGGAATCCTGCAGAGGAGGGAGAGAAAGGATTGTAGGAGCCAGAGGGGTCAAGGACACCACAAGAAAACCCATAGAATCAGCTAACCTAGGCTCATAGGGGCTCACAGAGACTGAACTGACAACCAGGGAGCCTGCAAGGGACTGACCTAGGCACTCTTCATATATGTTACAGTTGTGTAGCTTGGTCTTCTTGTGGGACTCTTAACAGTGAGGGCAGGGGCTGTCTTTGGTTCTTCTGCTGGCTTTTGGGATCCTATTCCTTACAGGTTGCCTTGCCCAGCCATAATTCAAGGAGGGGTGCCTAGTCTTACTGCAGTTTGATATGTCATATTTGGTTGCTATAAATAGGAGGCCTGCCCTTTTCTGAATAGAAATGGAGGAGGAGTGGATGGGGGTGGGGCAGAGGGGAGGTGGGGAGGACTAGGAGGAAAGGAAAGGGGAAACAGCTGTTGGGTCATAAATAAATACAAAACCACAAATACAAGTGGACAGGGGACTACTCTAATGAATTTGAAGAAATTACATTTTCTGAAAGTACATGTTCAAAGTGTTTTATTAAGTTGACTTTATGAGTGAACATTTTTATGTTCAATCGTTCCTTTGACATCAGCGAGTAACAGAATAAAGCAAATCAGTGCAGTTGTACTATAAGGAGAAGGTAATAGTTGAATGAGCCAATAGACAGGAAGCATCGATACATGCTTTGTATGTATTCTATTTTATTTTTACAGTAGTTTTGGAAATTCAGCTCTCACACACCCCTTTTTAAGTAAGAAAACTAAGGCACAGAAGATTAACAACTGAGATCTTATGAGTACTAAAGTATTTACTGAGTGTGTGGAACTGTTTCTAGCTGCTGGTTTTCAAACTGAAGCCAGAAGACTTCAGAGGTCCCACCTTTCACCAGTTAGAACAGTGCATACTTTCAAACCCTTCTGTCCAATTACTTCCTGCAGGTAAATGTGGAATGTATTTTGTGGAAGACAATGCTTCTGATACAGTTGAAAGTTCGGTGAGTTGGAGGCTTGAGTTTATGTTTATTTAAACCTAGAAAAAATTTAAAAACTGCATAAATCCAGTATAGCGAGAGAGCTCACCCATTATCACTCCATGTGTAGATGAGTGTGAATTACAAGCACTTTTTAAGAGATCCTATTAAAGGGAAGACTGCCATCTCCTCTTCCTTTTGGTCTGGGTCTCAGCAATTAGTTGCAATCCAAATTCTAACACACTTCTATTATTCCACATCATTCTTCCTTTTCACTGTCCTAAACAGCAACAAGCAAATGTTCCTTGCCACTCCCAATTCACAGTTGAGTACCTTTGCTATCAAAATGAAAGGAAATTTTTGTGTAATTGAAAAACTAAGCCATTCTGCAGTCCACATAGATGAGTAATAGTAACAGATTCTTCTGGGTATGCTAATATTTGCCATAATAATGACCAATAAGATTCTGAATTCTCATATTTCATAGGATAAAGCTGCTCAGTATCCTATATCCCTAAACAGATCTAGAAATATTTTTATTCCCAAATTTTGTCTAAGATATGCAGTGTTATATAATGAGAGGGTTTCTAGATAATCTTACCTTTTTCCATTGAAGAAAGAATATGTGTTTTGTTTTGATAGTTAAAGCCAAAATACTTAGTTTCGTGTAATTGAAATACTTTTGTATGTTTCTTTTGTCTTAGAACCTTCAGGGGGAGTTAGAACCGGCATCTTTTTCCTGGACATATGAGGAAATTAAAGAAGTTCACAGGCGCTGGTGGCAACTGAGAGATAATGCTGTAGAAATCTTTTTAACAAATGGCAGAACACTCCTATTGGCATTTGACAATACCAAGGTAAGTACACTATTATTAGATTTGTAATTATTGAAATGATCATGTGACCAATGATGCTATTGATTATATGAAGTTTAGTTAAATGAAGGTAAATTTTTTTAAATTGGTACTCTAAAATTATATAAAATATAATTTATATCTTAATTAAGGAAGTTCTTTTTAATTTATTTATTTATTTTTTTATTTTACATGTCGATCCTAGTTCCATCTCTCTCCCTCCTACTCACCCTCCCTCCCTCTTACCCACTTTTCCCCCTCACATGCACCCTGACCACCCTCCCCTCCCATCCCCCCACCCCAATTCCACATGTAGGGTATATGGGGTCATGTAAATCTGTCAAGTCATTTGAAGTAGGGACTAGGACTTCTCTCCTGTCTTTAGGTTAAGGAAGTATCCTTCCATGGGGGATGTGCCTGCAAGGTCCTTTTGTGCACCAGGAATACATCCTGGTCTAAGGTCGCTTAGACTGCTCAGTCCTTCAGGAGACCCATATTCAGGGGGGCCTGAGTCAGTCCCATGCTGGATTCCCAGCTATCAGTCTGGGGGCAGGAAGGGCATTTATGGTTGCCTTTCCACGGTTGTTCAAATTGTTAGTTGGCGGCAGTCTTGTAGGTCTCTAGACCTTTCTTTAGGTTCAGTTTTCTCTTCAAACCAATAATGGCTCCCTCTTTTATGTTCATGTTCTCTCTCTCTCTCTCTCTCTCTCTCTCTCTCTCTCTCTCTCTCTCTCTCTCATCTTCTATTCCTACCCTGACTCAATCTTCCTAGTCACATGTGTTTTCCTCTCCTCCCTTCTCTTTCTCCTACTTCTCTCTCCATTCACTGGGGGACTTGTCCCTTCCCCCTTCTGTGAGGGATTTTATATGAATCTCTTAAAATACACCTTGTATCCTAGTTCCTCTGGTGGTGTGAATTATAGGCTGGTGATCCTTTGTTCTAGGTCTAAAATCCATATATGAGTGAGTACATACCATGTTCCTCTTTTTGTGACTGGGTTACCTCATTCAGGATGGTTTCTTCAAGTGCCATCCACTTGCCTGCAAATTTCAAGATTCCTTTTTGTTCCCCCCCGCAGAGTAGTATTCCATTGTGTAGATGTGCCACATCTTCTTTATCCATTCTTTAGTTGAGGGGCATATATGTTGCTTCCAGGTTCTTGCTATTACAAATAATGTTGCTATGAACATAGATGAACGCATGTCTTTGTTGCATGGATGTGGATCATTTGGGTATATGCCTAAGAGGGGGATTGCCAGGTCCTATGGTAAACTAATTCCCATTTTCCTGAGGAACCACCATACTGATCTCCAAAATGGCTGTATGAGTTTGCACTCCCACCAGCAGTGGAGGAGTGTTCCCCTTTCTCCACATCCTCTGCAACATAAGTTGCCATTGGTGTTTCTAATTTTAGCCATTCTGGCAGGAGTAAGATGGTCTCTCAAAGTTGTTTTGATTTGCATTTCCCTGATAGCTAAGGATGTTGAGCACTTTAAGTGTCTTTCAGCCTTTTTGATTTCCTCTATTGAGAATTCTTTCTTCAGATCTGTATCCCATTTTTTAATAGGGTTATTTGGTGTTTTGTTGACTAGTTTCTTGAGTTCTTTGTATATTTTGGAGATCAGCCCTTTGTCGGATGTAGGATTGGTGAAAATCTTTTCCCAGTCTGTGAGCTGCCATTTGGTCTTGTCCACTGTGTCCTTTGCCTTGCAGAAACTTCTAAGTTTGAAGAGGTCCCATGATGGGAGATGCCATTCTGTAAATATGTTTCTTGTATTGGTTAATGAATAAAGCACTGTTGGTCAATAGGAAAGCAAGATCAGCAGGACTAGGAGACAAGGAGGTTTCGAGGAAGTAGTAGGAAGGAGTGAACATGGAGAGACTGGAGAGAACAGAGGTCCGGGCCCACTCTCCAGTAAGATAAGACCACATGGAAATACTTAGATTAATAGAAATGGGGTAATAATTAAGACAGAGCTAGCGGATAAGAAACTAGTACTTGTCCAACAGCATTATATCAAATACAGTGTCTCAGTGTGTTAATTGGGGCTGGCGTGGCAGTGGGACCGGCGGGACCAGACCAGCGGGAAAACTTTACTCGTGACAGTCCCATTTATAAATTGCTGATCCCAGTGTCTGTGCTCCTGGAGTTATACCAATTTATACCAGTTTGTTCAAGGGTACCTCCACTTTCTCTTCTAAGAGGTTCAGTGTGGTTGGATTGATGTTGAGGTTTTGATCCATTTGGACATGAGTTTTGTACATGGCGACAGACATGGGTCTATCTGCAGTCTTCTATACACCATCATCCAATTGTGCCAGCACCATTTGTTGAAGATGCTTTCCTCGCCCCATTGTATTCTTTTAGCTGTTTTGTCAAAAATCAGGTGTTCATAGGTGTGTGGATTAATATCACAATTTTCAATTGGATTCCATTGATCTACCTGTCTATTTTTCTGCCAATACCAGGCTGTTTTCAGAACTATAGCTCTGTAGTAGAGCTTAAAGTCAGGGATGGTGATGCCTCCTGAAGTTCTTTTATTGTACAGGGTTGTTTTGGCTATCCTGGGTCTTTTGTTTTTCCATATAAAGTTGATTATTATCCTTTCAAGGTCAGTGAAGAATTGTGGTGGGATTTTAATGGGGATTGCATTGAATCTGTAGATTGCTTTTGGCAAGATTTCCATTTTTACTATATTTATCCTACCTATCTAAGACCATGGGAGATCTTTCCATTTTCTGGTATCTTCTTTAACTTCTTTCTTTAGAGCCACAAAGTTCTTATTATATAGGTCTTTCACTTGTTTGGAAAGCCTTACCCCAGGCTATTGTAAAGGGTGATGTTTCTCTGATTTCTTTCTCAGCCTCTTTGTCATCTGACTAAAGTAGGGCTACTGATTTTTTTGAGTTTATCTTGTATCCTGCTAGTTTGCTAAAGGTGTTTATCAGCTGTAGGAGTTCCCTGGTAGAGTTTATTGGGTTGCTTATGTAAACTATCGTATCGTCTGCAAATAGAGACAGTTTGACTTCTTCCTTTCCAAATTGGATCCCCTTGGTCTCCAATTAAGGAAGTTCTTATCCTTATAAAGATTCTCTCTGACCTCTAAAATGTTAAATTTGAAATCCTCAAAAGACATTGTAAGGAATAGCTAGTAATTGCTCAGGCTGATCTACTCTTGACATTCCATCACTTGGCCTCATAGTCCTACTTTCTTTGTGAAAAGCCTTGGGAGGAGTTACATGTGCTGGCTACCACCAGGTTGTCCCTGCAGTCCCTTCTCCTGCTGTTGGTACCTTAGGTTCTCTCCAGAAATGCTCTACTACTGCTTTCTTCTCATCATTCTATCACCATAGCCTCTATTACTAACTCTGTGTTCCTCAGCTTGCTTGTCCCACCAGCAGTATTTGACATGCTGACTAGCCTTTCCTTTCCATTCCATGACACCTTCCTTTCTGGGCTCCTGGGTTTCCATTTTTTTCCCTCATCAACTTTCCCATTCAGTATGTTTGTAGATCCTTCTTGAGTAGCTCAGGCTCATTCTTCAGATACCTTCATTTCATGGCTTTCAAAGCAATCTGTAATCTACAACTTTTAGCTCTGTGTCAGTGCCCAGGCCTCTACCCTTCACATCACACCCACTTATTTAACTCTGCCTTACTATCTCCACTTGGAGTTGCCAGTTGTTATCTTGAACTAAATGAAAGATTCTACCTTAAAATATCCTTCCAGTTTCCCCCTTTCCATAAATGAAACCTTGCCCTGACCAAAAACCTTGAGAGTATCTTAGTAGACTCATCCCACCCTGCATATCTATTCCATCTAATCATACCCTTGACCTGACTAAACTGAGGTTTTGCTCTGAGCCACCATCATTTATCACCGAAAGCATTTATAATAGCTTCATAACTGTCCCAGCTATATCCACACCCCACCTCTTCAGTCTGTATCTTTTCTCTATTCAAAACTCTGTAATTGCTTCTCATGCCACTCACTAAAATTCAAAGCTCTTATGAGAGCCTGACAAAGCCCTGGTTAGTCAAGAACCTTATTATCTCCTAACTTCATCTGCTAGTCTCTTCCTTACTCATACTCTGTCTGTAGTGGTTTTCTTCTTGACACACTGATGCTGCAGAGCCTTTGTACTTAACTGCTGCCTGAAATGCTTTCCTCCATAGAACTCACAATGATTCACTGTCACTTTTTTCAGGCCCCTTGATCTTTCTCAGCAGAGTCCCGTACTGTATCAAACAGTAACCCCTCACTCTTAATCCTGATTATATAAAATAGCAATGTCTTAGTCACTGTTCTATTGCTGTGAAGAGACACATGACTACAGCAACTCTTACATAATAAAGCATTTAATTGCAACTTTCTTACAGTTTCAGAGGTTTAATTGATTATCATCATGTCAGGGGGCATGGTGGCATGCATGGTATTGAAGCAGTAACTGAGAGCTACATCCTGATACACACACAAACACACACACACACACACACACACAGAGAGAGAGAGAGAGAGAGAGAGAGAGAGAGAGAGAGAGGACTTATGAAACTTCAAAGCTTACCCCCAGTGACACACCTTCTACAAAAAGGCCACACCTCCTAATCTTTATAATCCTTTCAAACAGGTCAACTCCCTGGTAACCAAATTCTTAAACATATGAGTTTATGGGAGCCATTCTCATTCAAACCACCACAATCAGCCCCTATAAAACCCAGTACCCGCACCCCTGCCACCTTCACTGTGCTGTCTTGCCCCATGAGGCTGTTTAGTCCCCAGTATTGTGTTCTCCCTACAGAATGTCTAGACCTGCCTTTATTCTGTTTTCCATTGCCTATGCCTGGACACTACTGGCATGTAGGTGTTATTAGGTGCTGGTTGAATGAAAGTTTTTTTCCTTCCAGGATTAGAATACACTGTCACAAATTCCTATCCATGTATTGTGACATCAGCATTTGGCACCCTTTGGTTTTAGGTGGCAGTTTCTGTTGTTTAGCACTGTGTTTCTGTCTGTTCTTACATTTCTTTCTTGTCATTTTTTGTCCATTCTTACCTCTTATTGTCAAATCAGGAGGTCTTTTTCCTACAACTGAACATACAGACTTTGAAGTGGATCTTCCAAACCCATTTAGTTTGTTTTATTTGGGTTTTCAATTGCTTTGGAAGAGTCAGAAAACCTCTTTTACATGACAGAAGTTTTATTAATATCTTTTAAAAAGTTTTTTTTTTATGGAACCAGTGGTAGAATGTTTACCTAGAATGAATAAGACCATGGGTTCAATCCCAAGGATCACAAGAGTTGGGAGATTGACCCTATTTATTTTCAGTCAGTAGTGAGTTTGTATCCTACTAATGTAGGATGTATTTAATTCTTGTGAGATAAACATTACCACCTTCATGTTAGTGATATAATAACAGCATGAAAGGTTTAGCAGGAACACATAGACCAGATCTGTTCTGTTACAGATTGTCAATACAGAATGCCACCATGCTCTTTCTACACCATAATACTGTACCTTTATTGAACTTTTTGTTTTTAGTGTCTCTATCTAAGTGACTTCTGGGCATAACTTTCCCTTGGAAATTATGATCAGATAACACAAATTTCTGCCAGATAAGTTTACTAGAAGATTTATCCAGCAGTTTGACTAATGACTAAGAGCCTGCCCATGGAAGGAAACTGCAGTCAGATTTTGGTTCTCTGACATTTAATGCAGATTTCTTGCAGGATTTCAGATTAATAACATGTCTACAATGTTCTGCTTCTCTAGGGACATATCAATAAAGCTAAAAATATCTGGTCTTTTTCTCTCTCTCCTTCCCTTTTAGGTTCGTGATGATGTGTACCAGAGCATTCTCACAAATAACCTCCCCAATCTTCTGGAGTATGGCAACATCACTGCTCTGACAAACCTGTGGTACACTGGACAAATTACCAATTTTGAATATTTGACTCATTTAAACAAGCATGCCGGCCGATCCTTCAATGATCTCATGCAATACCCTGTATTCCCCTTTATCCTCTCTGACTATGTTAGTGAGACTCTTGACCTCAATGACCCATCTATCTATAGGCAAGTAAAAGCATCACATTCTGAGTTCATCTACAAGATTAGTTTATGCCATTAAAGTTTTTACTTTGAAAATTTTCAAATATGCACAAAAATTTAATGATTAATGAAGCCTTTATAATTTATCTTCCCCAATTCAGCAATTGTAAATTATGAAGATTTTACCAAACGTGCATCCTTTTTTCTTTTTATTTCATATATCTAATTATGTCACCTCCTAGTTCTACTGCATATATCTTTTGTAACAATATTTCCTTACATTATTACATTGTTATTATCCTATCTAAGAAAATTAACAATCCTGATAATATCTAACATACCAACCATATTCTTATCTTGATAATGCCTTTTATAATTGGTTATTTTGAATCAGGTCTGTTGTTACATTTTATTGCTGATATGTGATAAATACATCTAGAAAGCCCTTTAAATATATATATATTTATATAAATATAAATGTATTAATATTTATATATTAAATATATATATATTTGCAACATAATAACATTTGTTCTAGTAGTCTCTGTTTGCCAGAGAGCAGGGATTAGTTCAAAAGGTTTACTTTTATTCAATTTACCCTTTATTTGGGACAGAATCCACCACAGATGGCTGTGTGAATTTGATGTCACTACCTATCATCAGGAGGGCCGTAATGCCCTTCTCTGAGGACGCTTATGATGATTTGTAGGTGCAGGTTGACACTGAACTTTTATTCTAATAGTTTCATTCATGGCTTTATTTCTTGAATCAATTATTTCAGTAGAAATTGAATAAGGATGGTTTCCTATCTGTCTTAGTTGTGGTTTGTTATTGCTGTGATAAAATGCCATGACCGAAAAACAAGTTGGAGAGGAAAGGATGTATTCATCATCGAAGGAAGCCAGGATAGGATCTCAAACAGGACAGGAACCTGGGTGCAGGAGCTGATGCAGAAGCCATGGAAGGGTGCAGCACACTGGCATGCTCATCATGGCTTGCTCAAGCTGCTTTCTTATAGAACCCAGGATTACCAGCCCAAGACAAGCACCACCTACAATGGGCTGGACCCTTCCCCATTAATCACTAATTAAGAAAATGCCCTACAGCTGGATCTCATGGAGGCATTCTCTCAATTGAGGTTCCCTCCTTTCAGAAAACTCTGTGTCAAGACACATGGGGGAGGGGGATGAGACAAAGGTCATTGGTACTTTGGAGGTAATTCCTTAATTTGAAGTTTGAGAATTAAAGGGAAAGTATTTAGCATTTTTCTGCCTTTCTTAAACAAGCTATTATTTTAAAGAAACCAGATAGTACCAGGTCATTGGCAAATATTTTATTTAGTTTGGGAAAAAAAAAAGGTTCTCTTACTTAAAGAAAAATTGACTTCAAATATTCTACTCGGGGTGTTATAAATATTTTAATTATAACTCTCCCAAAATAGCCCTGATTTGTTCTTTTCACAAGAAATCAGGTTCAAGTTAATGCACAATGGTATATTGTTTGTCTTTTAGATTCTATATACACTGCTGTTGGACATTTGAACATTTTACACATTGCTAGTATAAATAGATGTGGCCTTTCTGGAAAGCGGTTTGACAATGTGTATCCAGAAAGAACTGTTAGATGTGCACACTCTGTTTTAGCAAGAAGCTTCTAGGAATTATTCTAGGGAATACTAAAGGACATACGCCCAGCAGAAAGGTTACAGCTTAACCAGCAGTTCTTTCATGGGGCCTGGGATCTGATTCTTGGCTCGCTTTGGCATCTGGCACTGTGTGCAAAGATTTAGCTAGGACTGTGGTACTCCTGTAATTTTTCAAAGTATCTAAAATTATGAAGGTCCAATGCTAGATGCAGATCTGGATTTGCATTTCCTTAACAGTTTGTAAAGTCATGATTTTGAATGGTGACTGTTGGTTGTAAAGCAACATGCTTATGTGAATTAAGGGCTACTCATTTTGGTAACTGCTCATTTTCTGGACACTGGCAGTATCAAATTACTTCATAATTTTCTATCATCTCTTTCTTTGTAGAAACCTATCTAAGCCAATAGCTGTGCAGTATAAAGAAAAAGAAGACCGCTATGTTGACACATACAAGGTAGCTTTAGTTTCTATTAATACTTTGGTATGTGAAAAATGGAGCTTTATGAACCTATGCTTTTTAAGTTTGTAGTATTTATTTTTCTGTGTTTTGTTTCCTTGTACTTTAAGACCTAGGAATTATGTCAACTGAAAATCATTTTTGTTTTTGTTCTATGGAAACACCTTCCAATAATAGGAAAAAGTATACTCTCATTTTGGCACAATTTGAAAACCAATTAGTCCATTGCATTTTCAAATACATAAAAATTATATTTCTTATAAAAATCACAAATTTCCAGAGACCCAACTATCCATGCCTCTGTATTTTATTTATACAGAAGTAGTGGAATCTTTATAATAGTAATATATTAATATGATCATGTTAGTTTGTTGTATATTGAATATTGATGTATTTATTTCTATTACAAACACTAGACATATTACAAAAGTATACATTTTACATAGAAGTGAAATTACCTATTTAAATAGAAATGAGTTACCCATATTGACAATTTTAATATTAATGGAATTCAACTGGAAACTTAGAGAAAAGACTTACCACATAGTATATTCTTCAAAATGTTAGGAGCAGTAGAAGCAGTTTTCTCATATTCCCACATCATTCATGTCCCAATTCCAGATATGTCCTTCTAAGTACCTGAAATTCACCATTTGTTCTTCTGCAATTGAAAATATGACAGTCTGTGGGAGTCAAGACATTACTTGAAAATTCACTACATCCAACTTTGCTGTGAGGCAGACAGCTACAAAGATTAGCATAGTAATAGATAGGAAATGCATTACTGAGCTTCCTCCTTTGTGGTAGAGTTGGAGGTAGGAAAGATCATCATTTTCTTTCTAACTCTGTGTACATGCTCTCCAAAACCATCATACATCACTGTGTTAGTAGTGATAATGTATGCTGTCTTACTACATTTCCATTCCTAGAGAAGCACTCATTATATCATGAAGCTCTTCATTGCAGACATCTGTGGTAGTAGGATCACTCTTGGTTTTTGAGCACACCAAAACTGGAGCTGTTAACTAGGAGTGAGATTACAAAGCAGGTGTGTTCTTATGAGGGAATAGGAGTGGATGTAGCGAGAACTGGGTGGTGTTTTTCGTTTGACCAGGGGTCAGTTGAAGACTCCTAGAACATGGCCGTGGGCTCTGGACATAATTGGGAAGACAAGAATTGTGTCGAAAAGGTGGAGAAGAACAGAAGAGAAAACTAGTCATATTTGAAGAAAACAATTGTGAATTTGCCTGTTCTTTGTTCTTTAGTATTTGGAGGAAGAGTACCGCAAAGGAGCCCGAGAGGACGACCCCATGCCTCCTGTGCAGCCCTACCACTATGGCTCCCACTACTCCAACAGTGGTACCGTGCTCCACTTCCTGGTCAGGATGCCTCCTTTCACCAAAATGTTTCTAGCCTATCAAGGTAAGGATATGTTTTGTAACTACCCCAAAAGTCATGTTATATCTTTAGAAGAAAACGAAACAAAACAAACAAACAAAACAACCGACTAGCTTCTTGAAAATTTTTACTAACCAAGTCTAGGAAAAAGAATTCCATTTAACCAGTCACTAAAATCTTCTTTTTTAAAATTGGTAGTCAAATATTGCTCCTGTCTAAGTTTATAAAAATTGACTGTTTAAAAATTAAGGTATAATTCACAAGCTGCAAAATGACCAGTTAAATTATATTCATCTCCCTTTTATTTTTTTGGTTTTTTTGGTTGGTTTTGTTGTTTTGTTTTGTTTTTTTGAGGCAGCGTTTTTCCTGTGTAACCCTGGCTGTCCTGGAACTCACTCAGTAGGCCAGGCTAGGCTCATACTCAAGAGATCTACCTGCCTCTGCTTCCTGAGTGATAACATTAAAAACATATACCACAACGCCCAGACCAGCTCTCTTTTAAAGACTTGCAACCCAATAATTATTTCAAAGTACAGTAACTTTGCAGCTTATGTAATTTTTTATATAAAAATCTGTTGTATATTGTTATTATTTATGATAACTAGTCAATAAAGAACACATTGGCATCATCACTGTAGTAAAGCTTGTTAGTAATCTAGCTCAGCACTTTGCATGACAGCCTGAAGATGACTGAGGGAATTCACTATATACCAATGAGAACAAACTCACCATGCTATCTAGTGAGAACATATGTTTAGGAAACCATTGCCCATTCAGTTTTTTCTACCTTCTTGGACTTCTTTGACTATTATTCTTAAGACAACCTTTTAGAGGAATAAATTTGTATTCTCTATGCTTAGTCTATGAATGGAGCTTTTAATATTTGCCTAATAAGCTTACAGAGTAAATGTCCCACACATGGCTATTCAATTATTGAGAGAGAGAGAGGGAGAGAGAGAAAAAAATAGAAAGAGAGAGAGGGGGGTGATTATGGGCCAGTGTGAGCATGCCTGCTTCAGAAGCCAGAGGAGGAAATCAGGTCTCCTGCTTTATTACTCTGTACCTTATTCTTTAGGAAAGGGTCTCTCACTAAACCTCAAGTGAATCTGGCAACCAAAAAGCCCAAGAGGTACTTCTTTCTCTCCCCAGCCCCACATCACTGGGTAACAAGCACACATGTGGCCACTCTGAGCTTTTTTACATGGGTGCTGGGATCCAAACTCAGGTCTTCAATGCTTGTGCTATAAGCACTCCTACCCACTGAACCATTTCTCTAGTTTCCCAAGGCAATTGTCATGTCCCTTTCTTCCCTCTCGTCTTGATTTCCCTTGACCAAATGTCCCTAGTTAACATGATCTCAGGTTGATTGTATATGATCCCATTCCAGTTGATACAAGGAACGCCCATAAACAAGCAGCCCTGTTAAGGAAAATCATTTAGAACTGGTGTGTATACCATCCTTGCTTGCTGTGGATTCTAAGTGTGCCATTGTTTGAAGATGTTTTTGGACATGAGAACATTCATTTGTGAATGTCATTTTGTTAAAAATGGCATGAAACAGTATTTTAATGTGGTTTGAAATACTGCAGTGCTGTTGACATCCCTCCAACTAGAACCATTTATTTCATTGGAACCCAAGAATATGAAAATTTCCAGTCAACCATCAATATTTATTATATTGCTGTTATGAGTGGATTCATATACAATATTAATTTTTCTTCATTAAGTAGTGGCATTGTTGTTGCTTTGAAATCAAGTCTCATGTAGCCAAGGTGGGCCTTAAATTTACTGAGATTGACCTTGAATTCCAGATCCTCCTGCCTCTATATCCCAAGTTCTGATATTACAGGAATGCACTGCCATGCCTAAATCTTTATTGCATATTTATTCATAGATTATTCTTAAACTCTAACACACTCCCTTAATCCTCATTTACTTTCATTTCATTAGATTATTGCTGGCTTTTGAATTTTCTTCTTAACCTAATGAGTTAGTCCAGAAATTCTCAACATTAGCACTATAGTTACTTTAAGTATTTTTTTTTCTCAAGGGTTGCTGTGTATTACAGGACATTTTAGCAGCATCCTTAGCTTCTACCAACCAATGTTAGTGGTACATGAATCCTACCATATGTGACAACCAAAAATAACTTGACATTACCAAATAACACCTAGAGGGAAAAGCCCTACCTATTGACAGCCGCTGATATGTATGCATGTTCTAGATTTTAGTAATTGCAGTGGGACTTTTTTAAAAACAGAAACTACAGAGAGTCATGTAATCCAAACAGAACCTATTGTATGCTACTCTTGTTATACAGTGGCTTAGTCTAAGCTCTATACACATTGACTCCACAATGACCTAACATTTCTTACATTCTGGAAAAAAATTGTAAGTCTTATTTTTTCATCAGATTTGATTTATTGGTCAGCCAGTGCTAACTGGCTTAGTGTAATAGATGAAAGGTGATAAAAATAATGGAAAATGTAGCTCAGCAGAGCAAGCAGGCTTAGAGAAAGAAAGGAGCTCATCCTTTTGAAACTGCTCTGTACTTGGTGCTGAGATTAGTTTGTGGTATTCTCAGTTTTGTGATATGCTCAGATTCCAGCAAGTGCAGAGGAGCTTCAGACAATATAGCAGTCCCTAAGAACCATACATACAGAGACTTTTCTTAGGAACTGACCTTTGCACATCATTTAATATTCCAAGCCTGTGATTGGGAAGGCTGGTAATCGTTCTCAGAAAAGATACAGGGATAAAATTCAGTTCTTTGTCATTAATAGTCTATTCCAAAAAAAATGAACAGGAGTAATTATGCTCAGTTTTATATTAATTGAAAAAAAACTCAGTTAATGCTTAAGCTCAGAGTTGGTGCATCTGAAAAACAATGTCAGTGTTGCATGCTTTCACTCTTGTGCAGAATTTAGATTTAAATATGTGTGTCTATGTGTATTGGTAAGAAGTAGGAGGGGACTTATGTAAGGGGAAGAAGTGGTCCAAAGGGAAGAGGAAGCGAACAAAGGTAATAAATTACATGTTTTCTTTTACATACAAAATCTAATGTACCAACACACACATGCAAAATAAAAACAGAACAGGGACTGACTATCTGCAGGAGACCCATGGGTGGGCAGCAATAGGAATGAGGAAGGCAAGGTGGGTGATGATAGGAGAGGAAGATAGAAGAAAATTATAGTGAAATGCCGTATGAAAAATGTCATAATGAACATTATTTTATACTGTAAAATAGTTTTAATTTTAGAAAGCAGTGGCCCCACCCTTTAAAAAAAAAAGAAAAATGTCTAAATAGTATTGGTAAAGGAAAGAACCATAGAGCCATATACCAAACTTCATTCTCTCTCCCTCCATCCCTCCCTCCTGCCTCTCTTTCTCTTCCTCTGTGTGTGTTTTTTCAAGTGAATGTATGTGTGTGCATGCTTGTGGAAGCCACAAATCACCAACAAGAGTCTTCCTCAACTGTTCCCCATCTTTTGAAACATGATCTCTCACTGAACCTAGAACTCACCAAGTCAGTTAACCTGCATGGCCAGTGATCCAGGAATCTCTATGTGTTGCCCACACATTGACCACCCAGTGCTGGAGTTACAAAAACACATTATCCCATCTGATTTTACATGAAAGCTCAGATCAGATTTTCTGTCCTTATGCTTTTGTAGTAGATACTTTCCACACAAGCCATCTCCTCAACCCATAATTTTCCCTTTTTTAAAATTATACATTCTCCTTAATAAAGAGATAATAATTTATATGTGTCCATTGTGTGCTGGGTATGGGTGGTCCCTAGGCTCCTGCTTTTATAAAAATTTCATTTTAACTAGATAGAAGATAGTAGTAATTTAAGCAAGTAAATGATAGAAATTCTTCAATTTAGAGATGATGAAATCATAATACAGTTGAAAATAATTTCATTTCAAGAATTTGAATCTTATTTTAAAAAATCCAAATGACAATTTCTTCAATAATTTTTGAAGCAAAAAAAGTTATGGGAAGCTTCAAGTGTTTGTGTTTTCATTGTATTATTGGAATTTCTTTTTAGATCAAAGTTTCGACATTCCAGACAGAACTTTTCATTCTACAAACACAACTTGGCGCCTCTCATCTTTTGAATCCATGACTGATGTGAAGGAGCTGATTCCAGAGTTTTTCTATCTTCCTGAGTTCCTAGTGAACCGTGAAGGTACCCAACAGATCATTTTTCACATATTTTGAAGGGTATGCAATGGAGATATAATTTTCCAGGAATAAAAGTAGCTTTTCTAAGACTTGAAATTTGAATTTCTAGGTAGGAGAGATTTACTTCATTAAATGTATAATTTTATTTCCAGTTGAGCTTGAGGATTTCTAATGTTCTATAAGACTTCTACATTTAGGGAACTGTGGTGTTTTTGTTGTTGGATTGTTTTGGTTAGGTTTGGGTTGGGTTTTTTTGTTTGTTTGTTTTGGTTTTTCAAGATAAGGTATCTTTGAGTAGCCCTGGCTATCCTGGAACTCCCTCTGTAAACAAGGCTGGCATTGAATTTACAGAGATCCACCTGCCTCTGACTCCTGAGTGCTGGGATTAAAGATATGTATTACCACCACCTGGCTAGGAAAACTGTGTTTTTAACTATTAAAGTTATTTGTAATGTGTTTTTTAACTTTATTTCACATTTTTTTCTGTTTATAAAAGTTACACTCATTAAAAGGTAAGAGTAAAAAGCAATTCATTGAAAATATAAACTAACCAAAACCTAAATGATTTTTTTTGAAATCCAGAAATAATCTTTATTCCAAATACTAATGTCATTTCAAGCCAGTGTTGTTTTTTTCTTTTCTGACAATAAGGAAAGCACCACCAGGAAGTAGAGGCCTGTTGGTTATGAATACAATCTGAATGATTTTATGAGGAAATAAGAGAAATAAAACAGTCTAGGACTAGGGCTATGACTAGGCTGTACTCCCATAACATGAACCACATAAACCACATGTGGTTGTGCGTGCCTATAATCCAGAGTATGGGAAGAAAAAGAAAAGGAAAAGAAGGAAAACTTTCCAAGAAGAACTTTCTAATAATCAAAAGTCAAGCAGTTTTCTGGAGGATAAAATTCAGTGTTGCTGTGCCAGGGACCACTGACCTTGGCCACCCTTTCGAAGTTCAGTCAACTCTTGGATGGATACTTTTGAGTTGTTTTCCTTAATTTCATAAAACTCTTAGGAGACATATCTTTAGGTAAATCAGTGTTAGACAAAATACCTTAGAATGTTGTTGTTTGCTGTCTTCTGAGGCTGTTTAGCAAATTATTAATGCACTCAACCTACTGGAGCTGTTTCATCATGTTGCCTATCTAAAAATCACCTGTTTGTAGCTCAAGTGGCACAATCATTGTACAGTACTATTATGAAAATATAAGTCAAATAGCACCTGCAACTTGGGAGGGAAACACGCACATGATTTTAGTTTGAAGCTCATTTAAATCTGCTGCCTATTTTCTCTGTCTCTGATGTATGTTCCTTTTATGGCTTTATGACAAATCACTCCAACATTTAGTGACTCAAAGCAACTATAAATTTGTTATTTATCACAGTTTTTGCAAGTCCAGATTAACCAAATGTCTTTGTTGCATTCAGAGCTAGGGCAAGAGTAGTAGCAGATGCACAGGTCCCTTCCCTTCAGTTGATCTGTGCTTTTCCAAAAAGTGTCTCCAAGAAGGCTGGTTTGGGCTTCCTCACGTACTATTTGGCTACTCCAAAGGCATGTATCATGAGAGAGATGGACAAAAGCTAAATTACCTTTTCCAACCTAGCCTTTTCATCCAAACAGCATTCCTTCCTCTTCTCTTGCTCATCTATGTCCACTCAGAGGCTACTTGATGATGGGCAAATAATACCTAAAAGCATAGTAGGTAGGAAATACCGTCACCTCTTTAACCTTTATTGCTTTGTTTTCTGTGTATGGGTGTTCTGCCTGTATATGTCTGCACCACATATGTGCAGTGCCTGCCGAGGCCAGAGACCATGGGATCCCTTGAGACTGGAGTTATAGAAGTTGTGAGCCCAGAGAATTGAACCCAGATCCTCTGGAAGCACAACTAGTGTTCTTAACCATTGAGCTATCTTTCCAGCCCCTGTAACTTCTTATTAAAAATATAACTTCCTCTAATGCTCCTTATGTGTTTTCCTATCAGCATTCCTCTCCACGCCCTTTAGTCATCTATTCTGAGTGTCTCCTTTGTGATGTGCTCTAGACATGGTCCCTCCCCAGCTCTTATGCCTTACTGTCCACCATTAACTAAACCAGGCCTCCCACCAAGCCTAACACTGCCCTCCACAATAGCATAGAGATCCTGAGATGCTCACTTATAGATATTATATATACCCTCAGTTTATAGTTTGTATTGTGTCATTACAAAATACTTATAAACTGGTGAAGAGCTTTCATACCATACACACTTCATACCATAATCAAGAAGCAGGTGGACAATTTAATTTTTAAGAAGATCCTTTTTAATTTTTATCCTGCTTATATAGTTAGCTTTTCTATAGAAAAATAAATCTATTCAAAGAGGTTTGTTTGTTTTAAGAAACACTGTCTCCCTATGTAGCTCATGCTGGCCTAGAGCTCTCGGTATTCCTGTTATAGCTTGACAAGTGATGGAATTGCAAACATGCACTACTGTACCTGACTCTCAGACAAATTCCTTTAGGACAATTTTTTTCAATATTTTTTATACTAGCAGACAAATGAAATGGATAGTAGCACATATTCATACCACAAAAAAACCCTTTTAGTCAGCTGGGCAGTATTGCGGTTAAATAAGGATCAGGATAAACAAATAGGCCGAATAGATGTTTATTCAGGGAGAAATAACTTACAACCTAGACAGATAAACACCAGCAAGATCTACCTGATGCTCTTCTGTCCTAGTCCCGCCAGCAAGAGAGCTTTCCCCAGCTCTTCCTCGGCTATTCCTCTTACCTCCTTCCACAGGTCACTTCCGCCTATGGCTCCACCCCCAATGGGCGTGGTCAGTGCCACAGAAGGAGACCAAGTAAATATCTCACTACAGGGCAGTAATGGGAGAGAGAGGCAAGCAGATTTCTGAGTCCAAGACCAGCCTGGTCTAACAGAGTGAGTTCCAGGACAGCCAGGACTACACAAAGACACCCTGTCTCAAAAAAACTAAACAAAAGAAGAACCCTTTTAGTCTGTTAAATTTTTTTTTGGTTGGGCCAGGAATGCTCAGTGAAAAAGGAAGTCAGGGCAGATCTATAAAATTAATATACTGTAACAACCCTTGCTTTTATAAACTACACAATATTAATATTTATTAAATGTGTAGTGCTCAGTTATGAAACTACCAACAATCTAGAAATGCTTATACAAAGCTTTGATTTTAACCAAGTTTATAATTAAATAGGTATTTAAGCACCCCCTGTGTTTGGAGGGTGAATATAGTACTAGAATTCATGGACACTGATTTTCTACTTTCCCATCATCCTGTGGTCAAAGGTTGAAGTTGAAAATCCCAGTTTGAATTAGCTTAGTATCTATCCTGTCCCTGCTGGCATAAAGAAGTAGATGAACAGTGATTCCTGCTGTAGGGCAGTTCACCTTGCTGCTACCATCAGAGTTGTCGTGTATTGTCGTCTGTTTTCCAGAGCTTTTATGCTCTGTGGGCTGAACGAAGCATGCCTTGGCAGAGCTAAACATCATGTTAATCTTCCTTAGGTTTTGACTTTGGTGTGCGTCAGAATGGTGAACGAGTTAACCACGTCAACCTTCCTCCATGGGCACGCAATGATCCTCGGCTGTTCATCCTCATTCACCGGCAGGCACTAGAATCTGACCATGTGTCCCAGAACATCTGTCACTGGATTGACTTGGTGTTCGGCTACAAGCAAAAGGGCAAGGCTTCTGTTCAAGCCATCAATGTTTTCCATCCTGCTGTAAGTGACTCTTTTAGAAGAATCTGTACACATTTAAGCTAGGACCTCAATATTTTAAGGTTGGCTGTTAAGCTATTTCTTTAAAATACCCAAGTCATCAAAGGCAGTTACACCAAGCTGTTACTACTATTATAGAAGATTTTTTAGTTTTATATTGTATCTCTTTAAAAGTGTCTCAGATGCTATAGTCAAGGATTCTCCAAGACCACCCTTATGTTCAGTGATTTATTGAATAAATATGTGGATTCAAAATAGAGTGTTGTTACCTAAAAAATGAAACAAGTTGTTTTCTTTTTGTCATTATGACTAATTCTAATATCACATTGCTGATTCCATGTTCTTTGACTTTTTTCTCTGCAGACATACTTTGGCATGGATGTCTCTGCTGTTGAAGATCCAGTGCAGAGACGAGCTTTAGAAACCATGATAAAAACCTATGGGCAGACCCCTCGTCAGTTGTTCCACACAGCCCATGCTAGTCGACCTGGAGCCAAGCTCAACATTGAAGGAGAGCTTCCAGCAGCTGTTGGCTTGTTAGTACAGTTTGCTTTCAGAGAGACCCGAGAACCAATCAAGGAAATCACTTATCCGGTATGTTACTTTGATTTCAGCAAAATTCAGCAAGACTTGATTGGACTCCTGCCATGCCCCTCACTTAGCTATGGGGGTGCAGACATGAATGGTGTGGTCCTAGCCTACAGATAAGCGCGAGCCAGTGCAAGACAGGCAGGGGCAGCTAGAGCAATGACCTGTGTGTTCAGCGAATGCTGCATTAGTGACATGTGGAGAGTGTCATACAAGCCCAAGGAAAAGAAGCATTTTGGGGCAGACAGAAACTGTTCGCAGGGAGCACAGGAGGGTTATTTCTAGGGAAAGCCTCATCAAGTAGACTTTTTTAATTTTACATACCAATCCCAGTTCTCTCTCTTTCCCCTCATCCGGCTCCCTACACCTTCCCCTCACCCCACTGTACCCCCATCCAATCCTCAGGATGTGGTCTCCCCTGGGGAGTCAACAAATTCTGTCCTATCACCACAGTCATGCTTGACCAAGGCCCTCCCTTCTGTGACTACACTGAGCAAGGTATCTCTCCATAGGAAATGGACTCTAAAATGCCAGTTCATGACTAGGGATAGATAGATCAGGGACCTACTGCCAGTGGCTTCATAAACTGCCCAATCACCCACTGTCATCTATATTCAGAGGGTCTAGTTCTGTCTTCTGCAGGTTCCACAGCTGTCAGTCATGAATCAGTGAGCTTTCACCAGCTTGGGTCAGTTGTTTCTGTGGGTTTCCTCATTATGGTCTTGACCCCTTTGCTCATATTATTGTTCCTTCCTCTCTGGATTCTGGGAGCTTGACCTAGTGGTTAGTTGTGGATCTCTGCATCTGCTTCCATCAGTTACTGGATGAAGGCTTGACAATTACAGTAGTCCTCAATCTGATCACAGGGGAAGGTTAGTTCAGTCCCCCTTTCCACTATTGCTTGGAGTGTTATGTGGGGGTAATTCTTGCATATTCCTAGGGATTTCCCTAGTGCCATGTTCCTTGATAATCCCAAAATGGTTCTATCAAGAAATTGTTCTCCCTCTCTGTTCTTCCCCCAACTTGACCTTCTCATTCTCTCATGTTCTCCTCTCCATGTCCCTTCCCTCATCCCCTCTTCCCCTCTACCCTCCCCCTCACTCCCATGTCCCTAGTTTACTCAGGAGATCTTGTCTATTTCCCTTTCCTAGGTGGATCTATGTATGTTTCTCTTAGGGTCCTCTTTGCTACCTAACTTCTCTGGGTTTGTGAACTGTAATCTGGTTATCATTTGCTTTATGCCTAATACCCACTTATGAGTGAGTACATACCATATATGTCTTTCTAGGTCTAGGTTACCTCACTCAGGATGGTTTTTTTTTTTTTTCTAGTTCCATCTATTTGCCTATAAATTTCAAGATGTCATTATTTTTTTTACCACTGAGTAGTACTCCATTGTATAAATGTACCATATTTTCTTTATCCATTCTTTGGTTGAGGGACATCTAGGTTATTTCCAGGTTCTGGTAAATTGATTCTCAATTTTCTGAGAAACTTGACATACTGATTTCCAAAATGGCTGTACAAGCTTGCACTCTCACTAGCACTCCCCTTACTCCACATCCTCTCCAACATAGGCTATCATCAGTGTTTTTGATCTTAGCCATTCTGACAGGTGTAAGATGATGATATCTCAGAAGTGTCTTGATTTGCATTTCTCTGATAGCTAAGGATGTTGAACAATTTCTTAAATGTCTTTCAGTTTCTTCTGTTGAGATTTCTCTGTTTAGATCTGTATCCCATTTTTTAATTGGATTATTTGGCATTTTGGTGTCCAGTTTCAAGAGTTCTTTGTATATTTTGGAGATCAGCCCTCTGTCAGGTATGGAATTAGTGAAGATCTCTTCTCATTCTGGAGACCAATGTGTCTTGTTGACATGTCCTTTGCCTTACAGAAGCTACTCAGTTTTAGGAGGTCCCATTTATTAATTGTTGCTCTCAGTATCTATGCTACTGGTGTTATATGTCCCCTGTGCCAAAGCATTCAAGGATACTTCCCACTTTCTCTTCTATTAGGTTCAGTGTGGTTGGATTTATGTTGAGTTCTTTGATACATTTGAACTTGAGTTTTATGCATGATGATAGATGTGAATCTATTTGCATTCTTCTACAAGTCAGCCTCTAGTTCTGCCAGCACCATTTGCTGAAGATGCTTTCTGTTTTCTGTTGTATAATTTTAGCTTCTTTGTCAAAAATCAGGTGTGCATAGGTATATAAATTAATATCAGGGTCCTCAATTCGATTCCATTGGGCCACCTGTCTGTTTTTATGCCAATACCAAGCTGTTTTCATTGCTGTAGCTCTATAATAGAGCTTGAAGTAAGGGATGCTTATGCCTCCAGAAGTTTATTGTACAGAATTGTTTTGGCTGTCCTGGGTCTTTTGTTTTTCCATATGAAGTTTAGTTATGTTCTTTTGAGATATGTGAAGAATTGTGCTGGGATTTTGATGGAGATTGCATTGAATCTGTAGATTGCTTTTGGTAAAATTGCCATTTTTACTATGTTAATCCTACCTATCCAAGAGCATGGGAGATCTTTCCGTTTTCTGACATCTTCTCTAATTTTGTTCTTCAAAGACTTAAATTCTCTGCGGCTTGGGGAAGCTGTCCTGGAACTAGCTCTGTAGACCAGGCTGGTCTCAAACTCACAGAGATTCACCTGCCTCTGCCTCCCAAATGCTGGAATTAAAGGCATGGACCACCAACACCTGGCTCTCTCACTTGTTTTGTTAGAGTTACCCCAAGATACTTTATGTTATTTGTGGCTATTGTAAAGGTTGATGTTTCTCTGATTTCTTTCTTAGCCTATTTATCATCTGTATATAGGAGGCTACTGGTTTTTTGAGTTAATTACTGAAGATGTTATCAGTGTAGGATAGTTCCCTGGCAGAATTTTTGGGGTCCCTTATGTATACTATAATATTATCATCAGTAAATAACAAAAGTTTGACCTCTTCCTTTCCAATTTGTATCCCCTTGATCTCCATTTATTGTCTTATTCCCTAGCTAAAACTTAGAGTACTATATTGAATAGTTATGGAGAGAGTGGACATGGACAGCCTTGTCTTCTTCCTGATTTTAGTGGAATCACATTGAGTTTCTCTCCATTTTGTTTTATGTTGGCTGTTGGCTTGTTGTATATTGCCTTTATTGTGTTTAGGTATGTTCCTATTATCCCTGATCTTTCCAAGACCTTTATCATGAAGGGGTGTTGTCAAAGGCTTTTTTAGCATCTAATGAGATGATTGTGTAAGGTTTTTTTTTCCTTTCAATTTGTTTATGTGTTGGATTACATTGATGGATTTTCGTATGTTGAACCATCCCTGTATCTCTGGGATAAAGCCTGCTTGATCATGGTGGATGATTTTTTTTTTTTTTTAATGTGTTCTTGGATTCGGTTTGCCAGTATTTTATTGAGTCACTTTGCATCAATATTCATGAAGGAAAATGGTTTGTAATTCTTTCTTGAGTCTTTGTGTGGTTTGGATATCGGGGTAATTGTAGCCTTGTAAAAAGTTTGGCAGTGTTCCTTCTGTTTCTATTGTGTGGAGCAATTTGAGGAGTATAGGTATTAGCTCTTCTTTGAAGTTCTGGTAGAATTCTGTACTGAAACCATCTGGTGCTGGGCTTTTTTTTGGTTGGGAGACTTTTCATGACTGTTTCTATTTCCATAGGGATTATAGGTCTATTTAATTTGTTTATCTGGTCTTGATTTAATTTTGCTATGTGGTGCTTATCCAGAAAATTCTCATTTCCTATAAACTTCCAATTTTATGGAGTTCAGGTTTTTGAAGTATGACCTGATGAGTCTCTAGATTCCCTAAGTGTCTGTTGTTATGTCCCCCTTTTCATTTCTGATTTTGTTAATTCAGATACTCTCTCTCTCTCTCTCTCTCTCTCTCTCTCTCTCTCTCTCTCTCTCTCTCTCTCTCTGCCTTTTTGTTAGCATCTCATGGAACCTTCTCTAAAGGTTTGTCTATCTTGTTGATTTTCTCGAAGAACCAACTCTTTGTCTCATTGATTTTTTGCATTATTTTCTTTGTTTCTATTTTATTGGTTTCAGCCTTCAACTTGATTATTTCCAGTTGTCTACTCCTCCTGGGTGAGTTTTCTTCTTTTTGTTCTAGAGCTTTCAGTTGTTCTGTTAAGTCACTAGTGTGAGATTTCTCCAGCTTCTTTATGTAGGCATTTGGTGCTATGAACTTTCCTCTTAGTGCTGCTTTCATAGTGTTCCATAAATTTAGGTATGATGTACTGTCATTTTCACTGAATTTTAGGAAGTCTTTAATTTTTTTCTTTATTTCTTCCTTGACCCAGTGGTGATTCGGTTGAACATTGTTCAATTTCCATGAGTTTATGGGCTTTCTGCAATTAGTGCTATTGCTAAATTCTAACTTTAAGCTGTCCATGGTGATCCAATCAGATACAGGGGAGTATTTTAAATTTTTTGTAACTGTTGACATTTGCTAAATTTTAGAGAAGGTTCCATGAGGTGCTGAGAAGAAAATACATTTTTTTGTGTTTGGGTAGAATGATCTATAGATGTTTGTGAGTCCCATTTGAATCATAACATCTGTTAGTTCCTTTATTTTTCTAAGTTTCTGTCTAGCAGATGTGTCCTGTAGTGAGGGTGGGTTGTTAAAGTCTCCTACTGTTAGTGTGTGGGGCTTGATATCTCATACATAGCATTCACTGAATGCTGGCTGAAACACTTGTGCTCTTTCCCAGGGCAATTTATTAACATAGCTTCTAGAAGCCATTGCTGTTAATGCTTTAGGGTGGCTCACTGCTCTCCTTGGTAGCTCCTCTGATGCTCCCCCAGACCAGGATGCTTGCCTCTGACTATCTGCTGTGCCAGGACACTCACCTCTCCAAGCAGACTTCTAAATAGGATTGTGTAAATAAAAGGAACCAGTTGGTACCTATGTAAATGGCAAAACTGAGCCCAGTCACCATCTTCAACCAACAGCTCTAACTAGAGGTACCTCCCCTGATAATAGTAATGGAAAATATTGTCTCTAAAAATAGGAAATAGGCATACTTTTTCTTTGTAATTGAAAGCTGAAGCAAGCAGCTTTCCTTAAAAGGAAAAACAATTTTATCCTTCATTTAAGTTCTACATATAAAAAAAAAGTAGCATAAGGTATTAGAACTTAAATTGCAGAATGTTACAAAGTGTTTGTAGAAGGGAGCCACTGAAAATAAAAAGGGAAGGGAAGAGACCTTAAATATATACCAAGAAGTCTGCCTCAACTACACAAACCTGACCTTGTTTTGATAATGTTTTTGGTATGGATATTGCTGAAATAGCTTAGAGCTATAGTTGTACATTTTTCATGCTTATAGCTCACATCTGTGAGTTTTACATGTTAAATACAAACAGAAGCCATTCAATTACTAGACAACTAATAGACAACCTAAAGATGTCTATTAAAAAGTAGTGTTCTACTAAAACCGAATCATGAATGTTGAATTTGGTAGCAGAAAACTGGATTTTTATAGACTTATGAGTCATAGTAGCCATTACCAGAGTTGCTATTTTTGACTATAATGCATTGTTTTAACATGTCAGAATAATATAACAGTATATTTCTGAAATTTAATAAATTCCACTTAATTTACTATAATACTTATTGATAATTAATGCGTGGGATGTCGTTGGTTTTAGGAGTTTGGTTGGATGATTTTGACCTTTTCAAACAGGGTCTCACTGTGTAGCCCAGACCAGCTTAGAGCTGGACATCCTGCAGAGTGCTAGATTGCTTTATTCTCCTAGTGCTAGATTCTAGGCCTGAACTATGCTCAGTGCTGATTAGCTGCTTAAGCCTGATGTATGTGAAAGCACTAGGCAGTCTATCTGCTGGCAGTAGGAGCACAATTCCAGCCTGTCTCATTCCCACTGTAGCACCTTCACACTAACTGTTCCCTCTACCTGACCCACCCCCACATCCATCCCATTTTGATCTCGCCTATCTGTAAAGCCTTTTTCAGATATCCTCTCTCCTGAGGGTCTTCCCTGAACACCGCCCCCCCCCCATATCAAAGCCAGAAGCTCCATTGTTTTCAGTCTTCTTTCTGTTTTGCTTTCTAACATTTTCACTCCTAACATACACATAAGTGTGTGTTTAATCTTTCTCTCCATCCTCACATGAATGCAAGTCCACTGGTAAAGGATGTTGTTTGACTTGCTCATCACCATGTCTGCAGAACCTAGGGCAGTGCTTGGCACACAGTGGGCATTCACGATTTTAACTAATGAATAACTTCTAAGGCAGGCTCTTTAGAGTCTGGCTTTCTTTTACTACAGTGTGATCTGCAGTGGCATTTATGTCACCGTTTGTCTTTGCTTGAACCACAGTGAACCTCCCACACAGTGCTATGCCATGGCCTTCAGGTAGCAGCTCCACAAGCTCTGACACACAGCAGCAATGCTATGCTGAAAAGGGTCCTCCACACAGCCCAGCTGCACCTTTGTGAACTTCAGCTCATTGTAGAAGTTGGTCAGAGCTGTCCCATAAGTGGTCTAAATAAGAAATAGGGTACTGACGGCCATGCTTTTTAAACAATTGTATGTAGGTCAACACCACCTGTTTCTTCATTCAGATGGAAAAAATGAGATAAGGTACACTGAAAATTATTTGATATTTTTATGAAAATGACTGGAATTTGTATAGTATATTATTTTCATTAGGGTTGTGTAGCATTTACTCTGAAATTTTAAAAGTAGAAAATATACTTTTAAATGTCTAAAACAGAGAGAATCTGTTAATAAAACAAGATTAATAGAGTTTAACAGTCAAAAAGAGAGTGGAAGAATTAAGTTATTGGAAAAAAAAATCTGAGGGCTGTTTTTTCCCCTTCCTGGATTTTCTTCTTGATAATTGTTTTTGCCTGGATGGAGGAAGGATTTGGGTTCCTATTCATGGCAGGTGTATGGCCATCCTTAATAGTGTTCTCTCACCTCTCTGTGTCCATAGCCTGATGCTCTTCAAGCCCATCTATTCCTTTGTTCTTGTTGGACAACACTGTCTTCTCCAGGATTTACTAGCACTCTCTGGAGCATCCACTGAGACACTGTGGTGGTCTAGACATTCATGAAGCAGGGTCTCCTCATTCCAAAACTTGTGGCTGAGTGAGCTCTTCATACCTTCATTTCTGTCATATGTACATGTGGCTCATCACCCTTCAAAATCAATCCATTGACACACCAACTTTAGATATTTTAGGTAGCCTAAAAGAAATGTGTATAGTAAAACTTGGTTTTCTTTGTTGAATTTCAAAACTGTTTGAATTAGTAGCAGGCTTTTCCATTCAAGCTGGGCCAGAACCACAGAACAAAAATCAAATAAACATTTTTCTGTGTGGTAAAAATGTGGGGAAAATATATAACACAATTCTTGCTCTCAAAGAGTTAATAATCTATTTTCTGTTTAGAATTTATATTGTAATTAATAATCTATCAACTTTCACTTGAAAACAGCATAATCTTGACTTTCCTTGGTTTTAGAGCCCTTTGTCATGGATAAAAGGCTTGAAGTGGGGGGAGTACGTAGGCTCCCCCAGTGCTCCCGTACCTGTGGTCTGCTTCAGCCAGCCCCATGGAGAAAGATTTGGTTCACTCCAAGCATTGCCTACCAGAGCCATCTGTGGTTTATCCCGAAACTTCTGTCTTCTGATGACCTACAGCAAGGAGCAAGGTAAAGTGAAGCACAGTGAGGACATGTCTGGGCATCTTTTATGTGATTTAACTGCCAGCAGCTCAGCCGAGCCACTGCCTTGCTTCACTTCTAAAGGTGCCCAGTCTTTGGTGAAAACCTCTGCTCAGAATTGTTTTGTTTTGTTTTTTCTCTCGCTTTTTGAGACAAGATTTCTCTATGTAGCTCTGGCTATCCTGGAATCACTTTGTAGATCAAGTTGATTTCGAACTCAGAGACCACCTGTCTCTACCTCCCAAGTGCTAGGATTAAAGGCATGTACTGACTGCTATGCCTGGTTGAATTGTGTGCTAAGTGTTTAATGTAGTACATAAAAAAACATGAGGATTAAATTCAGTGCTATTTAAAATGAAAGGAGTTTGAGGGAGTTGAGAAGAAATGTCTATGCCCACAGGACGAACACATTGTCAGTCTGATAGATATATGCATACTCAAGCACTCAATCCCCCAGGATGGACTGAAGTGTTTAACAGGTAGATCCAATGCCTCAGAAGATGTAACTGGGTTTTCACATACAAGTGGGAGTGATAAGTGATAAACAGATGCTCTGAAAAGTAGCTCTTCTGGTTCCCACCTCCAGCTCAAGGGCATTGAAATGTGGAACAGGACTATGTGGTGTGGGTCATTTCTTAATTCAAAATGTCACTCAGACATTGGAGAACTGAGAACATCCCTCTGTCCTTCCTGCTAACATTCTCTAGTGCAGAGGCTCTCCTGCTTGGCCTGAGCATGAACATGAATAGCTGAAGACACTCACATTCATGTGAAGTTGCTGAACACTAGCCTATGCCCTGTGGTCCTCCTTTAAGCCTCCTTTGTCCGCAACCTTATCACTCTGCTTTATGTGATTTAAAGTGCCCCGTGTAATTCTCAACCTAGTGTATGTTTGTTACTAAATCCCAGGCCCTTACTGTGCCTCAAGAGCTGTGTTCATCCTGTAACTTCTCTGTATAGTGGGCTTGGGATTGGTCCCTCTAGGTGTGTACATGGAAGTACTTATACTGTAGACTGTGGCCTTGGTAAAGTTCCCTGAGGCTTCCAGATACTGGCTTTTGATGTATATAAATAGGAATGCCAAATGTCTTCTCTCCTTGGGTGAATTATTGTGAAGATTCAAAATGATGCATGGGAATGATTAGCATAGAGCCTGGATCATTGTAAGTATTAATACTTACAAGAATCTATTAGGCTTTAACCCTCCTGGACGAGATATTGTCAGTATTCACTGCTTTTACCTAAACATAACAGTTACAGAAACATTGCAGAGGGCATTAATTGACAACTGGCAGATGGGTGTTAAGAGCCCTGGTTGTAGCTGGACATGTTGAGTGCTGATATGTAAAATACCATGGCTCTGTGTGGTTATCTGTCATAATGGATAGCTGCATGAGGTGTGCCCTAATGATCTTAAGACCTCTATAGGCCACTTTCTTGGGAAATGTGCCTCAGAACTGACTGAAGGCTGTATTATCAAGTACACTCTCTGTCCCATTCATAATATGTCATGAACCTCTAGGCCTCGAGTCCAGACCTACATGTGCCCAAATTACAGTCTTCTCATAAACTCCTTCTTGCAATCCACTGTTCATTTTTTTAGATAACGTTTCTTTCTCTAGCTCTGAGTCAAGTAACTCCTAGTCAGAATACCCCCAGTGAAAAAGAAGATAATCCCACTTTTAGGTCCTATCAACTAGATGCACTGAGGGTTGTCAGACCTGTGGCATGTGGCTATCCCAGCAGCTTGTATGTAAAAGAGCTTGTATTTTGTGATCTCAGTTCTTTTGTTGTGAAACTGATGCCTACATTTGGGCTGTTAGGAGAAAAAAAATCTATGGATTGTATTTTCAAGGTGCTCATTCATTTAAGAACTGTTTGCTCATCCATGTGCTGTATGTCCTGGCAGGTTCTGGAATAAATAAAGCACATTCTCCTGAAAACTCTTTGTATTAGTTTAAGCATTGCATGTTTCAAGAGCAGTCATACCTCAGTCTTCCTTCTGTTTATTGAAATGGCACATGTGTAGGCAGCAGAAAGTCCTGAGAAAACACAAAATGCCCGAGTCTTTCTGCCATAACAGCATAATGCTGCACTATTAAAAACAGAGAAAAGACCAAAACCCTCTTAAGTGGTAATCTGCTATGTCAGATCCTACAGCTGACCAGCATGAATCCCTTACTCAGGGAAGGTATGGTTCCTCTCCAGCAGAGTTCACTTTCCACTGTTCAAAGTTGTTCATGATGACTACTCAGCACTAGATATATAGAAAGTTATTTAACATGTATTTAGTTCATGTTTCATTTTTTAAAGAAAAGGAATCTCAAAGCATGAACAGAGTAAACTTTATTAATGTTATCTGTATAAAAATGTATCTGAAAAGATAATTCCACCCATAGGCTCTTACTCTTATTAAAGACTGAAAACAAGATTATTCTATCTTAGAGAGATAAGGATGGTATTGCCTGAAAGGAGTATCCATTCTTCTATATAAATGTCAGCCTTTAACTTGCTGTTTAACTGAGCTGTTATATGATACTGTGGTGACTAGATACTTGGTTTCCCTTCTCTTGAGGTGTGAGAAGCATGAACAATACAGACATTCAGTGGTCTGCTATCCTGAGCTGGGGATATGCTGACAACATCTTACGATTGAAAAGTAAGCAGAGTGAGCCACCAATCAACTTCATACAGAGTTCACAACAGCACCAGGTAAATTTGGGTGTAAGTTCAGTGTGTCTTGGGAAGGAATGAGGAGTCTAGCTGACACTGCTTACTTAATGCCAGCCCAGAAGCTGCTATTTACAGTCTTTCTAGATGTCCTAGTCCCTGCTCATCTGATTAGGTCACACAGTTTGGTTTTTGCATATTTTTTCATTGAGAGAGCTGTCATGAACACCTTTGTGTACGAATCTGGGGCCCAGTGTTTAAACAAAATGAGCTACTTTTATCCTGGATCCATTTGGCTCACCAACTAGGTCATACATAACCTAGTTTATACATAACCATAGTATTATCTTTATTACCTGGTTTTCCCTAAATAGCCCAGGTATCCAGCATCTTATGGAGCAAGAGGATACTGGGCCTCATCTCCTGGAGTTGTGTTGTGTTCCCAGCTTTGATAGTCACAGACTACAAAATCTTTGGCAGATAACTTGGCCTTTCCAGATTAGAGTGTCTTTCCTCCTCTTTAAAATTATGTTTATCCAATTTGCATTGATCCCTCAGAAAGTTGCTGAAATGTATAAAAATTGTCTGCTATACACACATGGTACTGCCATAGCCACAACAGACTTTGAATTGAGCACATAGCCTCCTTCTCTCTGTCTTTCCATGGGATGGTCTCTGACCATTATCTGACTTCCCCTCCCCTGACTGTGAAACACCTAAATACCTGTTCATGTGTGCTGAAGTGTTGCCATCCCTTGGAGTGGTTGACAGCATAATCAAAAATGGCTGTGCCAGTTTTATAAGCTGAAAAGAAGGTCACTGCCATTTGTTCCTGGACTTGTCCAGAGCCAGCAGAACCAAGGATAAAGGGACAGTGAAAAACAACCTTATTAGGAATGTTAATAAGATTTTTCTGTTTTTATCATATTGGAGAATTTTATACAGATAGAAGTATGTATCCAACATCAACAAGTGGTGATGAATCATAACAAAGCTGGCAGTATAATTAAATTGCAAATGAGTCTGCAAAATCAGTGAAAACACAAAAACATGTTGCAGAATAAGTATGTCCCTTGCTGCCTCCTTTATGCAATTGTTATAAATTGCAAGGGGAAAGAAAAGAGAGTGGGAGTTAGATATATAATATATGCTACATCTTCCAGTATGTTGACAAATACTTTCATAACTAGGTGTAGCGCAGTTTTTTGGATGTGATGCTTGGCATTAGCAACTGTCAAAAGCTGTGAGGGCATGAGAACTGAGCCAAACTTGAATGGTACCTCCATGGTTAGGAATGAAGAATTTGGTGCCAAAGTAGTAATCTTTCACCTTTATCATTCCTTCTCCTATTTAAGAACATTTACAACTGTTAGAGCAAACCTGTGTTTACATATACACTGCTTCCCCACAGAAAGACAGAAAGAGAAAGCATGAAAGTAAAATATAGTAGCCCAGCATGGTAGCTTCCGACACCATGCCGGGCTTAGATTGGAGGATCTTGAGTTTCAAGCCAACCTGGGATACACAATTAGACCCCATTTCAAAACAAAAGACCAGTACATAGATGTTTGAAGTTCTCACATATTCACATTCACACTCAAGCTTTCATCAATTCTGTGTTATTTTGTTGAATTTCTAAGAAACAAGTATATATAAAAATATAAAATTATATACTATTGTTTTTAATACCCTGTATTCTGGAAAGAGTTGTTAAACATTTTTGCTAAAAAATGTTGAAAGTACCATGGTTACATTTGCTTCTGCTCTGATCATATCAAGAAAAATGTTTGTAATAATGTATTTTGGTAAAATGTTCTCAGAAAGTGAGAACTGTCTCAATGTTTTTAACACGTGCTAATCTTTGGTTTGTCCTCTCAAAGGTGACCAGTTGTGCCTGGGTGCCTGACAGTTGTCAGCTCTTCACTGGGAGCAAGTGTGGTGTCATTACAGCCTATACCAACAGGCTCACCAGCAGCACGGTAAGCTCTGGCTCATGGGCATATGACTTGGACCTTTATGTCATTGAGGAAAGCCTGGATGATGTGAGGTGTCCTTGTGTAAACATATGTATTAGCCCTTCTCATTCTAGCTCTTAGGAAGTGGAAGATCACAGACCTAACTCATTAGAAATAGGTTTATTAGGAGTGATGAAGGATTTTGAAAATAATCATTAAGGTCTTAATTTTTGCCTCAGAGACACATAACATTTTGAGATATGATCATCTTTGCATTTAGGCTCTTCACAACAGTCTTTGAGACAGGGTCAAGTCCTGGGGTTCCAGACACCACATAGCTTTCTTTTTTTCATGACTTTTGAGTCTTGCCTGTATTCTCAGTATCCACTTGATCATTCAGAAAGAGTATATATGGCATGACTTCTACCCTCTGTACTCAAAAGTGTGGAAACCCTAGTGTCTGACTAAATTAAATGGCAGCAAAATCTGAGTAGCCATCTTAATTTCTGTTAGTTACTGGAAAGCATATTCAAGCCATCCACTGAATGTCCAAGGTGAGGTATTTAAATAATAACCCAGTTTTTATTTATTCTTAATGTGCATTGGTGTTTTGCCTAGGAAGGGCATTGGCTCTCTTGGAGCTGTAATTCCAGACAGTTGTGAACTGCCATGTGGGTGCTACGAATTGAACCTGGGTCCTCTGGAAGAGTAGCCAGTGCTTTTTTATAACCACTGAGCCATCTCTCCAGTCCCTAAGCCAGTTTTTTTTTTTTTACTTTTTTTTTATTTATTTTATATAACAAAGTCCATTTAAATGAAAACAAACATTTATAGACAATATTTGGGAATTTGGGCATCTTTCCAAACTACTTCCTGCTGGTAAGGGGCGCTGTCATGGGGGATTCGAAGAAGATTCAGAAATCCTGGCTGTAGTCTGTAAGGCTGCTTTGTCCAGCTGTTTTGAATGTAGGATCACCTGGTACTCTGTTTCAGGTGGTCTGGCGTGATCAAACCACATTAGTCTGGAAGGAATCCAAATCTTTTCATTTTCTGTGGAAACAAAAATAGAAATCCTTTTCCCCAGTAACTTGTCCTTCAACTTAAATTTTGGAGTCAAAGCATTTTTTTTAATTTAATTTATTATTTTACATGTCGATCCCAGTTCCCTTTCCCTCCCTCCCTCTTTCCTTCCCTCCTTTTTTCCTTCCCTCCCTTTTATCCTTTCTGCCCTCTCACATGCACTCTAACCACCCTCCCCTCCCATCCCCCCCACACCAGGGGAATGCCATCCAGTTGGGGTCATGTAGATCTGACAGGTCCTGTCTCTAGATTAAGGCAGTTATCCCTCCATGGGGGATGTGTTCGCAAAGTCCTTTTGTGCACCAGGGATACATCCTTGCTCCACTGTCTGAGGTCCCTTAGACTGCTCAGTCCTTCTGGCTGAGACTCATATTCAGGGGGGCCTGACTCAGTCCCATGCTGGCTTCCCAGCTATCAGTTTAGTGGCTGTTAGCTCCTCCTTGTTCAGGTAAGCTGTCTCTATGTGTTTCTGCCGCCTGGTCTTGTCCTCTCCATCTGCATCTGGGTTCTAGTTCGACTCAGTGTTTATGTATGGGTGTTTGATCCTGTTTCCAACAGGCATTAGTTGAGGGCTCCATGGATAAGTTAGTTGTTGATCTCACTATCCGGGAAGGGCATTTATGATAGCCTTTCCACGGAAGCTCAAATTCTTAGTTGGGAGCAGTCTTGTAGTTCTCTAGATCTTTCTTTGTGTTCAATTTTATCTTGAAACCAATAATTGCTCCCTCTTTTATGTTCTCTCTCTCTCTCTCTCTCTCTCTCTCTCTCTCTCTCTCTCTCTCTCTCTTCTGTCTTCTATTCCTAACCAGGCTCAATCTTCCTGGTCGCCATGTTTTCCTTTCCTCCCCCTCGTTTTCTCCTACTTCTCTCTCCATTCGCTGCCCCCCCCCCACTTCCCCTGAGCTCTGGGGGACTTATCCCTTCCCAGTTCTGTGAGGGACTTTATATGAATCTCTTAGAATACACCTTGTATCTTAGTTCCTCTGGTGGTGTGAATTATAGGCTGGTGATCCTTTGATCTAGGTCTAAAATCCGTATATGAGTGAGTACATACCATGTTCCTCTTTTTATGACTAGGTTACCTCATTCAGGATGGTTTCTTCAAGTGCCATCCACTTGCCTGCAAATTTCAAGATTCCTTTTTTTCCCTCCCCCCCCCCTGCAGAGTAGTATTCCATTGTGTAGATGTGCCACATCTTCATTAACCATTCTTCAATTGAAGGGCATCTAGGTTGCCTCCAGGTTCTTTCTATTACAAATAGTGCTGCTATGAACATAGTTGAACAGATGTCTTTGTTGCATGGATGTGAATTCTTTGGGTATATGCCTAAGAGGGGGATTGCCGGGTCCTGTGGTAAACTAATTCCCATTTTCCTGAGGAACTGCCATACTGATCTCCACAATGGCTGTATGAGTTTGCACTCCCACCAGCAGTGGAGGAGTGTTCCCCTTTCTCCACATCCTCTCCAACATGAGTCATCATTGGTGTTTCTAATTTTAGCCATTCTGGCAGGGGTAAGATGGTATCTCAAAGTTGTTTTGATTTGCATTTCCCTGATAGCTAAGGATGTGGAGCATTTTCTTAAGTGTCTTTCAGCCTTTTTGATTTCCTCTATTGAGAATTCTTTCTTCAGTTCTGTACCACATTTTTTAATAAGGTTATTTGGTGTTTTGTTGACTAGTTTCTTGAGTTCTTTGTATATTTTGGAGATCAGCCCTTTGTCGGATATAGGATTGGTGAAAATCTTTTCCTAGTCTGTGGGCTGCCGTTTGGTCTTGTCCACTGTGTCCTTTGCGTTACAGAAGCTTCTAAGTTTGAAGAGGTCCCATTTATTAATTGTTTCTCTCAGTGTCTGTGCCCCTGGAGTTATGTTCAGGAAGCAGTCTCCTATACCAATTTGTTCAAGGGTACCTCCCTCCTACTTTCTCTTCTAAGAGGTTCAATGTGGCTGGATTGATGTTGAGGTCTTTGATCCATTTGGACTTGAGTTTTGTGCATGGCGACAGACATGGGTCTATCTGCAGTCTTCTACACACCCTCATCCAATTGTGCCAGCACCATTTGTTGAAGATGCTGGCCTCGTCCCATTGTATAATTTTAGCTGTTTTGTCGAAAATCAGGTGTTCATAGGTGTGTGGGTTAATACCAGGATTTTCAATTCGATTCCATTGGTCTACCTGTCTATTTCTGTGCCAATATCAAACTGTTTTCAGGACTATAGCTCTGTAGTAGAGCTTAAAGTCAGGAATGGTGATGCCTCCTGAAGTTCTTTTATTGTACAGGGTTGTTTTGGCTATCCTGGGTCTTTTGTTTTTCCATATAAAATTGATTGTTATTCTTTCAAGGTCAGTGAAGAATTGTGGTGGGATTTTAATGGAGATTGCATTGAATCTGTAGATTGCTTTTGGCAAGATTTCCATTTTTACTATGTTTATCCTACCTATCCAAGAGCATGGGAGATCTTTCTATTTTCTGGTATCTTCTTTAATTTCTTTCTTTAGAGCCACAAATTTCTTATTATATAGGTTTTTTTACTTGTTTGGTAAGCATTACCAAAGATACTTACACCAAGATACTTTATATTGCTTGTGGCTATTGTAAAGGGTGATGTTTCCCTGATTTCTTTCTCTGTCTCTTTGTTGTCTGAAAAAAGTAGGGCTACTGATTTTTTTTTGAGTTTGTCTTGTATCCTGCTAGTTTGCTGAAGGTGTTTATCAGCTGTAGGAGTTCCCTGGTAGAGTTTATTGGGTCGCTTATGTAAACTATCATATCATCTGCAAATAGAGCCAGTTTGACTTCTTCCTTTCCAATTTGGTTCCCCTTGATCTTCTTTTGTGGTCTTATAGCATTAGCTAGAACTTCTAGTATGATATTGAAGAGATATGGAGAGAGAGGGCAGCCTTGTCTTGTTCCTGATTTTAGAGGAATTGGCTTAAGATTCTCTCCATTCAGTTTGATGTTGGCAGTTGGTTTGCTGTATATTGCTCTTATTATGTTTAGGTATGTTCCTGTTATACCTGACCTCTCCAAGACCTTTATCATGAAAGGGTGTTGAATTTTGTCGAAGGCTTTTTCCGCATATAGGGAGATAATCATGTGGTTTTTCTTTTTCTGTTTGTTTATATGATGGATCATGTTGATAGATTTTCGTATGTTAAACCATCTGCATTCCAGGGATGAAGCCTACTTGGTCATGGTGGATGATTTCTCTGATGAATTCTTGAATTCAGTTTGCCTGTATTCTATTGAGGATTTTTGCATCGATGTTCATCAGGGATATTGGTCTGTAGTTTTCTTTCTTAGTTGTGTCTTTGTGAGGCTTGGGTACCAAGGTTATTGTGGCCTCATAAAAAGAGTTTGGCAGTGAACCTTCTGTTTCTATCTTGTGGAACAGTTTGAGGAGTAGTGGTATTAGTTCTTCCTTGAATGTCTGGTAGAATTCTGGGCTGAATCCATCTGGCCCTGGACTTTTTTTTGGTTGGAAGGCTTTTGATGACTGCTTCTATTTCATTGTGGGTTATAGGTCTATTTAACTTGTTTGTCTGTTCTTGATTTAATTTTGGTAAGTGATAGTTATCCAGAAGTTTGTTCATTTCCTTTGAATTTTCAATTTTTGTGGAATATAGATTTTCAAAGTATGACCTGAAAATTGTCTGGGTTTCCTCTGTGTCTGTTGTTATGTTCCCCTTTTCGTTTCTGATTTTGTTAATTTCCTAAGACAGTTTTTTAAAAAGACATGTTATGCACTTTTATGTCTCCTTGTGGTACTGTTCAGGATGTAGCAGGTTAAAGTAATAATCTTCTTTCTCATCTAGAATCTTCTCTGGGCTATTTTTTTTTCATTGTAATTTTCATGATTACATTATTAAATATATTTTGCTTAGTGGAACTACTATTCTTAGCACAGTATTATTCCCAAGATCTTATGGTAAATCCCTTGTTAAAATTTGCCCTTACCCTTGGGGTTAAATGTAACTATAATATTGTTTCTGTTTCTTATCAGTGGAGCCACTAAAATGTTTTAGCAGGAGTAATGGGACCCTGGAGAGCCTGCAAGGAGAAACACCCTGAAGGCTGGGAGGGAGGCTAGGACAGGATGTAGGAAAGGATGGGACAAAGGGAGAGGTCCCTGCTAAGTATTAGGGAGCCAAGACAGTTATACTTAAACTGGGTACTACTGGGTGGAGAAAAGGGATTATCAATAGTGGGGGAACCAACTTGCCCAACAATATGGAATCCATGGTCTGCTAAGTTGGGAGATGGCAAATAATTTTCTGTGTAGTTAAGACTGCAGTGGTGAGGATGAAATTAAAAAAAAATATGGAGCCCAGGGGTGAAGTTCTTATTTGTCATGGTCACTAAGGAACCTGAGTCTAGAAGTATCTCCTTTTTATTTCTCCTTTTTTATTACCAAACACCTCATCTGTACACATCTATCTCTATCATTAATGGTTGCCAGTATGTTCAGTCATCTCAGTTTGAACTCTGTTGCCTCACTTCTAGGTATCTGTCCAAGCCTGCCTCTAGGATAGCTATCTGCTGTGCACCATGCATAGTTGCCTTTTTAAAACTAGCTTTATTTTTGGGTGTTTGTTTGTTTGATCCATTTGCTTCCTGACACTTTAAACAGCCTTGTTCTTAGTTTTCCTCATTTCTGTGTTTTTAATTATGCATCAACACAGTATATAGTACCAGATTAAAAAGAAAAGGATTATGATGTCAGTACAGGAAATACCTTTGACTAGAGCTGACCATAGTTAAACCTGTTTAACTTAAATATAACAAGATTAGTTTTGTTTGCTATTAAATTGTGGCAGGCTGATGAAGGCTCATATTGTTTATAATTCCTTTTATATAATTTTCCTGAAAGCAGGTTTTCCAGATCATTGCTAAGGGTTTTCTTTCCTTCCAAGTAGTAGGTAGCTGAGTTGTGAGAGTAGTGGTTGCTGCCTACTCAGTGTCAGAAAAGCAGCTTAGCTGTATGGTTCTACCAGTGTTTGAGGAGAGCTCTTAGGTCTTCACAGATGTTGATGTTGATGCTTATTTCACAGACTATCTCAGAAACCTGTATCCATGATACAGCCCTGGCCCTGGCTGCAAAGTCAAAAGGAGGCTTCTGACATTCGCTTTATTCTGTTCTATATCCCTGGTCCTAAAAGTTTTTATGTGTTTCTTCAGGGAGGTTTCACACAGACTAAAGATGGCCCCATAGTGCCACATAAGACACACCAAAGTCCTTGTTGGGAGAATATTCCCCATCAAGGGGTTCTAATAAAAGCATCTCCCCTTGCTAGTAAACTGTACCTTACTTTATGTACTTACTTCTCAACTGTCTGGGTCTTCTCAATGAAACCTTCTAAGATGCCTTCTAGTTAATTGTAGATACTGAGTGATTATGGGATGGTTATCTATAACTCGAGCGAATGTTATAGAAGACTATCTCCTGAAAGTAATAATTGATTGCATAATAGTTATTCTTGAGACATACAGCCTGATATTGTTTTTAACAGACTGAAAATAGATATTTTATTGGCTTAGAGTTTGAGAAGTCACACACAAATAAATGTATAGTAACTATAAATTTAAACAAAGTTTGGTGCACCAGTGCAGAATATAATTCAAAACTTGGCAGGAGGGTACAAGGTCAGATATATTGATCTCCCTTGGCAACACATTTCAGGTACCTGGTGAGCAGGTGCAAAAGGTTGAAGGTGACAGAAACCTCTAGACAGCTAGGAGTCTTCTACTGGCACAAGCAGTAGGATGTAGCTCTAGGACCTGGAGCCTGCTGTGTGCTGAGTGTGAATGCATGCCTTGAGCTGGAGCAGATATGGAGTACTGTGCAAAAGGCACCAAGATGTCCTTCAGGTCACTCTACAGGACCTTCAACATCAAGGCTGCAAAGCTATTTGTTGCTCCTGCAGCTGCAATTGCCAAGGTCCCAGGCCCTGAAACAGAAATAGAAAATACACATGACTTCCTTCTGCAGTAACCACTCCTTGATACTAACATCCTTGTACCTCTTGAAGGCCTGTAGTTCTTGTAGGAACACAGACCTGAACTGAGACATTCGGCAGACCTTTATATCCAACAGCACACTGGGGAGCCTGAAGACAGGAACAGCCCAAGTCCTCCTCAGCACCACCATCATTGGCATCAGGAGGAGCATGCAGCCCCACCTATATCTGGCTTCACCCTGGACTGTGGTGTCTGTAATGAAATGAGACCTCAAGTGTGTCCTTGAGGTTCTCCCCTGGGATCTCACTCTTGCTTGGAGTTTATAGCCTCCATCTTCCCCTATGGCTCTCAGCATTTCCAGCTTCATCTAGAACAGGGTAGCTGCCCATGGTTCATGGTGCCACTTTAAATTTGCCTTGGGCAGCTCCAGCTCATGTAGAAAAGGTGAAATTGACATTAATCACCAGGGGAGCCCAAGATTGGGGAAATCCAGAGCAGAGCTGGGCCAAGAGTTAGGTGAGGACTTAAGTCACCTAAGATAGAGTGAGTCTGAAGAATTCCCACAGGAAACTCAATACACACAGGGGTGGTCTTGGTTACCTCTTGAGTGGATCCCAGCTTGGGGGGGGGGGTTCAGATATGGGACAAGATGCCTCGTACAAGGGCCAGGAGGGACACTTAGGAGAAGCCACCCTGGGAACCTGGAGCTGCTTTCTCAGCAGGAGTGAGCAGGAATATTGTTGAGTGGGAAATTCTGAAATGCCAATAATAGTAAACACTCCAATAAAAAAGCAGGTCATAGCCATGTGGCCTTCAGACATAATTGGTTCTTGAAAGTCCATCTATAGTCATTGAGAAGGGACACAACATTGGAACCTGTCAAATTAAAGAGAAGAACAAAACTTTTTATGGCATTATATATAACTTGAAAACAGTTTTAAATATCAGTAAATAAAAGGTACTCATTTCAACGATGATAACTGTATGGAGTGTTATATACCATTAAAATCATTTGAAGATAATATCAAAAGTAGAAATGCAAAATAATATAAAATACAAAATAGAAATTTATTTGTATAGCAATATTACAGACTATAGAAATATATGTGCCTTTAACAAAAACTGAACAAGAGCAAATAAAAATAAAAGGCAATGCAAGTTACTAAAATTGAGCAATATAAATTGTTAAAATTCTTCATTAACCTTTATCATTTAAAAAGTTGAATAGGATTGAAAAATGATCTGATAAGAAGAAAGCCTGAGGCATATTTTTAATTTTGAGATACTACAGATTATTTTGTGTGGGATTTCATCTCATACTTTGCTTAATATTCAAATTCCAGCCCTCAGAAATCGAAATGGAGAGTCAGATGCATCTCTATGGACACACAGAAGAGATAACCAGCTTATGTGTCTGCAAACCATATAGTGTGATGATAAGTGTGAGCAGAGATGGGACCTGCATCGTATGGGACCTAAACAGGTACATAAGTCTCTCATCCAGGCACAGCTGCTTGAAATGTTACATATTTTACAGTATATAGTAAATACACTAAATTCATGTCACTGTGCTGTCAATTTAAACATAAGACACATGCTTATATGTATAGAGTACCTCTGTAATCTGGTAAAAGTCAGAAGTCAGATAACACATGCTTATAGGTATAGATGAGTACCTCTATAGTCTGGTGAAAGTCAGAAGTCAGATGCCTCAGAATAGGAGTTACTCAGACTGAGGAAAGGAAACATAAAAGCTGTAATCCTGTGTGTGGCTGGATGTGTAAATTCATGTCATTTATTTTAGATTATGCTATGTACAAAGTCTGGCAGGACACAAAAGCCCTGTGACAGCTGTCTCTGCCAGTGAAACATCAGGTGACATTGCTACTGTGTGTGACTCAGGTGAGTTGTCCCCAGCCAAATCCTAGGGCTGACCTTTCTTTCCCTGGCTAGGGCTTCTCTTGGCTTCCTTCAGTATAAGCACTTTGGCCATAGCATGGTTGTATATTAAAATGTAAGGTCCTGCACGGACTTCTCCTGAAACAGAAGTTAAAATTTTTCCTGATAGATGTAAAAATTTGCTTAATTACCCTTAAACAAATCATTGTTACCTAATTATTTGAAATGTCATGGCTTTTGTTTTCTATACCACTCTGCTTTGGTTTTTAACCATTAGCTTTGTTATCTTTCTTGTGCTAGAGAACAAGTTTCTGACAAATTGAGTTTGATGATTTTTACTTGTCCTTTTGCTGTCATAAGACACCCTGACAAATGCAACTTAAAATAGTTTGTGTTTATTTTGGCTCCTTTTCTGCAGGGTTCCCTAAGCCCTGAGGGGAAGGAATTGATAGAGATATCCCAATTAGGACTGAGTGCTCTAAGGTCTCTCACTCTCTGCATATTTGTCCAGCTTCTCTAATGATGACTAAGCAAGACACTGATCTATGAGTATAGCAGAATGTCTCACTGGGAGTTATTTTGTTGCTATGTCCTTTTGCAGAACAGTAGTATTTGATCTTCCCCTAAGTCCCTGGTCTATCTAGTCTCAGGGTTTTTGTCATCTAAGCAGTGTCTGGTACGGGTTCTATCACAATCAGACATTGGTTGGTTAGTCCCAAAACCTCTATGCCACTATTACACTAATGCATTTTGCATACAGGTCACCATTGTAGATGGAAGATTTTATGGCTGTGTTGGTGTTTGCCTTTCTCCTTTGACAGTGTAAGGAGACCTCCAGTGCCCTAAACTCCAGTCTTAGGCGGAAGGCTCTATGTAAGCACCAGCTCAGCTTCTCCATGTTCATTGGGTTGTGTAGGCATTGCTTCAGCATAAAGCCTTAGCATCAGGAGGGTCTCTTGTTCACTGCTGTGGTGCACCAGGCTAGCTGGCCCACAAGCTTTGATGGATTCCAACACCACCTTCTGTCTCACCATAGGAGCACTGGACTTAGTGTTATAGCTGTCATGGTCAGAGTTTCATTACCTGTTACTAAGATAAAGCACTGGACAAAAGCAAGTTAAGTCAGCTCCAGTGAGAGAGAAGTCAGGGTGGCAGGAACTCAGAGCAGCCACAGTCAAGCACAAAGAATTAATGCACACAAAGCTTGTGTTCAGCTTGCCTTCTCCATTTCATACAGTCCAGATCCCTAAATCAGGGAATGGTCCTGCCCACAATTAAGACATCTCTTCCTACATTAATTAATTTTATTAAGACAATACCTCACAGACATTCTCAGAGATTCAACTTAATCTAGAGAATCCTCACAGATGTACCAGGCTAACTAAACTTAGTTTAGTTCAGTGTTAATAAATAAAATCCCACAATAGATATTCTGAGGAATAAGCTTTTGTTTTAAGAATTAATTTGCTTTTTTAAAAATACATAATACCATTTTTACTGAAACTTTTTTCTTTTGAAAGTTGCATAAATCATTTTTGGTTTATTTATTTATTCATTCATTCATTTTTTAGGTAGGGTCTCTATATGTAACCCAAGCTAACCAGAAACTCATGATCCTCCTGCCTCCCAAATTGCTTGGATTATAGGTGTTTTTCACCACTTCTGTGCTGGGAGGAGGGACCCTGCTCACCCATGCTTCTATGTATGGAGGCCAGGGATTGACTTTCAATATCTTTATTGTTCTTTGTCTTATGTTTTGAGAGAGGGTCTCTCAGTTTCCAAGGATCTGCCTGGATCTGCCTCTCCACCCTGGGGTTATATGCATGAACCACCATACCTAGCTGTTTAATAGGTGCTGGGGATCTAGACTCAGTCCCTTAGGCTTACACAACAAGCACTTGACCCACTGAGCTGTCTCTTAGCTCCCTTAAGTAGCTTCTTTTGGATGGTTTCACAGAATATTTCTCTCTTTTGGAGAATGGTATTCTAGGTAACTTCAAACATAATTGAGATTTTCCAGTCCATACATGGAAATGTAATCACACAAAGATCCCTGATTCATTTCCCTTGTTGCTGTTTCGATTCATCATTGGTCAGTGCCCACCAAGAACTAATCTATAAGACTGTATGACTCTGTAGTAATTCAGAGCCATTAATCGGTGCTTCCTGTGAGCTGCTTCACTGAGTAAGCAAGGGTGGCCCTTATGGGTGCCCTAGAGACCTCATTGTGAGACCCCACCCAGCCATTCTGGTGATCTGTGGAATGATTTGGTGTTTCAGCTGGAGGGGGCAGTGACCTGAGACTTTGGACAGTGAATGGGGACCTCGTCGGACATGTCCACTGCAGAGAGATCATTTGTTCTGTAGCTTTCTCCAACCAACCTGAGGGAGTATCCATCAATGTCATTGCGGGGGGTCTAGAAAATGGCATTGTGAGGTAAGAGAGAATTTGACTCTTTTCTTCCCAATCATGGATCACTGCAGTTTGAGAAATGAATTCTAATGTCTAAGTATATTAATATGTAGGACTTAAGAGATTGAAAGTCACTTTGGAGTATAGGTCTTTATTCCTGTTGTGTTTCTAAATAGTAAAAGCTAGTGCAGTTTGGAAGTATTGTGTTAACGATAAGATAATGTAAAATATTAACCATATGAAATCTGGTTCCCACCTGCAACCCTTTTAGACTCCCCAGAGGCAATGCTGTTCTTTGCAGTAGAGCATCCTGGTAACTCAGCTAACAAATGCTGATGTTTTTCATTTTGCAGTGCATTTAGCTTTAGTTTGCATAATTGAATAATGACTGCATTTCCCTCTAGGTTATGGAGCACATGGGACTTGAAGCCTGTGAGAGAAATTACATTCCCCAAGTCAAATAAGCCTATCATAAGGTAAGATCTACCATTGCCTTTTATTCTTCATAAAATAATTTATAATTGTATTTTTGTTAGAGAAATATTAAAGCATATTGACCCAAAGAATGTGTGTGTGGAGGCTTCATGAAAAGCCAGCCTCTACCATGCAGCAAATTTCCTGTTACCAGCAACAAACCAATATACTCCTGTCATGTGGAGATGGGCTGGCCCTCTGCCAGGAAGCTTCTGAGACCATAGAAACTGTTCTTTCTACTTCCTCCAAGCAATGACAGTCATGTGACTGACTGTCATAGGGATGTGCTTCATAAAACAAACACCAGTCTCCCTTACCTTGGTTTACAAATTTGACTTTAAAACTCAATCAGTAGTTGAGATATTCAAATTATATTTAATTAAAATAAGTTTATTTTGATTGTGCTGAACTTAAATGTTAACGAATCTAAATTATCTACTAATGTTACATTATTTTACCTTTTTTTCTCCAGAGAAATAAAATTATCCTCAAAACAAATGTTATTTAAGGGCTGGGTGTAGTGGCCCATACCTTTAATCCCAGAAGCTGGGACGCAGAGAAAGGCAGATCTCTCTCTCTCTTCTTCTCTCCCCCTCTCGTTCGTGTGTGTGTATGTGTGTGTGTGTGTGTGTGTGTTAGTATAAGATGTCTTTGTGAAGTTTCTCCTACCCTGATCTCTGAGGCTCCGGTTTTTGTTGTTTTTTTTTTTTTTTTTTTTTTTTTTTTAGTTTTGGTTTCTCAAGATAGGATTTCTCTGTGTAATGGCCCTAGCTGTCCTGGAACTCGCTCTGTAGACCAGGCTGGCCTCGAACTCACAGAGATCTGTCTGCCTCTGCCTCCTGAGTGCTAGAATTTAAGGCATGTGCCAGTTTTATTCTAGCTAAATTGAGCCCAAGCCTTGTTAGAAGGGCAACTGTATTAGAATGGGTCAGCACAGAAGGTTTTTCATGTGTAACTCTGTAGTACAGGCACCTTAGTTTCCATGTAAAAACAGTTTAAAGACTGTAATGTACAAGTGGGTTTGCTCTTTACAGCCTTACGTTTTCCTGCGATGGCCACCATTTATACACAGCCAACAGTGATGGGACAGTGATTGCATGGTGTCGGAAGGACCAGCAACGCATGAAGCAGCCCATGTTCTACTCTTTCCTCAGCAACTACGCAGCAGGATGAAGAGAAGGGCCTTCCCCAGAGAACATGAGCACCATACGGTGGAGCTGGTGCCTGCCACTGCAGAAACAGATAACTAAGCAGATATCCAGTAATGACACCTGTTCCTCAAGGCACACCTCCACAGCCTCCAAGGTCCTGAGAGTAAAGCCCTGCCCTCATTCCATAATGGTGTGGAAGGCTGGGTCAGCACGCACCAGCCAACAAGTTTGAGGCAAATTAAAGTCAGAATCTTGATACTTATTACCAAGAAGTTATGCTAAATCAAAGATTAGTGTCTCTCTTCTTTCAAAAAGAAACAGCAGAACTTTAAATTAGCTAATTATTTATCTAAAATACTAGAAACTATATTTTAAAAGTTTCTGGCATATTCCCTTACAAGCACACATTCCCCTCATAAAAAAAAAGAAAAGAAACTCAGAATTTTTCAGGACTCAACAATTGCTTTCTTTAAGAAGCAAATTATTCAGTAGGTGCCTCTGCACCAAATACATTCCGGAATATCTGAACTGAAAGTGATCTCCTGCAGCATCACACTAGGCTGTTTTTGCTGGTTGCCTTTGCCCAAAGAAGAGCTAGGTTTTTCCTGCAAGAGTGTAGGTACTTTTGATTTCATGCACATCCTCATTCCTCATAAGATTTTACTTACAATCCATAACACTAGGCATCAATACCCTTGGTTCAGTGACTAATTTTCAAATGCCATGGTAAATCTTTTAGCACCTGCCATTAACAATGCCACTGACAGAGCATTGAACATGTACCATCTATAATAAAAAGTTCCAGACAGCACTCCACAATGGAGACACAGCAGCTAATCCAGTCCACAAGGGGGTGTTCTGCTGTGAGACAGAAATGTGAAGGAAAAGAAGATAGCTGAGTGTGCAAATGGAAGGCAGGATGAGTTACCCTTTAGGAAACCAGTTTTCCTTATCCCTACTATGCTGTCATCTGAGAATCCTAGAGAAGGTGCAAAGCCCCCCTTGTGCACCACGGCATGTGAAGGCAGCTCCTAGTCTGGAATGCCATATCTGCCACATGGGGACAACTGGATTTTTACTTGAGGTGCTGCTTTAATGGCTTTGAAAACTGTCAGTAGGCTCAGAAATATGTCACCATGGGATAAAAGCACGTGTTGCTGCCTATGAATGACTTGTGCATTTGTTTTGGAAATTTACTTCATATAATGTTTACAAAACTACTTTTGTAACTTCCAGACTTTGTAAAACATTCTGCTTATATCTACAGATGCTATTCCAGAGTCTCTGCTGTGGGTACAGGCACAGGAAGAGGCAGTGCCTCATGATACCTTTAGGTCACATCGACATGAGCCACATGCTACTCCTGGGGTCCACTTATGAGCAGAGATAACATTACTTCTACTCACGTTGAAGTGATTGATTTGTTTTTAAAAATTCAGCTATTGTCTAGCTTTCATTTTTTTTTTTTTTTTTACCAAGAACTTCAAGTTAGTCTCCTATTAGAATAGGGATGCTATGCAGTCTTGGCTTTTTTAAGGACCAAGTTTCATCATTATCTAAAGAGAAAATATGCAAAATACCTGGTCTTGTTAAGAGTGCAATATTATATTTTTATGTAAAAATTGGGGGGATTATTTATTGAGCATGAAACCTAGTATGTATATGTTGGAATGCTTTATAATAATGCATGTTGTAGCACACATCCCTAGAAGTCATCACATGCTGTTACCTTATACACACTGCCACTTCAGTTTGGAAATAAACTTGCTAAAAATAGACTTAAACATGTGTCTTCTATATGTCTTGTATGTTACGATCAGATAGATCCCAGTCAGTGGCTGTTGCAGAACAAGATGTATCTGAAAGTCCTGTTACTAATCACTGGCTATTCTAGGACAAGTTTCCTTCAAGCCAATGAGCCTCCTCAAGGAATAGACCCAACAAACAAGCCATAGATGCCTGGCACTGTCGACACAATTAAGGGCTCTAGAAGAGATTGTGTGGCTGCAGCTGTGCAGATAAACACAGATACCATGTGGCTAGAGAGAAGGAAAGAACAGCAGTGGATTGAATTAAGAGCCCTGTAGATAGTAGTATTCCATGAGACATGGCCTGTGATAATCTGTACTAAAATTGGCTTTAGCCCAACTTCATGGATGCCTTAGTGTAAGAGAAACATAGGGATATGGGAGGAAATACAGAGTTCAACAGGAATCAGTCAGTAGTTCTCGGTCCAAGAGTCCACAGCCTATTGAATCTTCCCAAAAGCCATCAGAGGAGAATTCTGGGTGGAGAGGACTCTGAGAGTGAGCAACCAGAGAGGCACTGTGTAGCCACCAAAGAAATAACGGGTCCAGGCATTCTCCAGGAAGATAAGCCCACATGGAAATACTTAGATTAATAAAAATTGGTTAATAATTAAGAGAGAGCTAGCCAATAAGAAGCCTGAACCATTGGCCAAACAGTTTATAATTAATATAAGCTTCTGTGTGTTTTTGGGGGGGGGCTAAATGGCTGTGGTACCAGGTGGAACAGGAAAGCCCACCTACACAAAAGCAGTCAGCAAGGGATGCAAATAAGCCCTCTCTTGTGTGTAAATAGCCATAGGTTCACACATATACATATACACACTGCAAGGGTGGGAAAGGGTACTTTGAGAGACAATAGAGTGATTGAACACAAATTCCAGTGGTAGGAATAATATACTTCTGATGGGAGATGTCATTCTGTAAATATGTTTCTCATATTGGTTAATGAATAAAGCACTGTTGGCCAATAGGAAAGCCAGATAGGCGGGATGAGGAGACTAGGAGAAAGGAAGGAGTAGGGGAGATCCAAGATGGAGGAAGGAGAGAATGCCAGCCTCTCTCTCCGGTAAGATAAGACCACGTAGAAGTACTTAGATTAATAGAAATGGGTTAATATTTAAGACAGAGCCAGCTGATAAGAAATTAGAAACAGGCCATTAGCTTTATACCTAATACAGGGTCTCTGTGTATTATTTGGGGCTGGCACAGAAGTGGAACCAGACTGGCAGGGAAAAAACTACTCATAATATAATGGCATCCAATGTGCACCAAAGAACTTCCACTTAAAACTTAACAAAAGCTTAAGAAAGGGTTTTAGAAACAAAAGAACAGAGACAAGCAAGGCTTCTTGGTAGCAGCATTTTTTTTTTTTTTTTTTTTTTTTTTTTTTTTTTTGGTTATACACTGTTTTGCTAGAGACAAGCAAAGACTTGTGCGGCTCCTTTAAGGGAGGATTCCTGACTCAGCATAAGCAGCAAAAAAAACCACAAGGCTGGTAAAGAGCTCTGCTAACAAATTACTACTGGTGTGTACGAGAGCTAGCAATGGCAGTGACCACATCTTCAAGCTGGCAACATGCTGCTGGATGGCAGCGTAGACCAAGACAGTGAACACAGCTCTCAGTTCTGGCGGTAAAATACCCGCCGCCATCTTGGATAGACTGAGACTAATACACCTGTGGCTTTCATGTTAGCAGTGTTGTTTACCAGATAAAAGACTCATGGCCAGAAAATTATAAAGATTTACAGTAAAGACAGATTCAGATTAAGAAAAACTTACAAAGGTTTACAGTGTGTTTTAAAATATATGTAGGCTTGGGAGAGAAAAAGAAAAAGGATGAAATGGTTTAAAAAAGAATAAAAAGAAAGAGTGTAACTGGGTGTGGTGGCACACACCTTTAATTTCAGCACTCAGGAGACCAAGTCAAGCAGATCGCTGTGATTTCAAAGTAAACCTGGTATACAGAGTTAATTCCAGGACAGATAAAAGTTACACAGAGAAACTGTGTCTCAAAAAATGAAAAAATAGAGTAATAAAAAAGCCACTTAAAGATGAAAAGCACAGAGAGAATCTGGATACTGTACAGTATTATGTTGTCTTTTTATCATTTGACTGCTGAGGAAATAACTGTTAAAAGAAATGCTACTGAATTAATACAATTTATATATTTTAAAAATACTTTGACTTCAAAATTTAAGTCTAAGGACAGGTTACTGGGGAAAAGATTTCTATTTTTGTTTCCATAGAAAATGAAAAGCTGTGGATTCCTTCCAGACTAACATGGTTTAATCAAGCAAGACCCCCTGAAGCAATGTCCATGGAACAATGCAGCCTTGCAAACCACTACAGCCAGGATTTCTGCATCATCTTAGGATCCCCATGACAGCCCCCCCCTCCACCAGCAGGAAATAGTTAGGAAAGAATGACACCCAAATTCCCAAATATTGTTTATAAATGTTTGTTTTCATTTAAATGGAGTTGGTTATAAATGGTTAATGATCCCAACCAATACTTTTAAAGGTAAAAAGGGGATTATGGTATAGATAAGATTACTTTGTTTTGAAATGGATTTTCATTTATTGATACAATTTAAGGTCAGTTTTGTGATATATATATTTCTCTTGTTTAGATATTGTGTTTGTATAGCTCATTTAGAAATGTAATGCATAAATTAGTGCAGATTATAGATAGTTACCTATAATAGTCAAAACTTTAGTTAGGTGAGTTAGGTTTTCTAGATATATAGGCATTCTTCAAACCTTTCAAAGACCTTCAGAATATGGCATTTAAAATTGTTTAGGGTTTTTCTTGACAGTGAGACATAACTGCTCCTGGCAACACCACCTGCGTCAGAAAGGATGATGGACATTGAAGAAACGTGTTATGGAATTTGCTTTCAATATAGCAAGATTAGCCATTTGGGCAAGATACTGCTCTTGTCTGGACTGTTCGACTTTATGCTGTATAAACTGGACATGCAGGACCCACAGGAAAGTTACTGCTGATACAAGATGGACATTGCTACAGAGTTCCTGCTTCATGAAAGAGTCTGCCAGACAGTCTGCAGGACACAGAGAAAAATGACTGACAAACTGCCAATACAGATGGACAGTTTAAAGTTTCCTGCTTTGCTAAAGAGTATGCCAGACATACTATGGCCTATGGGATGAAGATGAAACATTACAGAAGAACTTCAATTGCCTTACCAGGTAGCGAGATGTCTCTGTCATTTCTAGAGTTTATATATTATCCTTCTGTGGCCTTTGATGGAGTTGAAGTCAGATAGTTATGGTTATAGTTTTTCTTAGTTAGGATTAAAGATAAGTTACATATAAGACTTTAGACGCTCAAAGATAGGATAGATGATAGAATATTTTCTTTAAATCTTACTGAATGTTAATGGACTAAATATTGTTAACTGATTCTTATTTGATAACTGTTGTATGATATATTTTACTATGCTAAGGTTAAAACCCTTCTTTTTATTTTAGACAGAAAAGAGGAGATGATGGGTGATGTCATTCTGTAAGTATGTTTCTCTTATTGGTTAATGAATAAAGCACTGTTGGCCAATTGGAAAGGAAGATAGGTGGGACAAGGAGACTAGGAGGAGAGAGGAAGTAGTAGGGAGGAGTTCCAAGATGGTGGTCTGAGAGAGCAGGACATCAGCCCCTCTCGCCAGTAAGATAAGACCATGTGGAAATACTTAAATTAATAGAAATGGGTTAATATTTAAGACAAAGCCATCTGATAAGAAACTAGTAGCAGGCCAACAGAATTATATCAATTACAGTGTCTCTGTGTGTAATTTGGGGTTGGCATGGCGGTGGGACCAGGCTGTCGGAAAAAAACCTACTTGTAACATACTTCCCTATTAGTTTTTGGTCAAGGAGACCTATAACCCCGTAACAGTGAGGCCATTGCCACTGTTGTTGGCTGTCCACCAAAACTGGATGGTAAGGCCATACTGCCGAAGACGCTACCGCTTTGCAGATTGTAGAAAAACCAAGCAGGGACTGAGTTGGAAGCTTTCTCCCCATTGACTAGTTTTCATAATGTCTTTCAGATTGCCTTATGAATATTTATTTTTATAACCATAGATTACAAGGGTTGTCAGCTTTGGTGGGGGAAACTTTTTAACAGTGGTCAGTGATTACTGTAGAGACTCAGCCCAGATGCTGAGAATAAGTGACTTTTGAATGCCCATCCCTAAATGAGACATATAGTCCCTGTGGTCATTGCGGAAGGGAATGAAAATTTTGTAGGAACTGGAGGGCAGGGTGGAATGTCATGAATGCTGCTCTCTGATCCTGTCATGTCTATTGTCCTTTTGAACTCTAAGCCATTGTGATTACCCTCAGGAGACCAGCACAAGACTGGGCCATTAACTTTCTGTCATGGTTAGGGAGAGGCTTACAAGGGTCTCCCTCTCCCAAGGATTTATAGCTAGTTAGTGGTTGGTCCACAAGCCACCTCTTTCCTGAGGCAGATAATGGTTGCTTAGGAGTGAGGTGCTCCCAAAGCCCCACTGCCCTGAGGATTTGTTGGCAGTTAACAGTCTCCCAGCTTCCCCACAAGTTTTTTGACACTTAACAGTTGCTGGGGGAGGATCTCATGAGATCTTAACCCTACCTGAGAATGTATACAGTAATGATTGCTCTGAGGAGAGGCTCACAAAGTCATGGCCTTTCCTAAGACATTTAGGAGTTGCAGGAGAATTTTTTTTCCTTCAGTGGTGCTCCTGCCTCTGTAAGTAACCCTAATTAAACACATTGGTTCACCAAGCTACACTTGAATGAAATCACTTGTTTCTGTCTCTGAGGTCCTATCTGAGTTGAAATATTTGTTCTTGTCTGCTCAAGAAAGTTCATGCAACAGTGGCTTTTTAAGAAGCCCCATCTGTTCTCTTTGGTTCCCTTATAAATTTCTACCACTAGGAATAGATAAGGCAACTCTCACTTCTTAA